ATTATTTAATAATTTAATAATTTAATTAAATAAAAATATATTATTATAATATTATAATATTAAATATATTTTATTTATTATTATAATAAATAATAATATAATTTAATTTTAAAAATTAATTATTTAAATAATTATAAATTATTTATAATTTTTAAATTAAATTTAATAAAGTTTAAAATATTATTTTAAATTTATTATAATTATTTTTAAGCAACACTAGTTGCGCAGTATGCCCATTGCTGGGTGCGCAGTATACGCGGTACGTACCCGGTAGCCTAAAATCGCTCCCCGTATCCCTTTTAAACGTTTCCCTTAATAACCTTACGAATCCTGGTCCGAATCTTATATAATTTATACCATAATTTACATGAGAAAATCAGCAAAATTACGATCCAGGGTGCACGTGATTTGGACCAGAATTGACCCGGATGCGGCTGAAAGTATGAATTTTTACTATAGTGGCTGTTCCAAGGCTCCTTTTAGTGGTTTTTATCCCCTGTAATTTCAATACCTTCTATCCTTAATAACTTTACGAATATAGCCCCGATAAATTCCGAAAAAGTCTTATTATTTAAATAACTAATTGGCCTAAATTACAAAAAAGAGTCCTGATTTTTACCTATTTATTTAATAAAGATATGGCTGTTTCTATATAATAAGCTAAAATAAACTAATAGGTACTAGTAAAAAAGTCACTATGAATACACAAATGCTTACCTTTTAAATATCTCAGCCAATTCGGGGCCAAATCACGTGCACCCTGGATTGTAATTTTCCTGATTTTCTTATATAATTAATTATGTTTTTTTGAAAAGAATCGGACCAATATCCGTAAAGTTATTGAATTAAATGTAAAAGGGGTGGGAAAAAAGCCGGGTACGTACCCCGTTTTACTGCGCACGTAGTAATGGGCATACTACGTAACTAGTGTTGCTTTTATTTTTATAATTATTATATTTATTATAAATTTAATTTTATTAAAATTATATATATTTTTAAATAAAATATTATATTTTATTATTATATTAATTATAAATTTAAATTAAATTTTATAAATAATAAAATTTTTATAAAAAATTTTTTAATAATTAATTTAATAATTTAAATACGTTTTAAATTATAATTATTATTATATAAAAATTATTATTTAATTAATTTTAACACGTCTTTTATCGCGTTTACGTAATAATATATTAATTATTTTTTTAATATAAATAATTTAAAACGAAAATATTTAAATATTTAATTTAAATATACGTTTAATAATAATATTTTTTTTATATTAAATTAATTTTTATTATATTTTTATAATATTAATATATAATTATTAATTATTAATTTTATTATATAACGTTATAAAAATAATATTATATATATATATAACGTATTTAATATTAAATTTTTTATTATATTATATAATATTAAACGTTAAATTTATTTTAATTTCTTTTAATTAATAAAATATTTTATTTTAATTAAATAATATATAATTTAAAATAAAAAGTAATATTTTATATTAATATAAGCCTTTAATCCGTATAAGCCTTTGACCCGTGGTTTACGTTAACCTTAACTCCGAAAAAGTGGCTTGGCTTGCCTAAGATCTTCATAAGGCGGGCAAAAGCAGGAGTTGAAATCCGCTAGGCTATTATCATTATTATTATTACCTAAGTATTTCAGCTCACTCGTATCACGCCTCACGAAAAACCTCATCTCATCTCATCTCGTATCAAAACATCTACTATATGTAGTAAAGTATGTATCTACGTAAAAGTAATACATCATTTCTATCATCTTGTAGTTAACCCTAGCCCATGTGGAGAAGACCTCGACGCAAACCCCAGCTTTTCTCCCCCGAATCCTTCCTCATGCTATATAGTTGTCCTACTCCCCCGCAAAATATAGACCAACTACCAGAGGCGCTTGTATGTAGTAACCCTATTTAAACTCCATGATAGTCCTACTATGTAGCATTTCGCGCCATGAACAATAAGCCCACGGACGCGTCGGACCGAATGAAAATGGAATGCCATGCCCTTTCAGTGTCTTTCCCCGGGTTTACGCATCTCGAAATGGGGCCGTCATCCTACAGTAGGATTCGTTCGATTAAGCATGGGGTTTTATCCACCAATCTTATCATATAACCGTGATCATTTCCCCATACCGGGACTTGCAATGACTGGAAATCCGGGGTTCGCTTCTGCTTCTTCGTCTAATCATCCAATGCATGTATTTGAAATACCTAAATACCTACATACCTCTTACATACCCAACCTAGGTACACGCAAATTACACATGATTCTACATATATCATATATGACTCCATTGCAGCGGCAGTTGGAAAAGCGCTGCTAATCCATTCTAGTCTTAATGACCGACTGCGCCGCATCAAAGCATTTACGACGCCTCTGAAAGCTTATAACGATCTGGCGCCATGTGAATCTCCTGATCGAAATTACGCACACTAGGCCCCCTCAGTCTCACGGTCCAGCATCGAACCATACAGGCGTAATATAAACTTACCAGATGGTTCATTCATTCACGTTAGGGTAGCTTACGTATGGCAATTTATGTATGTATGTCTAAATTATTAGGTTAAAATATTGTTCTAAGTATGTAAATTGAAGAGAAACAAGCATGTATAAAAACACACCAATCACACCGCGAATTCTAAAATAAAAAAAAGCTTTACCCAACCCCCCTTACTGAGATGACAATACTATATATGTGCGTTGATGCATGGTTGATTTGACGTAGCTGCATGGTCCCTGACTAGACCGTTACGGTGAACAACAGCTCGTAGATCTTAAACATAATTTGAGACATCGATCGATGCCTATGACAACGGCTGTGCTTGCGGTGCTGTAACCATGTAACTCCTTCGATGACTTCCCACAAGCATTTGGCCTCCAAATCTCCTCAAACGGCATATACCCCGCGTCCTCACTAGGTCTAATTAGACTAAGCTATACTAGAAATCTCTGATACAGACTGATATATAGAAAGCTAGCACTGGGATGTCATATTCAGTTCGGGGTTATCCCGTCAACTACTACAGTATCCTGCTAGCTGGGCCCATAGCGTTGGCTATTATACATATGATCCACGCTAACATGTGACTACTTCAACACTGTAGTCCAATCTTCTGCACCTCAGACTCGGGCGCCTCGGCCGATTGGTAGTCTCCAAAACTCGCTTCGATTGTCCTTGCCAGAATTCCAACCCTCACAGGGTCCCTCTTTACTATATAGGATGTGATTATACCTCCTTGCTCTGCGTGAGGCTACGGTGCTCCTTTCGGCCCGGGAAGGGGTATGCAGTGGCCGCGGAGGCATAAGTATGCGAGTCTTGACTTCACCTTACGCATTATGTGCCTAGTCTAGCTTAGACTCGACCACGATTCCCGGAAGTCAGGTATAGAAATTTGGAGTCGTTTTGTGATAGATGCGGGAGATGAGCTAGTTTGCTCGGAAAGCCCATAAGATCTACCAGATATTGGTGAGGGTGCATGACCGACTACCTAGTCTCACCTTCATGGCACTTCACTCGGTCTATCATAACTTCGGCTAACCCCAAGGCATCACTTGACCGCCTTGTGAGGCAAATTGTCGACTCTACATACTCCTCGGTTGTGATGAAGACGGCCGAGTAACGGTCGGAGTTGCTGGCCGAGGTGAGGCCGTCGGAGGCGCTACTGGATAGGTCGATGTGTCCGGACACAGATGACAAGGAACACTACCCCGTGGGGAATCAAGGGACGATCAAAATGAGCTTACGTCTAAGATAATGATCAGGGGCAACGCCACCGCCAGATCGCCCAAGGTCAAAATAATGGCAAACCGCGTCTTTGGAGATTATTGTGTGAGGCTAGATGACGGGCTGTGTTGATCTAATGGCTGGGTCAGGTTTCAGCATTCTGTAGAAAGTTGTCTAGTGCGTGAAGGTAGACTATTGCTATGGTGGTTTTATATTTTGCAAAATATTTCATCCAGCTTCAACCTACCTAGTAGAAGTATCACAATTAGAATTCTATCTACACCAAATTTAGTCTAGAGCGTTTGTACCTTATTCATCAAACTAAATACGGCCTTGTTCTTGAAGAAAACTCCTCTAGTTTATATTATTGTAACTAGGTAGTTGTGCTGGAACTTAATTCGAAAATAATAATTTGGTAAATTAAACAGGTATGGTATTGATATCGTAACTCCTTAGCTCATTATGAATCCCCTCGTTCGCTCTTCCTAGATAGCAATCCTATGCTAAACACGAATACCTTGTTGTAGACACCACAAAAACCGGAAAGCCTGTTCTATTGTACAACTCTAGTTGGAATTTCATGTTCGTAGTATCAGGAGGTATGGAAGGGGTATCTTAGCAAGTCTACGGCGTCAAACTAAGCACATATCGTGTGAATATAGACTTATATTGATAGCGGAGGAAACGACTACTAGGTAGGTGGATATATAGAAGACTCCTTGGATTTATATCCTATTCGTTCCTTCACCGTATCATTGCACTCTTCCTGCCCTGGATCAAGGCAGAGCTCTCCCATCACGCGTCATAGGTTGGTATGTCGGCTTTAGATTATCTTTATGCATTTTCGAGTGAATGTCCTACCATTTTTGACAACTTGTGTTGTATTAGGACTGATCTCGTCTGGGTTGATTCTATCCCACTCCGTTTCGATCATCCCAATACGTGAGAAGCAATCTGGGCCTTCCTTCGCCAGGACAAGACAGCTGGTGGCACCGGAATCCCCAACAGGACTGCTCCAACGCATAACAATAACAGTCCACAGGCCAGTCCCTAGTTCAGTGGCCGTTTTGCCATGTGGCGTGAATAAGCCATGGGGCATGAATAAGCCGTTTCCCCAATCTTTGCGCATGGATTGTTCTCCCTTGGGAAAACAGGTTCCGTCCCCTCCATCGGAGAATCTCACTTCAGTCGTCCATCCCGTCCAGTAGATCGCGCGATCCAAATCGCCTAGAAATACAGTGTTTTTACGTGATTCGTCCCCAGCGTACTTCGGGAGGTCCTGTATAATGTAACTCATAAGCTCTTCAAGATTCAATCGAACTCCCAATGAATCTCTGCGGAAGTGCACTTCACAGTCAAGTGATTGTCGTCCATACCGCTCTAGAGCGTAACCGTACGGTATTGTATATCCGTCTTTATCTCCTACTAATGGATAGATCAGTCCGCTGAAACCACTCCATCCAGCCCAAGTCCACGACGGATATTTAGGTACGCGCCGAAGACCGCTCCTTTGAAGTGTCCAGAGCATGCTATGAATAAAGTACTCTGGGAGAATCGTACCACGTTGTCCATCTGTGCCGGCTGGTCGGTACATAATAGGCAGTCCGAATAGATGAGAGATACCCATATTAGATGACGGCTTATTATAGACACTGAATATTCCGAGAAATGCCCAAAGCATATCCCCTTCGTTGGTTAGGCAGCGACTCGTGTAGCTGTTAATGTGTTCGATGATAGAAACTTCTGGCCTTTCAATGATAGAAACTTCTGACCTTCCAATGAAAGGACGTGACCCCATGTAGTTCATATGAGCAGACCACAGGGGTTTACGCTTATAGACTCGCTTATCTTCCCAAGAACATTCACTATCGTTGGTCGGCATGCCTTTTATACGATATCTATTACGATGTCCATCACCTTCCTGATAGTATCCTTCCACCAAACATCGGAAAGTGACTTGAGTTTTTGAGAAAATAAGACAGCGTCGAGACAGTATGCCTTCCTGGTATGTCCAGCCTCTTGTATCCCAACAGGAGTCTTTCAACTCATATATAGGAGACTTAAACACTATGTCCCAGGTGGTACCGCTCGAGTTAGAAACCCCCCAAATTCGATAGCCGTCACGAACGCCAGGGAGGCCGTCGTCGCTGGTGTCCACAGCGGCGATAATTGTGAAGACTGCTTTTTCATAAATACTGCCCATATTGTTGAACATATGTTGCATCTCCTTGCCGTTCGTTTGGCTAATGCAGTACCTATCAACCCATAGATATCGCAAACCTAGATTACGAACAACGTGCATACTGTCCTTAATAGTTGGTGGGAATGTTTGATGCTCTGACGTATCATCCTGATGTCCCCGTCCCCAAACGTAGCTCAATGCTACATATTTCCAACCGCTCTCAGCATCAACCACTTGTTCCGTTTCACAGTCGATTAACTTAAGACCCTGAAGCAAAGGCCCCGTATCGTCGGAGTGACTGCAGCATTGGTGCTTGCTGTCACAATGAGCTAGCCATTGCCGAACCTCAGTGAAGTCGATTCCCGTGGACAGTATCCTACGATGATAATTCGGCTTCGGCTCAACAGGCAATATGTAACAGATTTTTGGGTGATGATCAAACCCGGTAGACCGAAACCATGGGCACTTAATCTTAGAACGCGAGTGAACAAGTAATATATGTAAAGGCTTATTCGCTTTTCCATTTGTGATGTCGTGTTTCAAAACGCCACTGATGCTAGGTCGGACTTCGTCTCCTTTCTCGTATAGTACGTATGAATAAGGCGGCGTCTCTGTTTCATCGCCCTAGTTTGGCTATTATTTTATGATTCCTAAGCCGAAAAGCTTTCGGGAACAGAGGTCTTCCCTACCTCTGTTTGGATGGGTGATATAGCCCGGCGGGGGATAAGAACTCGTGCCGGGGTGGGACGCGACATGGCTTGATAATACAAGTATGTAGAGGAAATATATGCCCTAGAGCAATCAAGCTTGGATTTCGAATCCAAGACTTATAAATCTACCTAGATTAGGTACCTAGGAATCTGCTGTAAGCGTAAAGGAAAGAGGCCTCTCGCGAAGACACCGCAATGCCGATGTGTAACGAAGAGTTCTGAGTTACGGGCGTTGCGTAAAATATTTTAACCGGTCTTCGTGTGCCGTGGTAACAAGTCGGGCGCTTTTACTCGCCTGAGGTCGCCGACGCTATTAACCACAGATATCAGCCATACAGGTAGGTAGGTACCTGGTCTCGTAACACCTCAAGGGGATACACCTGTCCCCTCTAATATCCAACCCCTCCTATCCCCAACACTTCTATCCAAGAGAAAGTTAAAACAACGAGCGTACTTTATTAACAACTGTGTTCGTAGGTGCGTCGCCCTTCTTAACCTCCCCCTTCTTAACCTCCCCCTTTTTAACATCCTCCTCTATCCTGGAATGATCCTTCTCAACACCCCCCTTACCCCCAACATCTTCCACCGCACCCGGCCTATCCCAAGTCCCCTTCTCGAGCTCCTCGACCTTTCTCACAAGCTCCCATATGCGCTGCCTAGTCTTCCGCGTCACCTCTTCCTGCCGACGCCATATGTCCTGGAATGCGTCGAGCGCGAATGGTGGGACTGCCGTCTTCTGCGCGGCTCCGTAGTCGTATACGACGATGTCTTCCTCCGTGCGCGCTGCGACGCGCCGGTGCCGGTGCGAGAGGATGACGCAGTCGAGTACGAGTGAGGTGTCTGTAGCCGAGGGCTGCGAGCGCAGCTTGTGGTACGCGGAGATGGTGTCCGGATAGGTCATGGGCTGTGGGTCGTTAGTATCGAATCGTCTTCTTATTGCACAGACGAATATATTAAATCCGTGTGTCGACTGGCGACGTTAGAAGAGGAGGTGATTATCCGACGTACGAATTTATACTCGGCCTTAATCGACTTCATAATCAGTCCCGTCCCCTTGGGCGTCATAAGCTCCCTCCACCTCGTCCCGTTCCCCGGGTCCACGCTCGCGAAGTGTATGATCCAGTTGACGCGCGCAGACTCGGCGTACCGGATGTAATTGGTATTATTCACATGGCCCTGTCCGTCATTACTTATCCGTCAGCGCATATTCTTCTACTATATACTATATACTATATACTCTTGTAGGTGGTAGGTTAGGTTAGGTAGTTAGGACGGACTACCTACAAAACTGTCCATCTCCCCCCACACAACCTGCTGTTTCTCAAGTCCCCTATGTCCGCCTGTCAGAAACCCCTCGGCACCGGCCGTTAGTTCGCGCCACTCGGTGCCGAGGACGCGCAGGATGGTGGCGGCGTGTATCGCCTGGTCGTGGGTGCAGCCGAACATGATACATTTTCCGATTCGCGCCTTAAGGTCCGAGTACCATTTACTAGGCGGGAGCGGCGGCAGGACTGTCTTCGTCGTAGTAGAGGAATTGCGACTCGAGTATTTGCTACCGGAAGAGGCAAAGGATCCTACCCGGGGTATGGGTTGTCGGCAGACGACTGGAGATAGGAAGTGGAGGGTATATGTTGGTTTTAAGCGCGGTCTAGGAGAAGGCATTGTGTACAGAGAGAGTATGAATTTGGTATAATAAGTAAATACAAGCAGCTGTCGCAAGCAGAAAGTAAGAGAAGTTAAGTTAGGAGGTACATGTAAGGAGTACGTACATGCATGGAGGGGCAACCTCGGTAGGGGAAGTGCTACTGCGATCGTCCTTGATAAGATAAAAAAGATAAACCGGTACTACATGTAACTATATGTAATGTTGCGTCATGTCCAACCGTCTTTCTTTTCTTCATACTTATTTTTTATTAACTAATTAATTACTAGGTAACAGGTATACATACTTGCCTTACCCATCTCCTACATAACAATCCGCAAACCCCATGTTCACCTTCTCTCGCCCAATCCGACTCTTCTCCTCCATCTCGCAACATCTCCAAAAAAACCCCCTCAAACGAAAACGCCTCCGCACCAACGATGCCGTAGCCGCCTCCCTGCTGCCGCCTCCCGATCCCGTGCTACGGCGGGAGGTCATATCCATCTACAAGGAGCTCCTGAACCGCGGCCGCGACTATCCCAAGGGCTACGACTACTTTCGGCAACGGCTCCATAAGGCCTTCAAGGAGAATGCGTCGATACGCGACGCGAAGCAAATCCAGAAAAAAATTAAACAGGCCAAATACATACAAAGAGGTAGGTTGGATACTTGGCTATCTGCTATAAAGAATTGGGGGCTAACTTGGTATTCATCTATTAGAACTCGAAGCCCTGTAAGTCTAATTGTCGAATCTATTCGTTACGACTCCATCAATACCCGGCAGGTCACTTTTCACGTATACTATAATTTCGCAACGACTTCATCCAACCCTATTCCATTCGTATCGTCTATAAACATCAAGCTCTCGGGCTTAGTGGCCAATTCCTTTATATAACATCCCAGGACGAACATTGTTCTGCGCCTGGTTTAGTTCCACCACACATATACACCATACATATATACTCGTCACATATTCCCGATCATGTCTCCCGCCCAATGCACCCGATATATATGTAAAAATAAAAGAGATAAATAAGACAAGAAAAGAATATAGCCAGGATCCCAGTCCCGAATATGCACCACCAAAACCTATCCCCAGTTTTCCCTTCGATTTTCCTCATCAAGTAAACGTCGTGGGTTTATCATCTGGTTTAACGTAATGTGGCGTTGAAGCGTTGGCTGTGGTATTGACATATGTCGTTATAGGTATTTCTTGAAACGGTATCGCACTCTTCGGAAGAGGTACGACGGGCTATGAATGACTGTAAGGAAGTGTATTAGAGAGCTATATTTCCGGATTGAGCTGGATCCGTTGTTAGGAGATCGCCCTCTGGGTGTCGACATCGTGAAAGATTTAGATTGGTGGATCAAGGCGTATCAAGGCGAATAGATGCTAAGGATGTCGACCAAATATAGCATGAGCAAACAGCCAAATGGGTAGACTAGACATTCGAATTATGATGTTGGAGTTAGCTTCTTTCTGGCACACCATGCTCCGACTTCCAGACACTCTCCCCAACTCGTGCCGCCTTCGCGTAGTAGATCGTTCATCATCTTTCCGCACCATCCGTCCCATTCGTCTTGGCTCTTCCCGCTAACTTCTCGGATGATCGGCTCGAGGCAGAGTATCAACCCTACCATCGTCTCTAGCGCGGTTCGTCTGAGAGCAGCTTGGCTAGTTGTCAGCCCCTTCCGCTTATCAGCTCGAGAATCAATTAACCTGCCCTTCTTTTTCATCGAGTCGATATAGCTCTTGCCGTCCTTTGTCACTACACCGCCGACCCCTTCACGTTCCCATCTGATCTCGCTTAGTGGTACCGCTATCCTCTTCGATCGCAATTCCATAAGGGTATCCACTTCCTGTAAGAGATACGCGCCGATCAGCGCGCAAGGAACCGCCGACAAGCCCAGCGCATCTAAGCCTTTGATTGCCCAGCCGTTATACTCGACGAGGAATGGATTTAGCGGTGCGCTAAGCGGCGTGTTATTCGTCATGATGTAGGCTCCTAATTTCTCTACGTCGTCTTCTTCCTCGCTACTATCGTCCGAATCTGAATCAGAGTCGGCGGCCTTCGACCTAACTGGAGCCCTAAGAACATGTGGTCTTAGCATACGTACGGCGTGATCACTCTCCCAAAATTCAATCACGCCACCTGGCTTTAGCACGCGCAAGTACTCTTCGAAGAGCTGTTGTGAGTCGCGCATGGAAGTCGAAAGCGAGAGCGACATGTCTTTAACCATAATCAAGTCGAATTCGCCGTCGATAAACGGCCACGGTCGCCGCCGTACATCGTGTTGAACGAACCGCCAGCGCATGTCCTTGTCTGGTCTCCAACCTCCGTCGAGGCCCATTCCTACTAGAGGCGCGATATCGAGACCGGTAAAGGATATGGACGAGTGGCCATGCTGCGCAAAGTATCGATGGCACATCATACTCCAGAACGCAGAGCCACACCCTACTTCGAGGACACGCTGTGGGGGCTTATTGGAAAACTCGGGTGCTGTGGTCGGACCGCCGAAAAGCTGTAATAGCATCAGTGTGCGCAAAGATTGACGGTGAAGTTCTGCTAAGTCGACTGGTAAAGGATACAATAGCGAAGGCTGGTTGATGTAAAGTCTGTTATTTCGCATGATGAATGCCTTCGCGGCGGTGAGTGAATGCTTGGTGGAAGTTGACGCGGTAGACGGAGCTATGCTCCCCTCCTTGGAGGATAAGTTCTCATTCGATGTCATGATAGAAGGATAGTCGGGGTGAGAAGAGCCGGATCCAGCGTAAACGCCGCCAGTGCGGGACGACGCCGAATTGTACTTTTGAGCAGGGACGTAACCAGGCTCCATGGTCATCGAGTCATGGTGTTTGCTCTTGGACGATCTTCGGCGGGCAAGTGATGATAGGCCCGCAGTAGCTTGCGTAGGCGGTGTCGGTGTCGACGGACGTCGTGAACTATGAGCTGCTGAGATGTAGTAATGTATAGAATCACGCTTTTGCAACCTGTTAGTTGTCGGAGGGGGACCGGCGGAGTAAGCTAATTGGTAACCGCCGTCGGCGCCGAAGATAGGTATGTGTATGGATTTAATGAATCTTGAGGACCTTGGCGAAGTAACCGGTCGCTCGGAATCGGAGGCGGGCGGTAGAATTGTAGAGGTAGACGGATGAAAGACGGATGCGATCGAAGATAAAGTTGAGGCTGAAGCGGCGGCTAACGGCGGCGCGGGTGCGGATGCGGATGCAACAATCGAATTCTTGGTGTTACTGGTGTTACTGGTATTGTTGATTATAGGTACAGTATGCGACGAAGAAGAAGAGGAAATATGGTAAGTGGCTGTAGTAGTGGTAGTGGTGGTAGTATTGGTAATACTGGTAGTATTGGTAATACTGGTAGTATTGGTAATACTGGTAGTATTGGTTGTTACGGCGCTTGCCCCTTTTCCATCATTCGGCTTTGAGCCTATTCGTATGCCTGTAATGCCTGTATTCGCCCCTGTATCTAGGCTTGAAGCAGTAGGCGGTGACGAGGAGATGGTGTCATTAGTCGAGTTGCCGCCGGATATGGCATGGGTAAGGGCCAATCCTGTTAAGTTAGATTGTTGTGCTTGTGTCTGTATGTGAATATATTGTTGTGCCAAAGGTAATGGGGTTGATGATGTTGATGATATTGGTAATGCCGGCAATGGTGGTAATGGTGGGAATGGTTCAGTTCGTGTTGTTTGCTGTGTATGAGTTTGTGTTTGTATTTCGTGCGACGTACGAGAGCTGGCACTAAATGAGGAAGAGGTCCTAGAATGAGAATAATGCGACGCCGGCCTATGTGCCAAAGCTTGCGGGAGAGTTCCGGCAGGTGGTGGCCGACGCCTACCAGGTATCCTTGACCTAACCGAGATGCTCTTCCGTTTCTTTGTCTTTTTGTGGTCTTGCTGATGCTGATCTTCCTCCCCGTTACTATTGTTAGTGTTAGTTTGATCTCCAGTACCGGCTTCTATTTCTCTATGGTTCTGATCGGACTTATGCTCGTGGTCTTGGTCTTGAGCTTGTTCGTGATAATTCTCGTGGTCTCCTTCGTCGTGAGTATGACTATGACTTGTGTGACTTGGGTGACTTGGGTGAGTGTCAGAGTCAGAGTTATTAACTGTATTATGTTTATTGGCCCCATGCACAAAAGTGTAAGTGTTGGTGTTATTGTTGGTATTAGTGTTAGCGTTAGTGTTGGTACCAGAAGACGAGTTTCTTCCGTTTGCCGGTCTGACCCTGACAGGGGCCGAGTACATGGACAAGCTGTAAGCGAATTCCATTTTTGCAGTCCGATTTTAGGGGAAGGGGAATGCGTGTTTAGTTGTTAGGTACTGCGCTGTGGCCCACGTAAAATCCGACCTAGCTTGCCTAGCCTGTCCTGTAACTGGATAATTGTAAGCTGGAAGTTATTTCCCGGGGCCGGCCGCTCAGTCGGGTCTCCACTTAGACCCAGTTTTGGGTGCTTGGGTTATACTTTTTGATCAATCAGAATTCTTCAATGACTTCAACTTTTCCCCTCCAACGGATCAGCAACATGTGCTTATGCGTTCCTCAACTTTTTTTTTTCTTTTTTTTTTTTTTCCTCGCTATTCCTTTCTTTGTCTTCCCCTCTGCCCCTTTCTGGAGACACTGCGAGAATTTGGTTGATTCCCCGAAAATCAACCCGTGGATCACCGTGGATCACCGTGGCCCGTTTAACTTTTGATAGCCAGTAAATCCCTACGATAGAATGCTTCCTATTGCACATAGGACGTCTTCTACCACATTCGTAATTTTTTCGGTTCGATCTTAGACAAGCACCATTGGAATGAAATGCGAGCTGGGTCTTGTTTTGCTGGTCCGTTTACACCCCCTGCCCTCTTCTAAGCCATGGTCTTGGACTGCAGTAACCATTCAACGATCAACGATTGGATCATGATTGGACGTATTAGACTTCCGGCAGGCTTTCCGGTGAAATGGGTTTCGTCTAGTCTCCGTTTGAGTACTTTAACCCGAAGGAATGCTTTTCTCGTTTCATGAATCGGTGTTGCTTCCCGATCCGAAGATGTGCAGCCTGTGCGGGATCTGCAATAAACGGTGCCCAATATGTTGTAACAATTGATAAACATATGACAGCTTTACTACTGCAGCGGAATGGCCCGCGGTTGCAGAAGACCGTAAACAACAAAGCAAAGTCGGCCCAGTTCCTTGCTCCAGTTCCTATAAGTCGTCCCTGGTTAAATTTTGGCCCAAGGACCCCCTCCCCCGCCTTCACTTATAATAAGGAGTGGGCGATATAGCTGGATACGACGAGCGGGCCGAGTTCAAATCAGTTCCTCGTGGGGAATTCCCAGGTAGTCCCGAAACACTGGGAAATAGGTATTCGTACACTCCCTATCCCGCGGGCTTTGGAGACATCCAATTGGTAATTTTAAATTTCCGGGCCGGTCCCTCTCTCGGTGAGTTCGTAAGGAAGTAGGATGGTGTGTGTCAACCAAAAGGAATATCTTGGCGTAAATGACCTCGGAGTATCGGGAATTGCTCAATTTGTCCTATTTGATCCAACTGTCGGCCACTTTGACGGATCACTTAAACCACGCTCCGATGGGTTTTCTTTTCTTCTTTCGATATTTGAAGTCGACTTATTCCTTCAATGATCTCACATGCGCAAACTGCTTTCGCACGTGACCCCCCTTCAGTCCTATCCTCGGTCATAGGATACCCTCTCAAGTGATCTCCTACCAGTTGTAGCTGCATAAATCATTTCCTTATTTTCTCATCAGGAATGTGTTTATGAAATGACGTTGGGATCTCCGTTGTAAGGTTGCCCCTCTGCTTATGCTGTCTAGTAGAGCTCGACTAAGCCGCTCATTGAAGATGATGAAGTAGGTAACAGACGGCACTCTCGATCCAGTTGTCTGTCTAGTTAATAGAATCGGTTGACATGCAAAGAGCCGTTGGTTTGGATCGTTGTAGGACCAGACTACGATTTATGTCAAACGAGATGTGTATAACCCCATCAAGCTAACTTACAGCTTGAGATGCGGTCTGCTCCTGTTATGTATATAGGCCCTTTAGGAATAGCCTGACTCTTTTCTGTCTAGCGTTCCTCTGCATTGTGATCACGACGCTTTAAACCATCCTTTTATGGCTGTTTTAAGGCGAATATTCATTTCTATCTGTCAAGTAAAACCTAATAGGTGGACCGTCGATCCCTGCGGGTATGGTTTGTGTATGGCTTCCCCGCATTTACACCTGCATGACGGCGCCCAGCTAGTCGTCACTCTTCTAGGCGACTCTAGGAGAGGTTGGCGGACACAGCAGACAGAGCGGCGCAACACGCCATGCTGCAGCTTGTGATTGACCTAAACTCGTAAAATCCCGAACCTTCGACTCGCTAGTCATGTTTATGTTAAGTCTACGCAGTATACTAGGTCCATGCCAGTCAATTCTGGAATACTAGTAGGGGTTTTCGGTTACTACTTGCAGGACATAAGCAGGTCGGGGCAAGGGAATGCTCGAGGGTCGGAGAGCGAGTTCCAGGTAATTGGTCCGGTGGGAAAAGACCTAGACTCTAGCTCCGAAGGTACGGCCCTACACGCGGTGAGATAGGCGTTGGCATCCTACGAACATACCCTGCGTTTAGACGCGAATTGAATCCGGCGGTCTGCCCGATCCCTACTGGTAAATGCATTGAGCTATCAAAGGAAGGTAAAAAAAAAAAGCTATTAGGAGGCTAACATGCTTCAATAGCGAGAAATAATTAGGCAAGGGTTAAGCCTCACTTCTGCTTCCAGTTCTAAAATGTCAATCCGTTTAAGCCAGATACATATCAAATGTATGTAGCAATTAGAGGTGCATCATAATGTGGAATGACTTACACAACTCAGGGTTTCACGGAATGTTTCTTTATACCAATAGGAGGCTTTGTAATTCCGTCTCGCTTATTGCCGTGCAGGCCTATATCAATCAGGCTGAAATGCGGGAAGCCAGTAAGATGATTCCCTGGCTTCCCCAGCTTCGAGACTCTTGGCATAGGATGATATTGAGGCTGAAGTGGCCGAGCTTCAAGCTTTTGCAATGAGTACGTGTACATTCATGGGTTAGGCTTTATCCGCTATGAGGTAGTTAATGACGACGCGTCCATTAAAAAAACATATGTTATGTATTTTATATGTGTCGTTCTTGAAGCTATAGCGTTGGATTGCTATGGACGATAAGTTTGGTCAGGATGCAAAATGCCAAGAATAACAATTGGTTCAATAAGTGCATCATTAATGTCAACTATCCAGATAGTTAAATATGCCGATTTGCAGTTATGCAGTAGAACGCAGAAAAGTCATTTTGTTAGTCAGCGTCCTATAAACTATTGCTATATTTCCTTATACTATTGACCCCAATAGCGGCAAGACGGTCCGGTATTGAGTGGAAGGACACAACCAAGTTATAATCCAAGACGATATTGCTTTGATGATATTTATAGTTCTGCTATGTAAAAAAGAAAAGAAAAAGTAGGTAATGACCTTGGGGGATTGATTTTTAGAGGAGAGCATCGAAACCAAACTCTTTTGAAAGTACAGAAAGGTTAAGGTTAATTAGGTAGTTAGCTAATAGAAATGTACTTTATACTTGGCACTTAATGGTACCTGGGTAGCGAAAGTTTATGAAGACATAACGACTAAATATCTAATAGCTATTCCTTATAAGAAGAAAAGAAGATAAAGTAAACCTACAAAAAACACGTATAAAGATGGTTGGTTGGTTGGTTTAGTTAAACCAAACTGGGTTGACTTATGTAACCATAGGTACCTACCTAGGTACTTAGGTACTTGGAAATGTCATTTGGCATGGAAGTTTGTTCCAAAGAGCAAACAACCCTTTAAGAATTGCGTCAGTCGGGTAAGGTTTTGTGAGATATAAGATATGAGATATGAGATATGAGATAAGATATTAAGGTAAGGTATGTAGCCACGTCACGATACACTGATGAGACTGCAAGGCTGAACAAAAGTCTTAACATTTAGTGCTGCTGACTCATAAAATCAAACGGCAATCTTTCATTGGTAGGACAATTGGCGATGCAACGGAATTGAGTTTTACAGATTATTGATCACGTGATAAGGCTAAGTCTTTTTAGCTTTTGCTGACTCCTCCATATGCATTGCGGCGGATCAAAAGCTTGGACTTCTTTGAAGTAACTTTGGAGCTACGTTCAACCAGACCACCATATTTCCACCAAGCACCACCCAAACTCGGTTGCATCTTCGTCAAAGCATATGCGATACCTACTATCGGTCTCAACTACGCCAATACTCCCGGCTCCCTCAAACAAGCCACAAAACTCTCCCCATCGGTATTGGTTTCTTTTTTCTTTTAAAGAAAAAAAAACTCAATTGCCACCACCAGCTTCGCTCCCTCGACGTGGTCTTCCCTTTAGCTCCGTATCATACAATATCTATCTCGGACCATTCTAGGTGCGAACACTTGTTTTCCATTCGCAATATCCTTTGCGACACTACATATTCATTGTCATTTACCTAGTCATATTTATTTGTATTCTGCCCATTGGATAGTTGGTTAACAACCAACTATCCTACTAATCTTCCCATGGCATACTATCATTATAGAAGCTACCCAACCCAACTTTACCCACCCGACTAAGTCGTGACTAACTGGCTAACTTTGCCTACGTATTTTATAGATACGCGCAATATTAGAGCAAGAACCCTATCGTCGCCGCCTTCGAGCTATTAAGAAATATAAGAGACGATCCTTCTGTAAACTTCTATCTCACTTAGACTTTCGTATCCGTTCGCAACTGGGCGCCCTTTCTAGTCTTGCCACTCGTAGCAGCGCCACTTGAGAGGCAACGGGCTGGGATCTTACATCCCTTGATGAACTTGTCTTCTCGTTTGCGACTGCTGCTTCGATTTAGACTGTGTAGATTCAAGATTCTGTGAATCACACCGTTCATATCTTAATACATAGGGTTGGACACTGGTCCTTGCAAATTCCATGCCTCAAGACGAAATTCTCGGTCTCTATGCATGGATATTCGCTGAACCATTGTCCCCTCGTTCATCTCTCGACACAAGCTGTTAAAAACAGTTACGGACAGCTCGACGTGCTCTCTCTCACTTCGCGCGATCGACCCGTTCGTCAGTATCTCCATGGCAGATAGTATTCGATACATACAGCGCACCCTCGACATCTTTTACACCTAACTTCAGTACCGAGCCATTATCACTCTTTGTCCACTCACCAACAGTCCTTCCTCTCTAAAATCTTCAAAGAGTACAACTATAAAAAAAATCTGAATCTCATACTATAGTATTCCCCTCCGGTAGCTGGCATATCTACTGCCGTCACGATACCCCTCTAATATCCCTGCTCCCCTGATGCCCATCGATCTCTCCCGCGGCATGTATGGGCCAAACCATCAGCAGGGACACAATTCGCGCCTCAATGGTGTCCCTGGAGGTCGTGGCATCGCGCCACAGATGATGTACAATTTTGTTCAGCAGCAGGGTTCTCATTCACACCACACTCACCCGCAGCAACACCACCAAAACATCCCCCAAGATCATGCAGGTCACGCAGGTACCTCAACTACCCTCACCCACTCTACTTTTTCTTCTGGTCTTATGTCCAGTGTAACTCCATTCACACCAAGCAGCCACCAAAACGGAAATACTCCAGGCTCTCGGGGTGGTCAAACACAGCAGTACAGCGAACACTGGAACGAGCAATTAAAATCTTACAAGGAGTCTGAACGTGCCCATCAGACCATGACGGAGCAGCACCAACCTCACTACTTTGCTAGGCTACGAGCGAACGAGAACAAAGGTATTGGCCCAGCTCTCCCAAGCGCCAACCAGCCTGAATCAACAGTCGATGGAGAGTTGGAGGATAGAGGCCGGCCCGTTAATGTCGATAAGGCCCTCGATCGACAGGATTGGCTAAATCTCGACTTTAGTGGGCAAGGCTTGAAGAACCTGTCCATTATGCTCTTTAATCACTATTCCTTCCTCACTGAACTTTATCTTGCCTCCAACAATCTCACCCGTTTACCACGGGAGATAGGGCAGCTTAGATCATTGCGGTACCTTGATGTATCTCATAACCAGCTCAGCATGTTACCTCCCGAGCTAGGCATGTGTACTCCTCTCCGTCAGTTGCTCCTCTACAACAACAACATTCAAACTATCCCCCCGGAACTTGGCGCCTTGCATTTCCTGGAATTACTCGGTGTCCATGGTAATCCGCTGGAACAAGACCAGAAGCAGAAGCTCGTCGAGGAAGGTACCAAGGCCTTGATTGCCCATCTCAAGGAGCAAGCACCAGGTATGAGGAAATTTCCTATCTTTCTCAAGTTTCCCGCGTACACGTGGTTTATATCCATAGCCCATGTTATCCAAGTAAACACTATTGACTGACTTTGTCCTTAGTACCTATACCACCAAACCCGCGTTTACCCATCACTATTCAGGAAGATGTGGGCTCGGACAAGGAACACATTCGCGTCATGTCGTGGAATACCCTTTGCGACAAGTATGCAACTAGCACGCAATATGGTTACACCCCAGCTAGTGCCCTGTCATGGGAATATCGGAAGGATAGTATCATGCGGGAATTCCGTGAACGAAGCGCCGATATTCTCTGCCTACAGGAGACCGCTATGGATGCGTTCGACACGTTTTTTACCCCCGAGCTTGGTAAACTTGGCTACAAGGGCGTATTCTACCCAAAGACTCGCGTCAAGCACTTAACAGGCAAGGATCAACAGTCAGTGGACGGCTGCTCTATCTTCTATAAGAGCGACAAGTATATCCTGTTGGATAAGCAGCTGGTAGACTTCAGGCAGACAGCCATCAATCGGCCTGATATGAAATCGGCCGACGACGTCTTCAATCGAGTTATGCCGAAAGACACTATTGCTGTCTACTGCTTCTTCGAGTCAAGATTTACCGGTAATCGATTCATCGTTGTTAACGCACATCTATGCTGGGAATCATTCTTAGCCGATGTCAAGGCCGTACAAACAGGAATTTTGATGGAGCTTGTCACGAAGCAATCGGAGAGGTACACGCGTCGGCCGCCCCTATCGATCGAGGAGAAGAGGTTAAGCAAGCCTGTAGTCGCGGAGGAAGATGCGGACGCTGCGGAGGAATATCCCGAGCCCGCGCCTAGTCAGGAGTACCGCAACAATACAGACATTCCCTTATTTCTTTGTGGCGACTACAACTCGATGGCCGATAGCTCTGTATACGAACTCTTAGAGAAGGGACGGATACCTCCCGATCACCCCGACTTAATTGGCCACTCGTACGGGAATTTTACGCGGGACGGCATCGAGCATCCGTTTAGCCTGCGTAATGCCTATGCCCACCTATTTGGGACTCCAGCGGAGCTTAGTTTCACGAACTACACGCCGACGTTCTCGGGCGTGATCGATTACATATGGTACACTACCAATACGCTGGATGTCGTCGAGTTACTTGGGCCTCCAGATTATGAGTATCTCAAACGCGTTCCCGGATTCCCGAACTATCATTTCCCGGCTGACCACATACAAATCATGGCGGATTTCGTGTTCAAGTCTAGGAAAGACAAGAAGGTGATTGCCGACCAAGATAGGTCCGGCGGTCCATCCAGGAATTAGGCCCAGGCCTGGGTCCGCTACGACACTGGTCAAATGAATACAAGAGAGCGCACGTCTCTTGAACCTTGGTCCCGAGGCATCGTTGCATTCCACAAATACGCACCCATAACGATGAAAATGCCCTATGACGATTTCGGCTCGAAAGACTTGAAGGAGGCGGAACGCGCTAGCTGCGTGTATATGAAGGGATAAGGTGTGATGCAGTGAAATCTTTTCTCATACATTGAGGACGGGTTTTGGCAAGGCAGAGTTAGGTTGGAAATCTCGGAGTGTGGTTTGCAACGTGGAGCGAGGATGGTTGTTTTTTCGCGATTTGATCTCTGCCCTTTATGTTCCCAGTTTTATTATTTTGGCGGTCCAACACGTTACCTTTACAAATGAAGATACGAGCTGCATCGTTTGCAGTCTCTGTTCCTCTTAACTCGTTGCATACCGTGTCCATGGGGCTTCTATGATAAGAGATGAAGTGATGTAGTCTCGCGTGACTGTTCGATCACGAGCTCGTCGAGTTTAGGTCTACTAACTAGGCCCTAAGATGGTACTATCGCGATTTTGCTCATGCTGGCTTTTCTTGTATTTTCGTTGCCTTACGTTGGACGAACACGTTATGATAATGATTGATGCGTATAGACCACTGATAAGCAGGGAACATAGACAGATTACTCGAGCAGTTAGCACACAATAGCAGTAGAACTTTGCGACGTATTGCAGGACTAGCTATAGCAATTCCACTTTTTTTAGCTCTAGGATTTGAAATTGGGAACGCGTGAACAATAATTGCTTGTGCTAGTTAAGGGGTAGATCAACGTAGGTTAAAGCCCTTGTGTTTAGTGGTCATGGGGTTGGAGCTGACTGAATAGGGGGTGTTCGAACACTTGGGTAGGTAAGTTTGTAAATTATAAAGAGAGTACAGCTCTATTAAAGTACGAAGAACTACGAACTTACCTGTATCCAGGGCAGGACCATTGACATATCGAGAAATCTTCCGTCTCACGTTTCTCAACAGTCCAAGCGTCTAACACAACCTTAAAAGGTGTACATCCTACGGGAATTCTATCCAATAACCTTGATCTCGTCATCATCGGAAGTAACCCTCGGGTAGGTCCCAGCTCTCGGACGCGCTTATACAAATACACGAGCCTAGCCTATGTAGTCTGACACGTTGGTCCATGATAATACCCAGGAGTCGCTCCGGGTTCGGTAGATGGAGTCCCGGAGTCATTCATGATAAGTTCGGGTGTAACCAACACTCTTACCTCTATTCTCCTTCAAGTATCAGCATCGACGTATAAGCCGACCCGGTTTGGTCCTCAGCTTAGCTGGATTAGGAATTAGGATTATCTGACTTTGACGGATGTTCTTACTGGCCGGCACTGGGGTGTCATGGTTTTACCCGAGTCTGTGCCAACGCCGCAGAGAAGCAGGAAAAGCTTCTTGATGCTGATGTGTTAGAGGCGGAAGGAATAATAGAGTTGGTTGTACGGCATATCATCACCGTTGCTAGCGCTTACATTCGGTAAAAATCCTTGGGACCTTTGATAATGTCATACATCAAAACCGAGCTCCCCCACGTCGACGAGCATCTCTGGAAGATTCCCTATTTCGGCATAATTTTCGAGACTCGGCAAGAGGATTATCGGAGTATATATGGTCGGCATTGTTATGGACCCACTGTGGCTGCGGCTGTTTTTTGTGAATACCTACATACAAATTGTTTACAATAGGGGCTCTAATGCGATGGGCGAATAAATGCCACACCCCTTAAAAGTAGGGCTCGTTTACGGCCGTTGGATTGTTGACGCCACCGGGTATTACATCAGCTTCCTCTTCCTCAGATCTTACCGTAGATCCGAGTCGTCTCTCCCGTCCAGCTTGATACCGAGACGCTTGGGTGACATGACCAACAGTTTGAATCTATTCTCGAAACCAAATACCTTAGTAATTACCCCTTTAGTAACGGGGTTATCTCCGGTTGACTAAGATTCACGCGGGACTTAATAGGGGTAAGGTACGAGATATTGTCCGCTCGAAAGCCACCGCCGCACCTTATTATCTAGCTACATATCGTCGGTGCTGAGGGCGCTTACTAGTGTTTCGGATCAAGTACTCCGTGTAATGTGGCTGCAGATAGATATCTGCAAGCCAACACTTTCAGCACTCCTCCTCTCATATCTTGACTTCACCGCAGGTGAGTGTCAGCTATTGCGTAGCATAGAGCATGGAACCCACGTTGTTGAATCCAACTCCCGTGTCCACCGGAGCGGTGTAACGGATTCCTCGGTAGTAATTAATAAGTCTTAGCTAGACAGCTAATACTTGGGGGATGCGTGTGTGTGGTTATGGTTGTCATGATGCGAGCTAGTAGTCAGAAAACACCATCCCGTTACACTAAGACCCGCGAACCTGAATACCGGGAGTAGGGGGTATGGGTATACATACATGTAGCGTGTCTTATCTAGATATCCCGGAGCTAGTATCGGGAATGGAATAAAATAAAAATTCTAAATAGTTGCATACTAGGTCTGATCTGACTGGAGCATAAACAATGCGTTGTCATTTAATTCCATTAGTTAAGAAAACTTGGATTGGGGTGGTACAGCATTGAAATACGACTAAAGTCTGGCATAAGCGGGATAAAGTCATCTCTTGTTATCTTTGAATCGAAGCTGTATCGTGCATTCACCTGAAGGATTCTATGAAGTGATATATCACATTAAGTTTTACTCGCTGCTCATTTAGCGACCCAACGAGTTTTCTATGGTGTATTGCACTTAATATATCGATCTGGCAAGAAATTAGCTATCTACGTAAGCAAGCAACCGTGTATAGGTATCTAGCGATATGTATTAGGTAGTAAAGCTACTCTAAAGCGGTCAAAACGTTGAGCGGTCAAGTTACCCGGCTTATGGCTCTGGTTTGGTGTAAGCTATAACGATCTTGCCTATCCAAGAACCATCTAAGATCGGAGCCGATTCTATCCCTTGACGGTGGACGATGAATCGAGTGTCACCCAGGTGGCTTTATCGCTGATCTATAATTTATCATGGGGGTCCTGTGACTATATGCACAATGCCTTCGTTAAAGATCGATGGCTTCTTTGACTTCCTTTTATGCACGTGTTATTCTGACCACGTACAGTTTAAACGCGGCCGTATTCCTTAGGGGATGAGAGGTCACTGCTATAAGAGTACCGTCGAGTCTCTGTAGTTTCCAACTCTCAGTCGTATTACCCCGTCGTTGAGTACTTCTACAACAAGTTCCGAGATGTCCGCCAAAAGTTTACCAGAAATAATCCTCGTCCCCGGGGCATTTGGAACAGTCGCTTGCTTCGACAAGCTACTGCCGTTCCTGAAAGAAGCCGGATTTTCAACCCATCCGGGGCCATACCCTAGCTATAACCACGCCAACCCAGCTGAAGCGACTTGCATGGATGATATTACTTCTCTCCGCAATAATACCATCTTACCTCTAGTAGAAGAACGACAGAAGGACGTTGTCATCATTGCGCATTCATATGGCTGCGTCCCAGCTAGCGCTGCGGCCAAGGACCTCGACAAGAAGACCCGAGAAGCGCAAGGTAAAAAAGGTAGCGTGGTCGGATTGATATTCGTAGCGGGTATAATCACCCTAGATGGCGAAACTGCGGTTGAAGCAATGGGCGGGTTACCGCCATACGTACGAATGGAAGGAGTATGGCCTATCTTAGTAACTGCTTGATATAAAGGTCTGTACTGACTTTTATATCTAGGACACAGCGTTTGTAAAAGAAGCAATGCACTACCTATATCACGACTGCGATCCCGCCATGGCATTCGAGTTAGACAAGCACCTAGCCGGCCACGCAGCTCCAGCCCTTGCTACCAAGCCCACAGCACCGGCATGGGCGGACAGTGGTTTCGATGGAAGAAGAGTGTACCTGCGAACACTGAACGACCGCTGCAAACACCTATCGGAACAGAATCAGTGGATTAAGAAGACGAACGTGGAGTGGAAGGTGGTGGACTACGAGACCGGCCATTACCCGTTTCATAGTCAACCCAAAGCTGTGGCGACACATATCGTGGAATTCGTCAACGACTTCGTCTCATTATAGACGAAAGGTTGGTCATTAGGGTGCTGCCGGATCGGAGGAGTGCGGAAGTTGAGGTTTAGTAAATAGTAAATACCCCTTGCAGTACAGTTTGTACTGCTCTTAGAGTCAGACCTCGTCTAGTATCATGTACGAAGCCAAGATCGGGTTGGACGAGATGGAGGATATTTATTTCGTTGTTGCATATATCTCTCAAATATACAATGTATAACATGCGAGACACGCCAAACTTACGATACCAAGTGTTTCTCGACGTATAATGTGCAACGTAGACTTCTCTTTCACCTCTGGTACCTGTCTCCGAGTCCGACTAGTCCCGGATGTTGTCTTTGTGCCAGCCCCGAGGCTCCGCTTTGCGGTCGGAACCGGACCGGATATCCGTAATTTCCATAAACGGAACCGCTCGGGATCTTTTCATTTTATATCGCACGACGCGACAGCTCGGGATAGAAAACATCCAGTAACTTAGACTAGTCGTATTGAGCGTCGCTCTTATCTGTTTAAGCCGACGTCCCATTTTGCATCTACGGAGACGCTATGTTCATAGCTCGATTTATCCTGTAAATGGACACGCACCGCCCAGCCGACAACTCTACCCGTATCAATCGACATGTCCTCGGCTGAAACACCGGCGGCGTACTGTGAAGATTTCTTTTTGACCTATCTCACTGCAAGCATATGTACACTTCTATGCTGCATAGCCACGATTTTTCATTACCAATGTTTACATGCAACGTCGGGGATGCGGAGCGAGGGTGTCTGCCAACTTACTATAGCGTCACGTTCAACCACTGTTTCTAACAAACTTAATGCATATTACTTTAACACGTACTAAGAAAATTTACAAGCTGTTACGTATTTCACTATACTATCTGAATCTAAATAAAAGTTCCTCAGCCACTAATTATATGGCAAGAATAGGTACGTGTAGAGACAATCATAAATACCATCCGCATGACTAACTTTTCAACCAAAGAAGAATAAAAATAGAAGAGAGAGAGAGAGAATTTAAATACTTTGAAAATTTAATATCTCCATAAGTCCAAGCCAGATAAGTAAGACTGCCAGTGTTTGAACAACGGTAGGGGGTAAATAGGTAATATAAGATTTAAGATATACTACGTAGATGTACGTATCTCATGGCGGCAAAAGGTCAGTGCAAATCAAAGCACAAGTTTAAACTAATGAATAAAGTTAAGTTTCTCGTCTCAGCTCACCTAATACCTTACGCGTAGGTGCCCGGGTACGTATATAAAGCCTTCTCCCCTATTATCACAAGACGGAATGCTTTCAACTTTTCTTATTAAAAACTCAACCCAGATTCCCACATTGCAAGCATCACCTTTGATAGCAGGGCACCAACAGCATCATGAGTCAAGAACCGCCATTTATCTCTTGGGAAATCATAGGAATTTTGTCCATTATCCTTATATTCATATTTTTCATGGCATTCTCATTCTGGATCTTCATACTTTTAACCAAGGACGAACGGGAAATACCATGCGCACCTAGTCTAGCAGCCTACCGCGCTAACCGTGCCAACCGTGCTACGAATGACGGTTACTCTTCTGTGCCCTTAATCCACCCGCGCACGACGACGATTCTATAGAAGATGACCTTCCTGTGAACGACGACCCTGCTACATATTATAGACCCGCAAACGGTAGTTCCCCTACGTACCATTACGTTCCCATATACTATCACGTTCCCGTATACGGAGGAACACATCGATACTCCTGAATCCTCACCAGGGGGGTACCTACACTACGAGGTACGTTAACTGTACGATTAGAACAGCCAAAGCTATAAGGACACTAATTGTATAATGGGGTAGTTGGAAGTTTTGGTTAGACTGGAGCGTCTATCAGGAGAAAGGAAACGGAGTAAAGAAGAGAATAAGGTTAGAGGCAAAATAGGTACCTGATATAAGTCCTGCAGGTAATTTACAGGCAGCTTGTTACGGCCCGTAAGGGGTAATTGATAGTCCAAGCGAAGATAGAATTACGAATGTGTCATTCCTAAATCTCCTCTTTCAGACAACCTTTGAAATTAGGTATAACTTCTACAATAATTGTGAAATGTTTCAATCTACTACCGAACGAATGATTTATCAGCCCCCACAATAGTCGGTTGGCCGTCAAGAGGGCTTCCATTAGTTCAGTATGGTGGAAGTAAGGTCGTGTATAATTACTTCCTAAGCTACCTCCTATATTCGCATTGAGCAAAATCGGTATTCGATGTTGATAGTGTAAACGTTTGGGTACCCGAGAAATTGTCACGTTGGCTGTTTGTCGTGGTGAATGAATAAATGGAAGGGCAAGTAGATAGATATGTGGATGTCCAGTAAGTGAGCTGCCATTCTAAATTGTCCAACATGAGGATGAAGTGTGTAGAAAGCGCTTGGGTTTTGCTATGTGTTGGGTCTTCTCTCGGTTCATCTGTTAATTCCCCAAACTTGACCCACCTCTCTTGCTTTGTGTAGTCATTTCCTTCGTCAACCATTTTATGTGTTATGCTCTCGTAGGTACGTTTTGGTATCGTTTGAGTTTTGGCCAGGGCTAAAGATTATCTAGGTCCAACTTTCCATTTCCACTTTACCAGCCAAGTCACTTAAGCACTTCGAGGAAAGCTCCATAAGGAACAGATTGGGAAATGGACAGAGCCTTTTGACTGAATGAATCGACGACGAAGCGGAGCTAATAAAGCTACATGATACATTGGAGAAACTCCAGTAGCAGAGTTAGGTAGAGATAGGCTTATGCGGCCTGTATGATAAATACAAGCGTGCAACAACTGTTAGACACCAGGACTGAGACGATCGACTTGGTAAGCGACCCATGCGTTGGTGGCGTTATTGCAGACGAAGGGACTTCCACTTATACTTGTTACAATGACGGTTCCTTCATCTTTGCATAGCGGATCGCTGTGTGCGCGGACTAGGCAAGGTATGTTAGTATATAACAGCAATATATAAGTTAAGTAAAGGATCAACTGATCAGCTTACAAACCCATCCGGCAATCATATATAGGTACATGGACCTGAAGGGGTCGCCATAGCGATTGCAAACACCAGTCATCGATTGAGTCACCGTGCCTACTCCCTGGTTGTCTGCGAAGCAACCCGTCTGACCAAACGTCCTTAGATCACCAACATAAGGGTCAAATCGTGGAAGGGGTCCTCCCGTAGTGATAGCAACGAGGGCGGCAAGGCCAATGAGGATAGAAGTGAAGTACATTGCAAGATTGAATCGTACCTAAGGTAGATATTCTTAATTTCCTCCTTGTCATAATAGGACATCAGAAAACCGAACACTTAGAAACTCGTGTTTTATAAAGAATAAAGAATAAAGAATATGGACCCTGAAAAAAGGCCAATCTAGATGTCTAGGTACGATAGTACATATGATACTTACCTTACTCTACCTGTTTTAAGACTCATGATTTCGTCATACACGAGTAGCTATCTGAGTATATAGTATGGATACATCTTGAACCTGGGTCGGATCCTATAATCCGAAAGCTTGGTAAGTTTGAAAAACTAATATACGGATGGTATATATATATGAATGTTCCTTGCCTTGCTTTACCTACTCCAACAATCTATACCGATCAAAAGGTACCTTTAAGCTTTTTGACAGTGCTGCATTGATTAAAAAGAGTAGCAGTAATCAATATAACGATATACAAAGGTATCTTAGGTACCTACATACATAAGATATCAATACCTATTAATAGGTGTATTCACATGCAGACAGGCGGTGGTGCAACCTAATTCAGGTACTAATGATGTCAGCGTGCTACCTGCTGTATTGTACCGCCAGTAATTTCTCGATCCTAGCACCTTCCTCCCGCCAATTCGTCCCCTGGCGCGTCACCCAGGAAGTTAACTGGCCAGCGCAAATTGATTAACAGAATTTAACCTCAGGAACCCACCGTAGACCTTTTTTGCAGACCTCTAAATCACCAACATTTGTAGAATGTTGACTCCGAAACCTCATCTACCCTTTGGCGGAGGAAACAGATCTTCTTATCCAACATTCGGTTTTTTTCGTTTCGTTTTTTCTTTTAGTCCAAGTGACGCTTTTCGAGTATGCACCGTTTCGACAGTTCAACAGTTCAACATTTCCATTCCGTAGCCGCATCTTCATAGCCGATCGAACGGAACGACATCTACAATGCCTGGCGGACTAGAAGCATCACGTTGGGCACCAGCCCCGACCAATTATCGCATAAACAAACAACAAAGTAACCGTAACCGCCGTCGCTCTGCGCGAACCTCGTCGTCGTCTCTATCGCAATCTACCCCCTCGACCAAATCGGCCTCGCGATCCGATAACTTCCTTACCCAAGACGAATTATCCAACGGCCTACCCCCGCCTGAATACGAGTTGTCTCGATTCCTCAAGATTGTCGCTCGTCTCAATTGGAAAATGCCGTTCCTTAAGGAGGGATATCGCATAGCTATAGATAATGCTGGCAAGCCGCCGTCTCAAGTCGAAGCTCACGAGATTCAATTCAAGTTGGACTTCCACGAATTCTACATGCTCATCGAGCGAGCCCTGGTCCGCCTCATGGGCATATTTGGAATCGCCGTGAAGAATCAAGGCGCTACAATCAACGGCGTTTTCACACTATACGGAAGCTCAGAGGGCGGTCAGCATCGGTACCATGCAAACGTTCTTAGGGCGCTTGAAGACTCGAAAAATCCCCTCAATGTCATATTTGGCGCCCCTGAAGTCAAGAAGCAGCTAATGAGGGCTAAGGATCTCCGCAACCGCTGGAAGAACATTGACGAAGCAGATTCAGCATCACTTCCACCCGCACCGCTCTCAGCCTATAACCTCGAGCTTATGGTGCAGACTATTCTTTCGGCGATCGAACGCGCTCACGCTTTCACCGTCGAATATGTTGTTAAGCGCGAAGGAAAACCCATGAATACTCCTAGTGAGACTGTCGGGGAGAAAGACTGGGAGTTTATGGTGGATGCGATGGATTGGGAAGCCGTTTGATTTACCTTACTTCTAGGCATATTGACGCGTTGACGCGTTGACGCGACAAGCCATTAGTTGAATTCCTCTCTTCCAAGGTTGTTTCTTTCAATTATAGGTTAGGTACCTAGGTACTCAGTCTTGACACTGGCGTTTAGGTTGACGATACGATTACGATTATGGCATGATACCCGGACCTATAGGATAAGGTATCCTTTTGGCTCAGCAGGAATTGTTTGTATTGTTTGTACACTAGCATCTGTTTTGCGTTACCTCAGGTTCAACTCTCAGGTTCAACTATTATGTTAGGTAGTTACATAGTTGAACACTAAACCTAACAATTCATAATCATCTTTACTTATAACAGGTAACTAAAACTAACCATAGTTACACTAGTAGTTAGTCAAAACCCTTTGATCTCTTGCTTATCCCTCGTGATGATGACAAGGTCCAATAGTGTTTTGCCTTGTCGAATGAAGAACTTAGCATTTAAAACGTGACATGAAGCTTCGAATTAAATCCGAGGGTACGACGCTTAGCATCAGGGGTCTTCTTGTAGGGCTGTATTGTACATAGCTCACATGCTAGGTACTTAAATCTAGACCAATAAAACGCCCTGATTCGCTTTTAAAGCAGTCTCACCCCCCCTCCGTTAACGTCAGACAACTCCACTCCTTTCTCAATCGCGATAAGGGTGATAAGTACCTCCTAACCTACCTACGTAAACCCCCTTCGAGCTCTCTACCTCATACATAAATCCAATGATCTCTCTATTCTCTCACCCTACATCCTCATCGTAAAAAGCTTTACCAGGCGCTTCTCTAATCATGGCGCCACATCCTACATCTCTACGCTCTATATGGGCTCACGCAAATAACCTCGTCTCCCAATTTCCGCTTAACCTCCCCAACCTTCCAAACCCGCTCGCGATCCTTGGCCCGTTCGCTCCTATCGATATCGACAACTCCGTCACACCCTACGATCCTCTTACCGGCACGCCATCTTGTCCTATCAACGGACCTGTAAGCTGCCATAACACAACGGCCACCGATTCTTGCTGCTTCATTCATCCCGGCGGACGTTTGCTACTGACGCAGTTCTGGGACGAGAAGGCCCACGTCGGCGGAAGCGAGGAAGACTGGACCCTACATGGATTATGGTTGGTTGACATACATACATTCCCCTTCCAATAATCAGCTCTTATAGCAGTACAATACACTACATAAGCTAATACCTGCTATCTTGCCGCAGGCCGGATCTTTGCGATGGATCATATGACCAGTTCTGTGGAATGGCACCCCAGTTCAACAATATCAGTAAAGTGCTAGAGCACTATGACCAGGCGGACTTGGTTGCGGATATGAATCGATACTGGATTGCGAACTAGTATGTGTTCTATAACCTCTTCTAAAAAGAACCAAAGGCCCCGTAGCGCATGGAGCTTTGCTAATCAGACGGTGTAGCGGCACGAATGATCACCTATGGGCTCACGAATACAACAAGCACGCTACATGCATCAACACCCTCGCCCCGAGCTGTTATGGCGAAGACTATACGCCGGGCCTTGAGGTCGTCGATTACTTCGCGCGCGCCTTCAGCTTATTCAAGATGCTAGACACTTACCGGGCCTTGGCGGACATTGGCATAGAGCCCAATTACAAGAAGACTTACTCCCTAGCCAAGATACAGTCCACGCTCGAGAAATTCAGCGGCGGTCGAGTTATCCTCAAGTGCACGGGTAGACACCACAACGTCCTCCACGAGGCGTGGTACGTGTACTTCGTGAAGGGCAGCTTGCAGAGCGGCGACTTCGTGCCGGCGAAGGACAGTTTCAAGGGCAGCGAGGGTAACTGCGCGTCCCAAGTGAGGTATCTGCCTAAGCGCCATAAGTAAAGTGTAAACCATACTGCATCCTCAATTGCTTGAGTAAGCGCATGGCATTGTCTGGTCTGGCGTTGGGGGTTTGGGTACGCGAATATGTCGGAATAATTTGGCCAGACGTATAGAAGCTCTTCTAACATGTTTAGTCTGTTTTCATATTCAGGTACGTAATACGTACCAGATAGCGAGCATCTACAATATAATTTGATTATTTTAGAGTGTCATCTACTATGCATGGGGAATATCGAGTATTAAGTTGCTATCAAACACAGTTCTAACAGTTCTAAAAGTAGAACAGATGTAAAACCGAAGCAGTCAAGTCTTGTCATCTTTCTTGGAGTTTAGAGGCCTCCCAAGTCAGAGCGTAGTTTAAACTTTATATTTACCTGGAGATGTAGGAGTTAAAGTCATAATTATTATCTTACTGTACCGGACGCTTCCGTTCGTTTAGGCGATAATCATTTGAGTTGACAGCCACTATCGTGACTTGGATGCCCAGGTCAACTTGGACACTTACTAGCTCCTTACTAGCGGAAAAGCATATGATATGTAGAGGATGTGGGCGAAATGTGGATTTACATAAAAATCTTGAGTTACATATATCGTTGATTGTCTTATTTGTACGATGCGGTCTGTAGACGTGTCTTACAGCGTGGAAGTTGAGAAGTCTATCCCTCCAACGTGGTACCAATGGTAAACTCCTTTCATCTTGTACATAGTATGCCACGCGGCTATCTGCAGCATGAATTGATAGGGGAGTCACTCCGAGATTGTATTAAGTAAGATATTTGAATAAAAAAAAGTATTATATGCTGGCTGACTTAAGGAGTCAACTCTATAGAATTTTTCTGCGCTGGATATAACAAGTTGGTTCGATAGTATAGACGTATATACGTCATCTTAAGTTGCGGCTTAATCCCCGCATCGACAAGGACGTTGAATAAAGCTCGCTGCACCGGCCTTGCGTTACCTACCTGCCTAGGTACTCGAGCGGAGCAACATCGCGGAGTTGGGGAGTATTCAGATGCAAGCCATCCCGCTCGTAACTCCGCGCGTGACGGCGCTTGTCGTACATACCTAGGCTGGGTATCTGCTGGATGGATCCATATGTAGGAACGCTATGGAGAATCACCTGCCTATCCGAGTAAGGATAGGGTTTGCTGGGCCGCTCGTTTGAGGCTCTCGCGATTCTGAGAAGAGCTCAAAGAGGCATGTGAAAACTTGAAGGAACTGGATGGAAGTAGCTATCGTTTACCTACCTCTCAACTGTCAGTTCTCAGTAGCTCTATGTGATGAGACAGCATTTACATCCACGTGGATTGGAAGCACAGCTCGCTGCTACGTGATGGCGATGAATCCTCGCAGTATACATTAATTCTATAAAATTATGTGTCATAGAACCTCAGATCATGCCATGTTATATGTAAGAAGAGATAGAGTTGTTAACGACGCTTGGCTTGCAAGCATCGATAATTGGTCTTATGAGACTTAATATACTTGGATGAAAGAGGGGTTATGAGATAGGCGGTGAGGAGCACATCTACATGCAACACTAGCATGGGCAATGCGATAACCGGGAAAATGGGCTTCAGCAGGGGGACTGGCCAAGATGAGCAACAATTCTTCGTGATAGCCTCCTTACCGTACCTATACCGCCTATACCATACCTAGGTAATTTAAATACCCTGAATCGGTAAGTAGACTAGCACAATAAACCCAGGAGGGTATGCCTCAATTGAGTTTAACTCCCGGGAAAATGACTATGTGAGGCACCACCTGATGTATTCTACTATGTAGGAGAAGCGGGAAGACATCATTCTCGGCAGCGCACCGCTCAAATGCCGACAGGGCAATATTGGCATCTGCCTGCTAGCTTCTTATGAATTGGTGGTGTGGGGGCGCCATGTTTTACTGATCGACTGTTTGCTGGTGAAACATTTGGTAGAGAGAGCTGTGACTAGATTGGTTGGCTGCATTCCGTTGTCACCTTTCTGTATTCGATCGACTAGGCATGAGAGCCTTTCAGGTAAGAAATCGCGTGGTTTTTGCAATAACACGGCAACGATAACTGACAGAAGCAACGTGGAGTAGGTTTGGTTCTGAAGAATCTCCTCCCGGCTGTGATTTTATGGATACGTTTGTTATTAGTGTAAAGTTGGTATAAAATTTTGTCTTTTAAGTATATAGAACTAGAAGTAAATTTATTTCAAGTTAGCATGATTAGTGCTATATTTTATATTTCGGCGTTTATGTGAATGAGCCGATGTACCACAGTTTTCATACTAGTGGAATATAAAATGAATATTACGGCTTAAGTGAGAACAAAAGTAGGATAGTGGCGCACTTCATAGGGAATGATCGACAGCGCAAGCTCGAATTTGCTATCCACTCACTGGCTGTAGAAACGCTGCATGACTTTTTGCTGACTCCGCTCTACTCCACACACAGTGCCGTTGCTCGCCCTGGAATTGGTTCCCAGATTCTAGCCTTAGCCAGTAACAGGTCGGTATTTCACGTTACCTGCAGTTACCTGTAGTAGAAGGATGAGTGTACTGTACCTTGTCAAGATCAACCTTGTCAAGTCGCATCGATGATCGTCAAGGCATTAAGGGACAGCCCCGCGTTGAAGTCTTGTTGCGATGCTATCATGGTAAGTATCGTACATATTGGATGTCATGTTCTTTCTGCCAGAACGAGCAACGGATGACAGCTCTGTCTTAGCGATGAAGATTATATGCCGTAGTGAATAATACGGCTAATAAGACCACAGTGAATTAGTAGCGTGGCCCGCCCAATATTGTGGTAACCGTGGACACATTAATGGGACGAGTATATAGGTAGTTTGAAAGGCAACTTGTATGTCCGGACAAGCTTATGTATATCTAGTCTTTAAAATTGCTGAAAACTTCATGGTGTGCGGTCATAAGCGTTACAGCGATGGAACCCTGCTCATCAAACGTGCATGCGATGAAGCGTGCCGTACGGGTCACACTTCTGTGTGTTGATGGATCGCATTGAAAGTGTGCTATACTGTACGGATGGGTTTGTCCACTAGGCTGTTGGAGTTCTAGACGTCGATAACAGCGGCACCCGTAAATATTTTCGCGCAAATGTCTCCATATTGTGGGGTTGGTTCAAGATTTTGGGATCTCGTGAGAGAGGGGCAGATGAAGAAAGAAAAATGAATCTACTTACACACTGACATATCGATTGGTTGATTGGACTTGTCGACGGCTAAGCATATCAATGCTTCTTCTTCCTGGGATCGATTATCGAATCAGCGAAGAGTAGTGTTTAATGCCGATTCCTACAGCCCCCATCCTTATTGATGACAGATATATAGCTGAGCTGGCCATATCGAGCTTTTTGTATTGGTTGTGATTGATAACCAAACTGTGAAAAATTCCTAACAGCAGACTGGTTGTCTTGAGGCATTATATGATGACAATGACGCGTCTCTACGCCCCCTCCCCCACGGCTCTTGAAAGTCAAGGACATACCAAATTGATGCCTGGAAATAAGGTAAAACATTTCGTTCATTTGTAAGAGACGTGGTGAGGTATGTAATCCATAGAAGTTTGGGTCTCTTTCGCTGCTAGGCCGCGCGCCTGATGCCTATGCCAAGCAATTTGGGGGGAGTTTGCCAAGCCCTTAAGAGATCTTCAAACTGAGGGATTCCCAATTCCTGAGGATCAGTGGTTGACTCAAGTCTCTCGATACTATCTTTATCGACGACCCTAAGCAACTAAAGTAAGCAACATTGACGCGTAAAGCCGCCTGTGTCAGGAGGGAGAGGGCTAGCAGTGGATGTCAGCATTGCAGGAACTGATTGATCCATAGCGTGTTATGTAGGCGTATGCACGACACTAAGTTACACTAGAAACTAGTTGTAGCTGATAACTGGTTGGCTTTTACATAAGTTCGTTTGAGGATCGACGAGGGAAACCCGAAGAGTGACATGTATCGAATTAGCAAAATTCCGCAGGCGTAGCTTTAAACTGCTGTGTAAGGTGTAAGCTGTGTAGTTCGCTGGTATTGTATGTACGATATATATCAGGTAGTACGGTATATAAAATTCACCAAAGAGTTCAATACGATCCTGATTTGTCGTGAGTTAACTAGGTACATACTGGGAAGAAAATTTCGTGGATCTTATGAAGTTAGGTAAGTTGGTATAAAAAAAAAAAAAAGTGACCCTGAAGCGCCGGATGGCCCGAAATAGAATATCGGGGTTACAATTGGGTTGTACTTTCCCATATGGCGCAGGAGAAAGGCAGAGAAAAGGCTTTAATGTTCTAGGTTAACATTTAGCGTACTGTACCTATCCGGCCTGCCCTGCCCTGCCAGCCTGCCTGCTCTTCAGCAGACCAGGCACCTGGGCAAACAAGCGGGCGAAGGCAGGTACCGACGATGATTGGGTACTGTACATTCAATTTATACTGTACTGCGCCTTTCCGGCTGTTGTACTGTACTTGGATCGTAGTATAATTTCTATTCGCAGGCAGAGTATACACTATATAACCCCCCTGTACTTGTACTTAGGGTACTTTACAAGGAATCCACTTTGTCGATCGCAGGTTCTCGTAGTACAATAGGTACATCACTAGATCCATAGATGCTTTCGTTCACACTGCACTGTCGTATTGCGTTTTTGTTTCTTTTCTCCCACCAAGCATTTCCTGTCTTGACTAAATCCAATCCCACGAACCTCCCACATCTCACACCCAAGTCTACATCTTCGGTAGTCTTCCCGTGTCAAGCTGTAAATCGATATATTTTAAGATTTCAGCTCGAATAACCTATTTAGAATTATTTTAGCTTTGGCGGTTGGAATAACGGTAGCGCATGACAGCGCTAGCCTTTTAACATTTCTTTTTTTTCTCTTTCTTTTTGCCCCCGGAATAACTTCCTATGACTACTACACCGGGACGGTCTGTAACGTTTAACCTCACCTCCTTCCTATCCTCCGTTCGAGTTCGTTCGCTTCAAACCACGGAGGAAAGAGAATCGGGTGTTGTCATCGTCACCCTCGGTTGACTGGCTGGCTCGGAACAAGCTTCTGGGTCGGGTCAGCATTACGCGAGCGTATGCCTCGCGCTTCAGCATCGGCAAAGCGACAGCACGGTGCTTCGATCCATCGCGACACTAGACAACACGAGAATGGGCTGGTAGGCCCGGGGAAGCGCGTTTCCAAGCAAAAGAGCCTGGGTCATTTGGATGGGATCGCGAAGCAGCCTGACGACGATGCGGCTATACCCCCTGTTCCGCCAACACCACCCCCCTGTGCGAGCGGCTACTCCAAGCAACCACTCGAAATGCCCGTAGAAAATAGGACCACCGAGTCTCTTAGAAGGGGCTCGCTTGGCGGCTATTCCGAGTCCTCGTCTTCCGAGTCGTATAATTCTCACGTCGGAAATGCCCATATCGAGGAGAATCATCGCCGAATCGATGTTAACGCCACCAAGAATTCCGACGTTCACCGTGATCCTGGTCCGTTTGGTGTCGACTTTGCTTTAACCGTTCTTCGATCATGTCCCCTACAAGACACTATCGCTATTCTCATCATCTTAATGCAGATTCCTCCACTGGCTTTGTCTTGCATCTACGTGCTTTTCACCCTGCTTACTTTCGTGACGAGCAACGGCCTGACATTTAGCGATGTGTTCGAATGGAACTTGGGCGCTCCCTCCCTGGCAACTGTTATATGCGTCGACGGTATTGTGCTTTTGATTTGGTTGTTTCTATGGGGTCCGATTCAGCACGTAATCCTCGACTTGGCGCAGATGGTTATTGCCTTAGGGTTGGGTGGCGGTTCCAGTTCAAGAGATGGCGGCTCAATGAAGAATACTCTTATCTGCCTAAGTATGATCTTGCTGTCTCACGTGCTGCGCCATACCAAGATGAAATACTCCCCTGTAGGGTACCTCTTGGGTTCGAGCCGCTTCATGACATCTGATCTAGATGACCCGCTTGAATCTCTAGATTCTATACGCGGTTATGATAAGGTCCAGACGGGATGGTTTGGCTGGGTCAAGAGCATATTGGCAATTCATATTTTGACGCAGGGCTTAGTTAAGTACATACGCGATTGGTATCTGAGACGAGAAAGGCGCGATATCCTGGCTCAAAATGCCGCCGATCCCGAGGCTGGGAAATCTTACACCGCGGAAAACGACGGCGGATTTTCAACCCCGGATAGCGATACTGCTTCTCTACAAAATTCAACAGCGTTAACTACAAAAAAGAAACGAAAACAAAGTGCCCAGATCCGGAATCGACAACCGCTCTGGGCAGCTCTAGCGAGCACTAAGATAGTTGTTGTGAAAGAATACGAACTTACTCATGCAGCAGCAGAGTCCGCAGGTTCTAATGCGACTGACATTCATAACCTGGGGAACGCCCCATTCAACACGGAGCCTGGGCAGATCTGGATTACGTACGTTGGTTGCGATGAAGTGTGTTTTAGCACCAGTCACTTTTTCAGCACACCCGTGCCCGAGGTTGCACAAGATGGGTCAAGGATGAATATATCTAAACCCTTCTATGTGAGGGTTAATAATGCTGTTTGGCAGCCTACGCGGATGGTACCAGTGCACGATTCTGAGGCGGACGTTAGCCAGGGAACTCGTTGGAGCGGAGATATCTACGGGCTCACTCCTATGTCGAATTATGAATGCGAATTCGTCAGTACAACAACGCATGAGATTTTATTCTCGACGAGTGTTAGGACCACCCAAGCCCAGTCAGCGGACGTGGACTCTAGTGCTTCGAAGCCTGCCGGCCAGCGGTCTCTTCGGCCCGACTCGCCCATTACAACTCTCAAGACCTCAATTGCTGCAGCCGAAAGCAAGCTAGCGGAAGAAAAGGCCCGACAAAAGGCTCTGCGAAAGGAATTCCATCGGAAAGCGAATGCTATGAAAAAAGACAATGAGAAGCTCTCTGCAGCAGTCCAGTCAGCCGGCACGGGTGACGACAAGCTACGCCAAAAGATCCAGCAGAATACTACCCAGCACAAGCAGGCCGAACAAGCGATCATTAATCTCGAGGCGGAATTAAAAGAGTTTGCGTCCATTCCCGAATCTTTGAAATCAGCTTGGAAGGCCAAGCAGTCCGCATGGACTAATGAGAAGGCCAAATACGATGGCGCGGTAGCAAAATTCAAGAGCTTCAAAGCATCTGTTGACCGTGGGATTAAGGCCCTTCAAGAGGAGAAAACAGGTCTACAAGCCAAGCGTAACAAGATCAGCAACCGCATTGCCAAGGTCGATGGCGAGCACGCACGTATCACCGATGCTAACGCTCGTGGCCTTGATGAAGCAGAGCGGCGTCGGCAGGCCCGGGAAACGTACGAAAACGACATCGCTAAAATAGAACAGGATCTCAATGCCAAGATTAACGAGATTGAAGCTGCTATCTATAATAAGGAACGAGACAACGAGGCGCTGAAAACGCAATTGGATTCATTTCATACGCAGCAAGCAGCTTTTGCTTATGCGAATGCCTATGATTTCCCCGATGCTTCTGCCCCGTTTTCGTCTCCGGGCTCGGCGCCTCAAGTCCAAGGAAATGTGGCCAGCGCGGCTCCGTACGATGCTACGGCTGCTTGGAACAATAGCCTGTATAATTCATCCCTTTGGGGTCCATCGCCCCTTGCTCCGGGCTTCATGGCTCAGGGAACTGCTGCGCTGAATGTCCAACTGCCCGTGACCAAGGCGCGAGGACGTTCCTCGTCAATGCTCAGCGATGTATCTGGTTTTACGCAAAGTAGTACAGCCGAGAACGAAGGGCAAAGTACAGTCCGAGGAAGTATCGGGAATTCTGGTGCGTCTCTAGGCCTTGAATACCCTACGCCCACCGGACCTCGAAGCAAGATTAATGGCGAGGCATTGAGCGATGGCACGGGTAGCCCCAGCAGCGGCAGTATCGGAACTGGTAGTGTCGGGGATCCGATGAGCCCTGGGCCTTAAACAAGATGGTCGTGAGTGCTTTAATCGAGCTCCCACCACAATTCGGGAATGTCTTCGAGATTATGCGGCGATGAGCTTTCCAGCGCACCCACCCAGGCTGAGTAGATTGGATTAGGCAATGATAGGCGTTTTTCTTTCATCTTGTGTATTATTTTGGACTACATTTTTTGGCTCTGTGACGTGACTACCTCCTAATCCATGACATCTGCTTTACCGCCCCGACGGTATGAATCCACAGGTAAGGAGTCTTATTGACGTTTTATGAGCGCGCATAAAGTGCAAGTGATTTGAGAGTTACTCTACCCTACTTGGCCGTCTTGACTTGGATAAAATGTGCTTACACCGCCATATTTTTATTGCGTACCTCTTTAGGCACCTTTGACGAATAAAAGGATTTTGGTGAAGATAGAAAGAAAAGGGGCTAATATGGACGGGATTAGGTCATAGGTATTGACGGCAGCTCTTGGAGCCGCATTTATGGATTTGTGGATTACCTAATATGTGGCACTCAACTAAGTTTCGTCATCAACGGAATTAGGAATTTTCGAAATCCTAACGCCGTTCTTCTTTCTCCCTCATTTCATTTTGAACTTCGCTGTTGTTACAATTTCTTGCTTTATACTCCGTATATTGCCCAGATAAACTACTTTTAATACGCTATTTCTGAAACCCGTCGACGGAAATCGCTTTCGTCTATTCCGGCACGCCTGCATCTCCACCACTTCCGATCGGTTTCTTATACGCGGAATACTTAATAACTAGCCGCTAACGTTACACTTGGCATACATGCCCAGATGGATCTCGCCTCAACTGGCTCGAGAGAAGCTGTGGCTTTATTATCCAGCACTCGCAAATCGGTTCCCTATGGCCAAGCATGTACCAATTGTTCTAAGGCCAAGTGCAAGTGTATCAGCCGCGGTAGTCCCGGTTCAACTTGCGAGCGGTGCCAGCGTCTAGGTAAAGAATGTGTTCCGTCTGTCAGCGTTCGGAAACGTGCGGCAAGGCGTCCCGCCTCCGAGAGAGCTGCTCATCTTGAAGAGAAACTCGATGATTTGGTTTCGATACTCCGGGCCCAGGCCGCTGTTAACCCCCCGGCGGTGGGTACTTATAGGCCTGTTACCAACGGCGAACTACCTAGCGCGAGCCCTAGCGTCGATGCCAATGCCGGTTCCATGGACTTGGACCCGTCTATAGGGGTTGTGCAGGGTGGTAATGATTTGGCTGCTACTAGCCATGCCTTACCACTGCCGTCAACCGTTGATGCTTCTTCTTATTGCGACAGATATCCCTCTGCAACCTCATATCCCACCCCGCCTTCTGTCACCTCTTCTCACGATGGAAGTCTCTCGCCTGCTGAGGCTGAAGATACCTTACGGATGTTTAAAGACCTGTTTCTCCCCTTCTTCCCGTTTGTGTATATACCACCAGACACTACGTTAGTATTATCACCCCCATTTTTCAACTTCGTCATTGTCAAGACCCTTAATCACATAGTACTATACGTCCATAATTATTTGCTCGCAGTACCCGTTGAATACAACTAACCCTGGCGTTTTAGGGCTGCGCAATTGCAGCAGGCGAAACCTTTCCTATGGCTGAACATAATGACTATCTGCTGTAAATCACGGCCAAGAAAGTCAGCTCTCAGTCAAAAGATCAGAGAGTATATAGCACAGAAGATGTTAATAGATCTAGATCGAAATATGGACTTGTTACTCGGGCTTCTTGCATATCTAGGTTGGTATGTAATCTAGCTTCTCTTCCATACCGCTTTGAACGTGGGATACCCTTCTACATACCTTATCACGATGTTTCTAGCTATCAGTACTTGTCTGACGTCTTCTCTAGGGGCATGCACCATTTCAGTGGAAAGCCATATATCGTCGCTTATACGAACCTTGCTGTTACAATAGTTACGGATCTTCGTCTTGATAAGCCAGCTCAAGATAATTTTTATAAAGATCTTCATTGTTTCAAGCCTTCTTACCCATACCCAAAGATACCAATCTCATCTACTCGAACAAATGAGGAGAGAAGGGCTACCTTAGCATGCTTTACTCTTTGCTCTAGGTATGTTCACTCTCTTGATACCGTGCGTAACCAATGCGCAGCGGACATAGTGTAAGTCATAGTATGGACTAAACCATTAACTTACCTGCTATAGTATTTCAAATTTTTTGAGGACCCAGACAATGCGTTGGACCGCTCACATGGAGGATTCTCTTCAAAAGCTTTCTGTGAACCCGGAATGTGTAGGCGACGAAGCTCTCGTGGCGATGGTAAGAACGTATAAAATACAAGAGGATGTTGCGCAAATAACCTGGCGTACCGCGGAACCTGCTGGAAATTCGACAGGAATAAGGGCGCCTCCTGCTATTTACGTTAAAGCCTTGCGCGCCAATTTGGATGCGATTAAGAAGGATCTTCCGCCTACGCTCTTAGATAATAGTAAGTCGCCCCCTAGATACCCCCAACGGTATCCTCTCCGCACTAGTTGTTTTGAGCGTTTATACTATTTCAAATGAGGTTGCAGCCACGATCATGTTGCTATTTTAAATATTCCCTAGACTGACAGCGTAGTAGAAGTGGTTAATTCGCATTTATATGGAGCAGAGCTATCTATAGCGGATATGTCCCTCTGGAACGTGAACGCATGGCTTTCAACACACCCACATAAGCCGACTGGTGTGAGTGGAAGCGGGAGCGGAAGTATTGATCTGGGCAAGATGGACGCATACTATGCTAGCCTCCAAGCGAGCAAGGCTTGCCTCGAAAATTTCCTAAGATTTGAATTAGCCGAATATCCTGCCATATCCTTCTCGGTTACACTCCACTTCGGTAGGGCAGCGCAAACCCTCTATCGGCTTATGGTAGTAGATGACCCAGAGTGGGATCGCAGCATTGTCAAGAATACCATCGACATGATGGCAGCTTTGGAGCAGATCGCAAATAATTTTACGCAGGTATCAAGCGTATGTGGTTTAGAGAATAGTGACGACCCGGATAACATGGATTACTATTGTCGGGCCGGTATGGCGCTCCGAAGTACTATTCCGGTTTGGAGCTCCGCGCTTGACCAGATTAACCTCGGGGCGAGCGTTGGCACGGCGGTTTCGGATGGGATTGGGATGGGAGCTGGTGCTGCAACGTCGTATCAAGTCCAGGCGCAAGTCCTTCCGGAGTTGACGTCGTTAGATTGGTTAGACGACCCGTGGTTATCGGATATGTTGCGATCTTGGGAAGGGAGCTAATCATGTCGTATCTTATGCGTTCATATATGGATTGGTCTGCATTGCTACCGCGTAGCCGTTGTGTCATTGTCATAGCATGGAATACCCAAGTTCGGCGCCTGGGTCGGATTTTTGGAAAGGCAGGGAGCATATAATGTATTACTTTTGCCTGTAACGTATTTGAATTATCGGGATTGATCTATCTTACTCACGGGGAGTTCACAGGTTTGGGGAGGTTAATGGTGATGGCATCCTTAAAGGAACATCGCCTACCAATTGTAGCTCTGCGGATATCTCAAAATATATACCTCATGTAACGAAAAGACGCGAAGAAAAAATAATTGCAGGCACTTATTCTTGCCATACGATATCGTATAGACGGACTATTCATCTCATGACGTTGACCCGTTTGCTTTAAATGTCCCATTGAAGTTCTAGTCCCAGCCCCCCATCGAGTCGTAGTTAAATAGAAGAAATACCTACCACATGTATATAGTAGTAAGCCAAGCCTGCAGTCTACATAGCTCGCATTCCTGTTCGAGGATCTAAAGCTTATCTAGATCCGTCCTACCTATATAACTTACCGCCAAATAGCAACCGACCGGGACTCTTAAGCCAAGATCTGCGTAGGTGACGTGCTGTGTTTTTGTATATGGATGACTTACGCAGGAGTGCGTGAAACGAAACCCTGTCATCGCCCATAGTTCAAGCCAATCCCATCCCATTCCCATTCCCCATGCCTTGAGCGACGTCAGAGAGGGACGGGATTCGGCGGGGTTCAGAACCCGTTTCCCGCCCCGGGTTAGAGGAACTGAGCCTGTAAGTGACGCCTCGCACGGGCAAAAGTCCAGCACGCTTAGACGCTTCCTTCGGTTGGCTTTCTGGGTCGATTAATTGCGCCGGTATTCGTAGGTTGGTTGGAGCCCGTAGGCCTTGGATTGGATAGGGTTGGGGTAGGGGCAGGTAGGAATCAAGCATTTGCACTAAGGGGAAGCGCACGTACACACATGTATAGTAGATAGGTATGGCATAGGGCTTCTATTTATATATATCAGAGTAGTTGGGCGTAGTAATCCTACTCCTATCTAGGTCTTGGGCTGACACACTCTTTTGCTGTTGATTTCCTATGGCACGTATCTTGGCTTTCGACTAGGTCTAGGATACGCTTTTACGATCCGCAGGGCGAAGTGCAAGCGAGTGCGGTTGTTGCGTCGTCTTGCGTCGTGTACTAGCGAGACGGCTTCCTCTCGGCACTCGAATCCGGTCAGGTCACGACGTATACTTACTTTCGTATAGACGGTTTGCTAGGGAGAACAACTCAGAATCGGGATAGACAAGGAACACCGGACGAATCGACGATAAACTTGGCTGTTGGAAACCCTCAAGTCACCTAGACAAAAGAACGCCCGGAGAAGTACCTATCATGGGGGACATCGATAACTGGCAAGCGCCTAAAGCGCCGGTACCTGGCGAGGAGGGGTACACGACGTCTTCCTCGCCGTCGTTCCAGGAGAGAGAAAAGGGCAACGCACCGAACGCCGATGCGTCAGTACTAGAAGCGCCAGAAGCGAAGAACCCGGACGCGGCGGTAACGACAGACTCCCTGACGTCGGAACACACGCTGATAGACGTGGCGGAAAATAAGGAATACGTCACGGGGTACAAGCTCACACTCCTGTTGTTCAGCGTCACGACATTTTTCTTCTTGCTCATGTTGGACATGTCCATCATCAGTACGGTGAGTTGTGGCTGGATTCCGAGATGAGGTGGGTGGTGGTGTTGTTGTTGCTGAAACTTGGAAACTAATATTTCGTTCCGTGATAGGCTGTACCGCAGATCACGTCGGATTTCCATAGTTTACCGGACATTGGGTGGTATAGCGGCGCCTACCAGTTAGCCAGGTATGTCGTCCCCCTTTTATCCTTCGGTATGGCGACTTTTTCTGTTCACGCAGAGGTCAAAATTCGTATGGTGAGTATGGTAACTTACCTGTTCATGTAGTGCCACACTCCAGCCCCTGACGGGAAAGATATATACCCGTGTTAGCGCAAAATGGGTGTTCCTGTTCTTCTTTTTCATCTTCGAAGTCGGTTCCCTGATATGTGCCGTCTCCCAATCTTCGGTCATGTTCATCATCGGCCGAGCCGTTGCCGGCATGGGTAGTTCGGGGCTCCAGAACGGTTCTGTAACTGTTGTTTCTGGTGCCGCGCCTTTGGATAAGCAGCCGATGTACGTGGCTTTTATGATGGCTTGTAAGTGTCACCTCACGTGTTGAAATTGTTAACGGGCACCTAACGTCTTTATAGTTGGTCAGCTCGGCCTTATTGCTGGTCCGTTAATCGGGGGTGTTTTTACACAGTATGCGACCTGGCGATGGTGTTTCTATCTCAACCTGCCGCTCGGTGGCCTCGCTGGGATCTTTCTGGCTTTTTTGCATGTACCGGATCAAACAGTCAAGCCTCAAATCTCATTCAAGCTACTCCGCGAGGTCATCCCGCAACTTGATCTTGTCGGCTTCGTTATATTTGCCCCGGCTGCTATCATGTTCTTGCTAGCCTTGCAATTCGGCTCATCTCAATACCCCTGGAACTCATCAACCGTGATCGGCCTCTTTGTTGGTGCGGGCGTAACCTTCCCCATTTTCCTATGGTGGGAACACCGCCAGGGCGACGAGGCTATGCTTCCCTTTTCGATGGTCGGCAAGCGAATTGTTTGGGTCAGCGCCTTATATGGTGCTGCTTTGATGACGAGTATCTTGGTCGGCGCCCAGTTCTTCCCCATCTATTTCCAGTCTGTTAAGGGCGTAGGGCCGACAATGAGCGGTGTCAATATGCTGCCAAGTATCTTGTCGAGCGTGGTATTTGTTCTTCTTTCTGGGGCAATGAGTATGTACTCCTTTCCCTTCTCTTGTTACTCGTTTGGGGAAAAAAACGAGAAACCCCTTGTGAGATTGTTACTGACACCCGATAGCGGGGAAACTCGGATACTACCTCCCATGGGGAGTATTTGCTGGAGCAGGTACTGCGGTTGCTGCTGGCATGATATCAATGTGGGGCCCTGACACTACGACGGCGTTCTGGATTGGTACTCAGATCTTGTACGGAGCTCGCGGCTGTGGCATACAGATCGGGGTGACAGCCCTCCAGAATAATCTTCCACCGGCGCAGAGTGCATTGGGAATCGCATTCCTTATGTTCTGTCAAAACTTCTCTACAGCGGTCTTTTCCGTGGTTGCGAACACCATCTTTCAACAGACGCTGCAGAAACAGATCACGATACTTGCGCCCTCCATCGACCCGGCTATGGCCTTGGCCGCGGGTGGTAGTGCGGAAGCGGTGCGAGCCTTAGCCCCGCCGGACAGTCCGGAGCTCCGTGGAGTGCTCTTGGCCTTTTCTAAGGCCTTCGACACGACTGCTTACTTGCTAATCGCTTGCGCGGCTTTGAGCTTCGTGGCTTCGTGGGGCACGGGCTGGGTTGACGTGAGGAAGAAGAAGCAGCCCGAGAAAGGAGAGGCGTAAGAGAAGCCCTGGACTAGTTCATTAACTAGTGGTATTATTATCTTATTAATTTATTCGTAGGAATTGAATTCGGTGTGGAAATATGGTAGAAGTGTTTGGATATAAGGGATTCATATAGGGGTAGAATAGAATGATAGCCCTCTTTTCAGCCCGGGCATAGTGAAGTTGCATAGATATAATAATAGTTGTCGAAATCTCCTGAGTTGTTTGACGCTCTTTGCTAACCAGGAGAAGTCTCAAAGAGAATATCGATTTGCCAGGACATTAGACCTATATGAGGTGTATATATGACAGGTGACAGGACAAGAGTCGAACATGAAATCAAACGAATCTCCGTAAAACATAAGTTAAGTAGCGAAATAGTTGACAGACTCCGCCATATCCGAGGGGTTGATAGTTACTCGTAGATCGGATAAACCGGGTAGCCGAGGGGGTATAGAGAGTTGATCAGCATCTTCATAACTCACTAGTAATCAATACTGAGATATATGCGCTTATAATTGATCTAGTATAGGTTAGATTTAATTGTAAATACCTACGTATATACTTATACCTAGATAGTTAAGTCCGTGTATAGGTATCTAGCTCTCATGTTAAAGAAGAGACCTTGGCCCTCGCATGCCTTGGTATTCATAATGGGTCCCTGCTTTAGCCCAGTTTCATATAAATATATCTGTACGCGATGGAACTATTGAAAAATAATGAACAGCGAAATGTTAGGCATGAAAGCTATAAATTAGTTCTTGCGTCGTATAACACGTAAGAGCTTCGATAGTGAATAATAATGTTACACGATACAGTTTGCAAGTCGTGGATTGTCTTAGCACTTACACGTATGTAGAACCCCCCTGTTCCCTCTCCTACACCACCCCCCTGCCCCCCTGACTTTAGCCACGACTCAGCCATAATTCAGCCACGTTACTGAGTCCTCCCGTTGGGTCTTGACCTTTCTGCTTGAGCCCTAAACAACTGTTAACCAATCATCCCAACCTCCTCCAATTATTTTTGACGTGTCTTATGAGCTAAGGTCTGATGTCGAGTGACTGAACTCGCGACCCATTTTTGGCCCAGACTCACTCGTTGTCTATGAATATGGAGGCTTGGTTATGTTAAAAAACTGGTTCATAAAAGCTTTGATCCAGTCTTCAGTATCCAGCGTCTGCTAAGAACATGTTTGTCTAGATCTCTTGTTTCGTTTTCAACCCTACGCTCTTTATCTTAGCAGACCCTACCCTCCTTTAACTTAAATACGGGATACAATTCATTCATACTAGGTGCGCTAGTTAAGGTAGTTTAAGAACAATGCCATTCATTCCAAATACCCCTGAGTCCCGGTTGGGCCGCTCCGATTCCCTGAATCCAGCCACGACATGCCGAGGCATCACTTCAGGTGGTCGTCCTTGTCGACGACCATTAAACTCTTCTCCGGGCTCGTCACCGCTGCCTCCTCCGCCTAAAATCAATAAACTGCGTGTTGATGACCCTCGAAATGCCGACCTTTACTGTTGGCAACATAAAGATCAAGCGGTCTCATCTGCGAAATCCAGTCCGGGACCGAGGTCGAATATGACACCCATCCTCGAATCCCGACAAAGCCGTCAAAGCTTGGAGAGTCTAATTGATCGTCTTGGAATAGTCGAGGCACAGAAGCATGGGAAAAGACCAACAAATAACCACTACGGCGAGAAGATAGGCACATATCCACCAAGAAGACCGAAGACGAAGCAATCGAGCTTGTGCTGCTGTTTCACACTCACCGAAGAAGAGGAGGAACTTCCAGCCCGACCACAACCCAGGCCGCTACAAAGCGCGCCTGCGAAACCCATGCATTCTAGGCCAGCGCCTAACCAGCATCTCGTACCTCCTCCTGCGCAGACACGACCAAGTGGCGAGTCTTCAAGACCGCACTCGAACCAGTCCGATACCTCGCAAACGGCACAATACTTATCCTTGATCCCGGCGACGGCATCACCGCAGACGGCCTCGCAGCTTATGGCAGAACTGGCTAAACCTATCTCGCCGCAAGATGAGGCCGGTTATATCTATATTTTCTGGCTGACACCGGAATCTCAACGGTCAACCCCTCCGACAGATGCAGCCAAATCACTCTTATCTCCGCCCCGCCCAGACGGCGGTCGTCAACGACGAACAAGCGACGTAATGGAGTCTTTCGCTGTTAAGGAGAGCAAGACTACTGGATCGTCCAAGAAAATACTTCTGAAAATCGGTCGGGCGTCTAATGTTCAACGACGTCTCAACGAATGGACACGCCAATGCGGTTTTGATATATCGCTCGTCCGGTTCTATCCTTACGTCTCTTCGTCCCAACAAGAGGAGCCTCGAAAGATGCCCCATAGTCATAAAGTCGAGCGTTTAGTCCATCTCGAACTCGCGGGTGCCGGTCTTCGGGTAAGCGACAAGGCAAACTGTGAAGCTTGTGGGAAAGCCCACAAGGAATGGTTCGAGATCGACGCCAACAAGAACGCAATCTCAATGGTGGATGAGGTTATCAAGCGCTGGTCTGACTGGGACGAAGCCAACGCATAGTTAGCCCATATTCAATTGAGAGTATACCTAGACGGTTCCAGGAGTCCATAGAATTACGATATCATAAAGATACGAAGGGCGTTTTTACCATGGCGTTTTCGGATACGGCAATACGGTCGGATGGGATGCATACCTAGGTATATAGAGGTACCTACGTTAGGTAGGTGTAGAAAAGATCCTGATTTACGAAATAGATGGGATGTAACCGACGCTGCCTATTCCGGCAGTTCAACCGTGAGTCTCGTGCCCCGTACAACTGCGTCCCTTACGACCTTGGGTTACTGTCGTATCTTGCGTTTCGCTCTATAAGGTGTAGGTAATCCCCGACGCACTCCGTAGCACACGGGTTGTGGAAAACGTAGTCGATCCGGCGGTTTGGGTCACCCTACCGCGGCCAATATACATGAGTCTTTAATTTGAGACATTTTTTAAGAGGGTCAATGGAAATATTGGCTTGTGATTTAAATCTGTCGACAGAATCTTCGATGCAGTAAGTAGTACTCGGATTTTCCATGATTAGGTAAATATATTGCACTGATCGATATTGCTCAGTACATGACAGTTCCATGACGACAACCGAGGCAGGCCTGTTGGAGTACCCAACTGTGGCGCTCTTCGATTTAGATCCTCGTTATACGTTCGTAACGGCCTTAAGCTTTATTCATGCCAACCCTGAATTGGACATGACCAAGGTATATCCCGGTAGAAGAGATCTCATATATATTACTGTAGATAGCTTCGCGGCATAAGCTAAAACAACCTTGTTTTCCCTCACATTCGTAAACGAGTGGTGCAATGCTACCTTGGACTTCGGGATGGGATACGTGATAGGACGTACATACGAAGTACAAACCCAGCCGCACCTAGAACTCCCTCTAGCGTCTCTTCCAGAAGGATTCGTACATAGTACCAAGATACACTGCCGCGAAAGAGAGTGTCCTGATAAGATGACTGGTCAATGAATTTTCCGTTACAAGCCATTGCTGACCATGCTTCCTAGCGCCTGTCTCATGGCCAACTTGCCTCGTGGCAATTATGTCTAAGTCGCTTGGTATTCAAGGGCTAACCAATCTTGTACCGAACTTTTACTCTTACTTAGGTACCTAGTTTTCTATAAAACTACGTCCGCTCGCGTAGCCCTAACGCGACCTCAACAGCCCTGCGACGGAAAGAAAACATGACCGCAAGCCCCTCGTCAGATGTAGGCCATGATGATGGCTCCGTAGCATCGTTCTCGTGGGAATCTAGTAGGACTATCGCAGTTGATCAAGATGTGTCGGTGCTATCGTGGGATAGCGGCAGTGGGCCATCTTTACCATCAGTCGACGGTGATACTCAGACAGTCAGTATCCATTGAGAAGGGAAATGATAGCACAACCTGTTAACTATTAATAGGAAACCATGTCAATTTCAACAGAAAGTATACGGTATAGCATAGCGAAGAGCTTAGCATTAATGTAGAACATATAATTATTAACCATTTCAAAGGTCTTCGACCATGTCGCTAGATTCAAGTCTTTACCATTACGTCCATGAAAATGGTCGAACTTACCATCGGTATAAAGAAGGCAGTATGTATTATTCTACCTCTATGAACTTTGAATTGCCTATTGACACCGTCATATAGGATATTTCTTACCGAACGACGCCGTATGTCTTGATTCGCATTCAAAAATTCAAAAATTCATCGCTATAATTGATTAATGATTTTACAGGCAGAACAAGAGCGATTAGGTAAATACCAGAGTCAATTACTGGACAGGTATATCCTTTTCATGCTCAACGACTTACAATTGATATAGACCTTCAACATCAATTATTTATAATAACTATCGAAAACAAGCTCAACCTAGCCCCAATACCGGACAACCCCCCGCGAGTCTTGGATATTGCGACAGGTTCGTCTACTTCCCCTACCCCCTTTATTATTTTTCTAATGTGATATCAGGGACGGGTATATGGGCAATAGAGTTTGGTTCGATTCACCGCTAGGTATTGCTATGACACCAGAGTATTAACTCGCCGAACAGCCTTCCAGCATCCCGAATCCTACGTTATTGGGACGGATCTGAGTCCGATCCAACCTCAATTGTGCGTGCACCTGGCGCCTTGCTATCAAGTACTAAGCCAACTGATCGCATCCTCTACTTAGCCTACCAGAGAACTGCAAATTCGAGATTGACGACGCGGAGGACGAGTGGACATTTAGCGAACCGTTCAACTATATCCACGGGCGGGCGCTGATGAGTTGTTTCAATGACCCGGCGGCCGTCGTGAAGCAGGGGTTCGAGCACCTAGCACCGGGTGGCATTATGGAATTTCAAGACGCGCTATTCCCGATGAACTACGTAGGCGAGCCGCCAACGGAGTCAGCACTGTACCGGTGGAACCAGATGATGCTAGAGGGTGTATCGCGTCTCGGCCGTTCCTGGTCCAATGCTCGGAACTATCATCGCTACTTCGAAGAAGCCGGCTTCGAGGACATCGTCGAGAAACGGTTCTACTGGCCTACTAGCCCCTGGGCCAAGGGGCAATACTATAAGACCGTCGCTACCTACTTTCAGGAGGACTTGCTCACCGGCCTTGAGGGTATAAGTTTTAAGGTGCTAGGAGTGTTGGGCTTGTCGCCTGAACAAGTTCGGGAATTCGTCGAGGACGTTAAGAAGGATCTTGTGGGCACTGGTATTCATGCGTATATAACTGTGTAAGTTTTCCATTCGTGCATGAGTAAATGCCATCCGAGTGTAGCTGCTTACTGGTTCTAGGACGTATATATACGGGCGGAAGCCGGGTGATCCATCTTAATAATAATATATAATATATTCGTGATAATGTCTCCTTAGTGACTTCTTATATATACTTGTTAACTAATTTATGGACAGACTTTGAATATATACAAGAATCTCTCTGAAATCGTCCCCCATATAACACTGCACGATATAATACAATAGCTTCGATGTAACTCGAATAAATCAAGGGAAATCTTGGCGGGAACGGGCAACGGCGCCGATCCAGTTGCTGCCGCCGGCGAAGACTGTCTCTGTAGAGCTGGTTGCGCTTAGAACACCGAGTTGGTAACGAGCTCCGTTGTCGTTCTGCCACTACATCGCCTCAAGTTAGCATTTATTTTATCATATGTGGTGTGATACTCAGATGCGTTTAGGGGTGGCATAGCATGATCTATATGATAAGATGTTTAAAGGGGTTAAGGGGGAAATAGGGGCCAATGAGGACTTACGATAGGGCCGCCGCTCATGCCGCCAGCGACATCAGCGTCAGTAGAGAGGCCACCAGTTGCATCACAGTCGAACCTGTCTCGGATCGTGATCTTCTCCTGTCGATACGGTCTCTCGCCGTTTGCCAAATCACCCGGATATCCAAGGTGAAGGAGTTGGGGGTTGTTAATGAGCGATGGCTCGATGACCTTAGCCCCAAGGCCTCCGCGCTCGTCTCCGAGGCGAGCATCGAGAATGAAGATAGCCCAGTCTTCCTTGATGTCGCAAGCATTCGCGTCCGGGTCGTTCACCGAGTATCCAGGGAGGTGGATGATCGTTGTGACATACGCGCCGGGGAATGACTCGCCGTCGTAATATGCCGGCATGAAGCGCACGCTGACGCCTGGGTTGTTGAGAGGAGCGCAGTGCTTAGCAGTAGCTACGTGACGCGGTCCGATCAGGGCGCCCGAGCAGTAAACACCGGTCGACCACTGGATCTTTCCCATGGCCGAAAACGGGTAAGACTTATCTGTCCATAGAACACGGTTGTCGTCTCCAAAGACGAAGCGTTTGTCGATCTCAGAATCGTCTACCACTTGTACATGATCAGGCACGTGTGCCGGTACCTCACTGACGTTATGGTTAAGATCATCTGGTGTAAGGGCGATGATTTCCGGGATCGGGCCATCGAAGGCGCTGACGCTCGCAGCCTGGAATCCTGGGATACCGATAGGTTGGGTAAATGCTTTCGTCTTGGGCTCTGGAACAGGTGTTGCAGTAGTCCCATGGGACAGAAGTAGAAGGGCCGTAGCCAAGGGTATGGAAGAACGAAGCACCATTGTTGCGGAGGGAGTTTAGTTGTGTTGATGTAGAAGAGGCTTGATGATTTAATCATCCCATACAGATTGAGGAAGAAGCCATCCTTATATTTATAGAGTTGCACCTCATTACCATCCAAGACTTCACGGGACGTGTCAAGGACTCAAGAAAACCCCACGACACGACTGATTCAACCAACTACCCCTGCCAACCTACTGTCAAGAAAAAAAAGCAGCATTGTAATGGAATTTAGGTCAAACCGCCAAGCTGGGCTATAAGCTAACTGTGCCGCGCATGACGAACAGACCAACTGGAACCAGTATACGAAAGGAATTATGTTCAAAAATAAAAACAGCAAAATTATTCCAAGTTAGACAGGTAACCTCTAAACGCCAAGAACACGGCTTTATCTACCTTTCTCAGGAGTCTCTATCACAAGCGCGCAATGTAATTCCCGAGTGGTTTGAAAGCAAGAAACTGACCAAATGTAGGTCTAAGACACAACAACTACTTGGTCGCAGGCATTGTTACCACTTATCTATTATTATCGACCTTCCCCATCCGGGCGAATATCTCCGCATCGCAACTCCATCTTGTAATACATCTATCCCTCCTGATCTTGTCATTCCGCCAACTAGTTGAAGCCAAGGACGCCGAACTAAAAATTAAGGGTATCACTGCTGGCTTCCGTAAGATTGCGATGTTGCTTTTTAGATCATTCCGGCGACAAGTCACAGCAATGCTAGTCGTAGTGTTTTGAGATCTTAGGTAGACCAAACTCGCTTTTAATCCTAGGTATAGCTTCTTTAAAGATGTCTTTGAACGAAACTCGATAACGCCTTTTTATAAGTAAGTTTTTATAATGGTAATAATATTTCCTAGTAGATTGATGGAAGCATTAGAAAAAAGTTAAGAATCAATGAGTGGCTGCGCGCAAGGGCCACCAGACCGGCGAGCAGCCACTTTTGAAGCGATTCTCGCCTGACCAGAGCGAAACTCGAAGATTAAAGGTAACGTGGTGTATAAACGCAAGCTTCCTGCCTTGAATCCACTCATGGAATGTAAAACTTGGAATTGTGTAGTAGAAAGGAGGTACGAATAACTTTTCTTTTACCTAAGAGCATTGATACATCCGGGCTACCCTCCCCTCAACTTAATCTTAATCGGCTTGTATTGCCTTGGGATTGTATCCAATATACACACCTAAATAATCTTACAGAAGGACTTGAAATGACATAGCTGCTTTTGTTCAATGGCCCTAATGGTGCGACAACAATGATTAAAGCTTCATGTAAATAAACTGCTTGGCTAGCTACCTAGGTAGGTACCTACTCACTAAGGTAATAACTACCTCCTGATGTTATATAAAGAACTAAGAAGCTCTTGTCTAGAGATGATGATGATGATGATAACGTTTACGTCTATTGGTCTGCTATATACTACCTATGTAGATACAGCGGCGCATCTTTGGCGCTTTAGACGTCTAGAGTACTCCCCAGGGGGAACAGAGCTAGAGTATCGCCTGACATAAGAAAATATTCTTGTATAGAGAGGCAAGTACGTGATATCCTTCAAAATTACCTCCAAGAAATATTATAAAAGTGTAGCCCGGATATACTATAGCTTTATAATCGTCATGGCTGATATTTAAGTCTTTTGACAAGGCTGTGTTTTACATAAGCGCTGATCTTGCTATTTACATTAGAAAAGAGAGCTGAAAGCCTGACATGGACGTTATTGAAGGTCTACGATTAGAATTCGATCAAGCTTGCCTAATGAAACAGTGTGACGTTCATCCATGGAAGAAAAAAGAATGTAGTCGTAGCACAGGCTGGTACCCATTTCAATCCGATATGTCTTGATCGGCCTGAAGCAGCCCAACCCCATATTTCTTCACGAACGGCGACTACTCACTCCGCTCAACTCTAAGGTATATTGGATAAAAATCTTCTTCACTTGACATAGCTTTGGCTCGTCATCATCAAACACCATAAAATGGGCGTATTGCGTGAGCTGCCATCTCAGACGGATCCTTGTGAGCCTGTAGATTTAGGAGACCCGGACATTACAGGCTTTGGAGTATGTGAATGAACCTTCTTTGCTCGCTGACGACTTGGTAATATTGATTTCTTACAGGTCTTAATCTCATTCTTGTTCTCCATCGTGCTCGTCATCGTCGCGATCATCTGGGCTTACGTCAAGGACATCCTGCCAGGAAAATGCTACAATGGATTTGACAACGTTATGTTAAATCGTAAACACCGCAACGAGGATGGCCAAGGAGTTCGTGGATTGCAAAATTTTATACTGGCGCTCAGCGATCAGCAGCTTGTTTCCGGGCTGGCGCTGGCTATCTCCATCAACATTATCCGTAATGGGGTCCAGGATCTCGACACGAAGATATCGGCTTATGCGTATGGGAACGCCGTTATATTGGCCTTCCTTTCCTGTATTATTCATCTGGCAACCATCGCCGTCCTCCGTGACTACCTTCGAGATCGTAGCTACTTGAAACATGTGAGGGTCGTCATTATGCTTTGTGTTATATCACTTCTCTTGCAAGGACTTGGCGAGACCTGGACTTTATATCAATATGAGACATTAAGGTGCGCTATCGCACACTATGGTTTCTTAGAGGACGATTCGGATGCATATGGATCGCTAGAGATACTCGGAAATCCCGCCCTGGTTTCGGGCTTTACTGTCTTACTTGGTATTCTCGTGAGCGGCTATGTCCGTAGAATCCGAGACTTGTATTTTCCCAATTCTCGAGACTTCCCGGGATACTGGCAGGTGTTCCTCTTTGAGAAAACGATTGGTTGGCCAACATTGTCCAAAGACAGAATATTAGAGGCTCGAGAACATTTAGCATCAAGACTATCTGAAGGACCTTTAGGTATCAGCCAGCTTGCTCATATATTCTTTGTAATTATACCTCCAAGTTTTCATCGATCCTTTATGTTCGAGGTCGTTTGGTTACTCTTTTACTTTACCTTTGGCATATCCGAGGCAGCCTGTTTCCTACGTTTAATTGATAACGCTACAATCGATGGCACTATTAGCTTTGAACCAAGATTTGGTCAGCTTTTGCCCCTTATCCTCATGACTCTTCCGTTCTTAGCGATGGCGGAAGGATACTCTGGTAAGAAGCCAGGTGGAAATTCAGTTGTGTTTGCATCGGGGTACATAGGCTAATTCGTTTAAAGACTTGAGGGACACTAGAGCCTTAAATATAAATCATGAAAATGGAGACGATACTGTCGTTGGACCTTCCAGACCCGGGGGGTTAGAGCAGGTTAGTGACAGCCCGAATTCAATATATTAACATGGCAGCTGACAAAGCCCGGTCAGGAAAATAAGGAAGATATCGAATTTCTCACGGTATTTAGATCACATCGCTGTTTAATGAAGGGCCTTTCCTGGGTTTACGTTGTGTTATACTTTTCGCTTTGCATTTATATTTCTTTAGCGGTTGGTGAAATCTTCCCTGAACAGATTGGTTTGGGAACTACTTTTTTAATGGTTATATTTGCTTTCATTGCTTTTGGAATTTCCCTTTTAAAGTTAATAATTATAACTATGTACCGATTATTAACTTTACGGGCTGAGCTCCGCAGGATGGAGGTACCTGCCTAGGTACCTAGGTATCCAAGGTATTGTCGATGAGATTCTCAGTTCAATCATGCTACCTAGCTACTCCTACAGCGAATATATTACTCGAGAAGGTGTAAGACGTGAAAGAGTTGGTAGGGCTTACAATTACATCCGGTGTAATGGTAGACTACCTATTTAAGATGTTCAAGACCGTTTTACTCACTAGGTTGGTATTATTAGGTGTCCTGGCCTATAACTGAAGACCGGAAAGAAACGTTAGATAAGATGAGAAGTAGTAATTTGCCTTAGGTCCTTAAGAGAGACGGGATGGATGATGGTGATGATGAGAACGTTAACGTCTATTGGTTATTATAAGCTAGGTAGCTATAACAAGCGCATCTATGGCGCTTTAGACGTCTAGAATACTCCCTTGAGGGAACAGAGTTAGAGTTTCGCCTGATATGAAAAATCCTCCATTTTCTATCTATATATTCCACCCCTTCCTACCTATAGCATTATTTTACCTGGTTAGCGTCGGCGCCAGGTAGCCGATTTAATTAGGGGGAAAACCGTCGAACACGCTTTTTTATAACGGAGATAGAATTACCTTTAACGCCTAACAGTGCCTAAGAAAAAACCTGAATCGAACCAGTTTGGTTTGACCATGGTAGGATTCGAACCTACTTGTGTTGCGGCACGTAGGAACGGACCAATACACATCCAGGCGTTAAACCACCACGCGATGTGGGAAGAGACGGGATGGAGATGGCGTATTCTGTCATCATTGTCATCCCCAAGATCAGTTATCGCGATGCGACAAAGATGTACGTGGAAACTTCAGACAATCCAATTCTAATTGGTCTTTAACATTATATTCATCAAACATTAACTAATCATCATACTGGGTTATTGCTAACTATTGAGGAATCCATCAGGGCCATTGGAATTTCTTCTCAGTACTTGCCCATCCTCATCTTCATACCCAACTTGAGTAACGTTAATGCGCTTGACCCAAACACCCCTCGTTTTACAGAAGGTAGAGATCTCTTCAGCTTCGCCCCTTTATCGTTATCGGTCGCGTTCCAGTGGCTCAAGGCTTCTTGAATAAGTGTTGAGTTGCCGAATACGTCGTCCAGTAGGTCAGGTATGTTAACTTGACTACCGTTCGTGAAGCTGCTGACGAGGTCGCCCATTAACTTCGTAACCGGGATTGTGGACGTTACGCGCCTGTGGTTCAGGACGGCTTCGATGAACCTGATGTGCTGACCATTGACGACAGTCGCATTCCCTACCGCGTCAATCTGGATGTTCCCTGCGTTCAGCGCGTCTGACTGAGCGGAAAGTATTGTTCCGATGTTCTGTATGAGCATGTCTAGGTATAGCTCGCCGTTGAAGTATCTCGAGTTATTTCCCGGAGGGAGTAGGACCTCGTAAATGGTGATGAGACCAATTCGCAGGTCGCCCACCATTAAATTAAGCGACAAGTTACCAATGCCGAGAGTGAGTGCGCCCCAGTTTGGTAGGTTGAGAGTACCCTGGATGTTGGTCCCGTTCTCTAGAGCTGGATAGAGAAGCTGCATATGCTCGATTGCGAATCCACTGAGTTTGTTCAAGGAGTCTACCTCGACGGTCTTATCTATATGCCCATCTGAATGAAGCGCCCCTAAATGGATCTTGGCATCACCACGAGTGGATAAAGTGACCTTTGGCTGGTCAAAGACGTTCCCGAACCAGGAAATAAGCTCAGTCTCGTTGGTTATCGTGACTGTCTGATCGGTAATAACTATTTCTGTTTCCCCATCTATGTGGAGTGGTGGTAACGTAATGTTGGCAAAAGGTGAAAACACGGGTGTCGCATGATTATACATGAACAGAGTTACCGGGTCTATATCTGCTGGTAGAGGCGTGTCAAGGGATGTGGTGATAGATATATTGAGTTTCTCTGGTGTTATAGCTACGAATGCACCACCAGTTATAGGCATCGTCTGGTTGTCTAATATGCGCTGCACTATAGCTGGAATGATCACTAAAAACCTGAGGTCGCTGTTAGCACGCATGCATGTTCATTCCCCGGCTAGAATACATACAGGATCGGTAGGAAGATAGCGAGGAAAACGATGAGTCCTATAAGATACCACCACCAGAATCGCCCACAATGGCGTTTGAACTTCTGTTTCTTCGTAAGAGGCGCAGCTACTGGTGTCTTTTCCGTAACATGATCGGCTGAAGAGGTCTCATCACTCTGCCTCCCCGGAGCATTCGTAGTCCCTTCACCACCCTCACCCCTACCGCCATGTATAGAGGTGGTAGGGCTGCTGGCCTCATAGTGTGAGGTGTCTTCGCGAAAGGCCGACGCCATGATCTTCTTGTCGTTGGCAGCAGAGGATGCTGGATGGATGGCAAGCGGAGAGAAGACGGGCGCCCAACAACTTCCGAGCGGAAAGGAGGGCGACGTATTGAACTTGAGGACGATTCAGCCATCACATATGTGCCTAGCCCGCCCCGGGTTACATTGCGGCATTACAAGCAGATGAGCTCCCGTTCCGTCGTACCATGCCTATCGGGCCAGAGTTAGACACATCGAACATCGCCTTGCAGCGTGTTACCCCTCGCGACTTGTCGATCTCTCCGCATACCATTTTTACCGTCCGTGTTCGCACCCCGGTTTCTGTAGTCCAATATTGCAGGGGGATGGCCAGCTTTGGTCTATTCCCAGGATGATTACTGGTTTTGCGCGGGTCACGCACATATAATTGAAGACTATAACATGATAGACCTGCGGGGTATTCGGCTTAGTCTATCCCAACAATTAATTACTCTTAAGTAGATCTTCATTTACACCGCAAGCAGCACAAACCGCTGCACTAAAATGATGTCATCCTATATTCCGCCTGCCTAATAAGGAAATAGAGTCGATGGCTGCTATTCCCACTGTAACTGTGCTGTCCGAGTGTATTCAATAATATACGGCCTTGCTGTGTTGCTAGTTGGGCACCCAAATCGCGAATAGATCTGGCATCATTCTGTTCGATCTCAATGTCTTTTCAGCCAGGCAATCCCTAATGGAAATGCTACAGTGTCCGTGCGCGGAGAAGGAAAATGGGCGGTAATTTCTTTATCCCCTCCTCTTCGATATATTGAATGTATAAACCTTGGTAAGGGTCGAGGTGTTCTTGAAGAGAAAATGTAGAAAAACAAGAAGTGACGGTGAAGACGACGTATTTACACATGCGATCTAACAAGTGCCTAGGCAACTGTGAGATTTATGGTGTCTTCCATGTAGGTGAGGTTACCGCGAGTATATATAATTGCGTAAAATTGTAACCACAACCCTACTTTAATGCCAAGTTGTCGAATGGGGATCCAGAAAAGCTTGACGAGCTGGGTCCACAAATCAAGGGGTCCCTAGTCCTATGTAACCCACGCCGGGTAGGGATTAGGATCGTGGAGAAGTTGGGGTAGCTGGGGTAAGCTGGCGACGACTAGACCTAGAGAGCTAATAGGTACCCATGTGCGCAGCTTGGTAAACATCCCAAGATGGTATAAAGTCCGAAGGGCAGTCTCCATCGCTCGCTGAGACATAATTTCATGTGATATGAGGTGGACGGGCAACGAGGGCAGCATGTAATGCTCATATTCTCGAACTTCCCATCTCGTCCGTCGTGTTTCCTATTCCGTGGTCGAGCTGAATCGGAGCCTCAGCTTCGAGTCAAAGAGAAGAGAACGACGCCTTAGAAGCCTCATAACAGCCAGCCAATTATCGTCATGCTGTTCTTTAAACTCTTCCTAGCGGCTCTGGCGCCTATCAGCCTCGTCGCTGAAAGCGCGCCGCAAGCAGCATCAACACCGGACTTGGATCTTGATGCACTTCTCGCAAAGCACAACTTAGCTTTAGTACCTCGGTCGGATCTGACAGACGCCCTGACAGAGCTTAATGGCTTGCTCAGAAGAAACCAGGTTCAGCAACAGAAAGTCGCACTATATCCGCGACAGAAGAGCAATAGCACCGGTTCCGGCTCTGGTTCAAGCTCTGGGTCTGGTTCCGGGTCGAGCGGTGGTCTTGACCTTGGAGACCTTGGAGGACTCGGCGATTTGGGCCAGATTCTTGAAAGTCTGACGAAGCTCATTACACAGTTGGGTGATCTCGGAGGTTATCTTTCGGCTATCCAACAACTATTGAGCGATGAGTTCTTGCAAGCCCTACATGATGCTATGGTGTATCTTGCACAGACACTTCGTCCGCCCATTCCAAATATCGCTAGGAATGTCCTCACCAAGGCTGAACCGCTGATCGACCTGCTCGGTTCCCTGGATTTAGAGGGTATCGTAGACGAGATTAAGGGCATCGACCTCAAGGGTATACTTAATGCGCTGCAACCCCTTCTAGCCCCCGAATCGATCAAGGGACTCGTCAGTCTATTGAGTAATGCAGAAAAGCTTTTGACTTCGGAGACTGTCGAGGCTCTACAGTCAATACTATCAAGTGTACAGCCACTGATTGACCATCTCTCGAAGATTGACCTCGAGGGTATACTCGATGCCTTATCTCCCCTTCTCACGTCAGATTCGGTCAAGGGTATAGTGAGCTTGTTACACAATGCTGGAGATCTTTTGACGTCGGATACTGTTGATGCGCTCAAGTCGCTGCTTTCCAGTGCCCAACCCCTTCTTGATAGCCTAAAGGATATTGATCTCCAAGGATTACTCGATGCGATAGCCCCACTCCTAACGGCAGACTCAGTCAAGGGTATCGTCGGTCTACTTGGCAATGCTGAATCCCTCCTTACCAAGGATTTTGTTGACCAGACCAAGTCTCTGATTTCTGGAGCTGGGCCGCTCCTTGATAGTCTGAAGCAAATCGACCTGCAAAGCTTGATAGATCAGATCTCGCCAATCCTTAATGAACTCGGTCAGCTGGACTTGAAGGGCTTGTTCGAAGCTATCAGCCCGCTGTTGACATCAGACTCCATCAAGGGTATTGTAGGGTTGCTTGGCAACGCCGAGAATTTGTTGACTGGCGAATTCGTCGACCAGACCAAATCTCTCATCGCAGGAGCAGGACCTTTACTTTCGAGTCTCGGCGATATCGACCTGAAAGGTCTGCTCAGTCAAATTTCGCCCTTACTCGACAGCCTGAGCAAGATTGATCTCCAAGGCCTGCTTTCAGCCGTCGAGCCCTTATTGACTCCCGACTCGGTGAAGGGTATCGTTGGGCTTTTAGGCAATGCTGAGGACCTTTTAACCACACAATTCGTTGACCAGACGAAGACGTTAATATCTGGTGCTGTGCCATTGATATCCGCTGTCGGTAAACTTAACTTGGAGGGTCTTATCGAGCAAGTGAAACCACTGCTAGATTCCCTAAGCCAGATTGACTTAGGTAGCCTGGTCGAGAAAATTCAACCTATTCTTGATGCTGTAGGGCAGATAGATATCGCGGGATTAGTCAAACAAATCACACCAATTCTGAACTCCCTTGGACAAATTGATCTATCCAGTCTCATAGACAAGATACAGCCAATACTTGATGCTGTAAGCCAGATTGATATCGCGGGATTAGTCAAACAAATTACTCCAATCCTGAACTCCCTTGGGCAGATTGATTTATCCGGTCTTATAGACAAGATACAGCCGATACTCGATGCTGCGGGTCAAATCGACTTCGCGGGTCTGATTAAACAGATCACGCCAATTCTGAACTCCCTTGGGCAAATTGATCTTGCTGGTCTTATTGAAAAGATACAACCTATCTTGAATTCTCTAGATCAAATTGATTTCGCGGGTCTGATTAAACAGATCACCCCGATATTGAACTCCTTGGGCCAGATTGATCTTGCTGGTCTTATCGAAAAGATACAACCTATCTTAGATTCTCTAGGTCAAATTGATTTCGCAGGGTTAATCAAACAAATAGCCCCTATCATTACCGAATTGGGCAACATTGATATAAAGGGAATCTTCGACGCTGTATCTCCTCTGCTCACACCGTCTTCTGTCGATGGTCTTGTAGGACTTGTCGATAACGCCGAGTCACTCCTGACGAAGGAATTCGTCAACGAAACTCATACTATCATCGACGGCGCAGCACCATTGGTTGGAGTACTAGGAAAAATCGATATCGGAGGTCTTTTAGACCAAGTTAAGCCACTTCTCAGCTCATTAGGCCAGATCGATCTGGCTGGTCTCATTAAGGCTGTCAAACCTCTCCTCGGAACTCTGAGCCAGATTGATATCCAAGGCATTGTTGAACAGGTCACGCCTTTGATCACACCAACTTCCGTGAAAGGAATAGTAAACCTACTCGGAAATGCGGAGAGTTTATTGACGGCTGCGTTCGTTTCACAGACGACGGAGTTGATAGGCGATGCTACACCCGTAAGTTTCCTTTCGCTTCATTCTCCTCTACTTACCATCGTCGCGTTTTGAAAGAGAGCTTATTCTGACATTCTGCTTTTTGAATATAGATTGTAGCGACGTTGTCAGATTTCGTCAACGCCATTCTTCAGGCGTTGCTTGGGAATTCATGATCCAAATGGATGATGCGTAACGCAGCGTCGGGAAAAAAGACGCGGGCGACGTCACGAATAATGTAGTAAATTTAATGAATACTTATGAATACTTATGAAGGGTAATGAATTAAAATAATGAGCTGCACAGTGATATGCATTAATTATGAAGTGCATAAATGAATTATGCACTGTTATGAAAGGTAAGGGGATCTGGGCACTTACACAGGGGCTGGAACACAACCCCGATTATTGATATGGCTATTGGATATGTATACGGATTCCTAATTGCTGGTCCGCTTACCTACCTACCTCCCCAAAGTGTATCAATGTTGGGACATCCCTAATTCTAGCCAGTTAATCTTCCCAGGTTCATTATATCCCCCGCATCTGGTATTTTCCTCTTAGAAAGGGTATACACGTACTACCCAACGAGATCGTAGGTTGGTAAAACGCCCGAACCTTTTCAGTAAACCCTTCAAAGCACGTTTTTTTCCTATATAAAGAACTAGGTAGCTTTCCTACTATATACCCCTGTAAATCATCCAAGGTTAAAGTTACTAGACTTTATACGACTCACGATGGCTCAGCGCGAGGAGATTCTCCATAGACTCGTTCCTTACAAATACCGGTTAGTATTCAAGATCATTATTTTATCATCAGTCAATTCGACGGGCCGCTCCATAATGTTCCTGTAGTTCGAAATTTATGGTCTTGCTTATATTCAACAATAGACGCGTAGGCCAATCATAGATACTGACTTTCATATATCCGGGAAGCCCTCTTCCTTCCAATTCCCATACGCGAGTTCTTAAACTACAACCTTCCTTGGACCCGTTGGCGCCTATCCGGTGCTCGCTATTCGAAGTCAATCTGGAAGATGAGAAACAGTCTGAATATGATGCCTTATCATACACATGGGGAATCCCAAGCTTCACAGAGGAACTGATTGTTGATCAGTGTTACTTGATGATCACGCCAAATCTCTTGTATGCATTGCAGCGGTTCCGAATGCCGACCGAGGCTCGTATGATTTGGGTTGATGCAATATGTATCAACCAAGAAGATGACGACGAAAAGTCGAGACAGATCCCTTTCATGAGGCAGATCTATCGTAGCGCGTCATCGGTACTTGTTTGGCTGGGCATTGATAAGAGTGCTTCTGACTCCATGCGCCGACTTCATCATTATACGAAGCAACCTAGGTCAAGTGCCTCTACGACAGAGATCGCCCGAGAACTAAATAACATCACCAAGCTACCGTGGTTCCACCGACGATGGATAATTCAAGAAGTAGTTTTAAACCCCAATGTCCTTCTTAATTGTTCTGAGGTGAGCATGCCATGGACGCGCCTTGTCCAAGCCCTGAACACGGGAATAACCACGGAAGTCATGAACTCCCTAGTAACGATGGCGGACCTTTGGAAGGACTGGATACTCCGGAAAGATGATGCACAACCCCACATTTTCAACCTTCTTGTTTCATTTCACGGCTCCGAATGCCAAGATGCCAGAGACATGATATACGCCTTGGGCGGACTGGCAAGTGATGTGCAATTGAGAGATAATAGCGATAGAAAGGGATGGGCTAAAGAAATAGACGAGAGTGGCGGAGAGAAGGATACCGGAGACCGTGGGAAAACTATGATACGTGTTGACTATACAATCCCCGCTGAATGGCTTTACTATGAAGTCGTGGTTGGGCTACTTGACTCTGGGGTCTTGGGGGCTGTTGATCTCTTAGCTCAATGCGCCATCAGGAAAACAGCTGATGAGTCAGATCAGATGCCTTCATGGGTTCCTGATTGGAGGAAACCGAAGATTAGGGAGCCGCTTTGGTTTTCCCCGTCTGACATTCAAGGACGTTTGGAGCCGCATAACCGGTCAATACTGACAATCAAGTCATCGAGCATCCATCTGCTGGGTGAAGTAACTAATAACAGTGTTAGCGCCGTTTTCCCTGACATATATGTCGAATCCGAGATTCATAAATGGTTCTTAGATACATGGGCAAGCTTAGCTGAACTACAAGCATCCCAAAATAGTGCGCACCAACATCAAACTAGCGAACATATCCTAGCTCGTTTCGTTAATACTGTTTTAAACGAAAAGACACCATATGAACATGACGGGCTGAAAAGTTTCAACATAGACGGTTTTCATAAATCTTGGGTCAAGTATCGAGAGTATCTGCAAAGGGTCTGCGAGGACATACAGCAGGGGAAAATACCCTCAGAGTTCTACAAATTCACTTGGAATTATATGAAAGGCCGCACTATCTTCATTTGGCAGGACGCCGCTAAGTCTCAGCCACAATACGGGTTTGGACCCTCCCATGCCCAACCGGGAGACACGATACTTGCACCAGGGTCCTCCACTTTCCAGGCATTCTTCAACACCGGCATGCGACCGTTGAACACCAATAGGTCGTCTTTCCTACTTAGGCAGTCTCCCGTTGAAATCGATTTATCATTTGAACAGAAAGATCGTGTGTTGCCGGGGAACTTTCGATTAGTTGGGGACTGTCAGGTTATGCTATACTCTGGGCGTACTATCCACGACTTGACTAAGGAACCTGATGATTATAAGCCTTTAGATTTCTCTTGGTTTCGACAACTCTCTATATCGTAGTATTATCCCTTCCATACTAGGGCAGACAGACATTCAGGATGGGCAAACTTTGATGAGGACTTCTTTATAAACCTAAGCTACCTCCTAATGTAAGGATAGGCAGCTTTTCTCGGTTCCCCTTTAATTATCTTCGCCTCTTTGATATAGCAATAGATGAAGTTGATATGAAGACACGTTCAAACTTAGGTGAGCAGATGAGGTAGGGCTGGCAGGTAGGTATTCTCAATCTTGGTTAGCTCGAAAATTTCCGAAGTCCTACCCCAGTTTTATAGGGATTTATTCGCTGATTTATCCCCTGCTGCTTCGATCGGCATCGCCAAGAATGTTGCCTTACCGTAACCTACATCGCTGCTTACCTCATTACCTAGCAGCCTAAGTACGCTACGGCATAGACAAAGTTAGTTTAAACATAAAGGCACCTTTGACCACAATAGCCCGAGTTTACGAAGGTCGTAGGTCAATCACGTGCCCGGCAGCAAAGGATTGTTACAAAAAAAAAAAGAAAAAAAGAAAAATTATTACCGCTTTTTTTAAGATTTTATAACTTTTAACACATAAATTATATAAGTACATTAAACCTTTTATAATGCGGTTTTATTTAACGTTATATTATATATAAATTTTTTTTATTATATAAAAATTTTAAAATTAATTATTTTTAAAAATAAAATATATTATAATTTAATAAAATGAAAGTTATTTACACTTTTAATAAACTTAAGTTTAAAAAAAAAGTTTTAATAAAAGTTAATTTTATTTTAAATGACTTTAAATTAAGGTTTAATATTTAATTTAAAAAGATGTATTTTTTATAACTACATTATTTTTTAATTAATTATAACCCGTAAAACCTTTTTTTTAAAATATTTCACTTTTAATTTAAAGTTATTTTAAACACGTGTTTTTTAAAAAATTAACTTATAAAAAATAACATTTAACATCATTTAATTAATAAAATCATTAAAAAAACAATAACATTAACGCATTTTTATAATAAATAATAATTATACATAATCGTATTAACTTTATTATTAAATTTACCGATTAATTTATATGTTTTAAACTTTTTAAAGCTTTTTAAAAATGTTAAATATAATTATAACGGTCGTAACCGGTCGTAACACCGGTCGTAACATTAATAATAACAATTAATAAAATCATTAAAAATAATAACATTAACGTTTTTTTATAATAAATAATTATTAATTATATAATCGTATTAACTTTATTATTAAATCCCACGTATTTTAAGTTTTTTAAAACGTTAAAAATAACCGTAATAATAATTATAATAACGATCGTAATCCCGATTATAACACCGGTTATAACGCATTAATTATAACACGCGATAAAATCGTATAAATATATAAAAAAAACGAAAAAATTAAAATTATTATATTAAATAAAATATAACGCGTTTTATTTTATTTATACGTATTATTAATTATATTATTAATAATTATAATAATAATAATTAATAATATTATTTATCGTAAAATAATTTTAACGTTTAAAGTTATAATATAATAATATAACGTTATACGAATATATAAAAAATTTAAATAAATAAATGTAATATATTATTAATTTTAAGTCATTTAAATTAAAATTATTTTATACGTTATAATATTATATTAAAATTTTTATAAATATAAAGTTTAAATTTATCATTAAAATTTTACCGTAACGTAAACATAAATTTAAAATAACTTTAAACTATAATTCGTTAAAAAGCTTATTCGTAACTTATAAATATAAACACACGGGCCATGCGTTTTATAACTTAAATAAACGTAACCCCCGCGTTTTAATAAATTATAATTTAACGTACATTAAAATAAAGTTAATTATTTACTTTTAAAACGCATTACACGTATATGTCGCACGTACTTATATTATTATAAATTTAAAATTATTTTATTTTTTAAAAATTATCGTATATTACTTAAAATTAACGTTTTTAATTAATATAAATAATTAATTAATATTTTATAAAATAATTTTTTAATAAAAAAAAATTATAAAAAACTTATTATTAAAAAAATAAAAAATTATTTTATAATTTAAAATTATATTATTATATTAAATTAATAAAATAATAAATACGAAATATTTAAAAATAATAAAATAAAATAATTAAAATATCTTTTTTATTAATTTTTTTTAAAAAATTAATTTTAAATTAAATTTATAACTATTTATAAAGTTTATAAAATCGTTATAAAACATTAATTTTAAAAAAAATTAATTAATATATTTAAAATTTTATATTTTAATTATTAAAATATATTTATTTTTTTAATAAATTAATTTATAACTTTTTTTCGTAAATATTAAATTATTTAAAAATAATTAATTTATATAATTTTAAAATTATTTAATAAAATTATTAAATATACGAATAATTTTTTATAATATATTTAAAAAATATTTAAAAAATAAAACTTTATTAATACGATTTTATTAAATAATATTAATTATAATATTACCTTACATTATTTTTTTTTAAATTTAATATTAAACGTTAATAAAATTTTATTATTTTTTAAATTTTTAAAAAATTATACGTATAATATTAAAAACGTTAAATCCGTTATTAATAAAATTAAATAAAGTAATTAAAATAAAAGATAAATTATTTTAATATTATATATATTTATTAATAAATTTATACTTTTAAAACTTAAGTTAATCTTTTATAATAAAAGTATAATAAAAGATTAAAAATAATAATATTATTATTTTAACGTTATAATTAAATTTAATAAAATAACGTATAATAATAAAAACTTTTTAAACGTTAAATCGATAAAAAGTTATTACCGTATATAAAAAACAAAAAAACTTTATTAATTATAAACGTTATTATTTTTTATAAAATTAATTTATTAAAATAAATGTTATAAAATAATAACGTTTTAATTAAAATAATACCGTTAAAATTAACTTTTTATTTATAACTTTTAAACGTAATTATAAATAACTTTTTAAAAAAGATTTTTTAAAAAAAAATAAATTTATATTTTAAAAATTTAAAATTAATTAATAAACTTTTTAAAAAATAATCTTTTTAAAATAAAAAAATAATAATTACTTATATTATTATAAAAACTTAAAATCGATTTACGTTATTATATAACGTTAAATTAATAAAAAATTCTTTTATATATATAAAAATAATTATTTATTTTTTAAAAAATAAAAACCATTTAATTTAAATTAAAAAAATAAATTAAACGTTATTACATTTTAATAATTAATCGACTTTATACGTTATTAAAAAAGAAATTTTATATACCGTTATATTTAAAATATTTAATAACGTTAAAACGTTAATTATTATTAAAAAAACTTTTAATTTATTTTATAATTTATACCGTACGTTAAAAAAGGTTTTATTAATTAAAACTTATTAATAACGAAGTTTTAAAATCGGTAATAATAAATTTAATTTAATTTAAAAGCTTAAAAAATAAAATAATTTATAATTATTTTAAATAACATTAAAAAATAAAATAAAATTAATTAATTTAAATAAAATTATTATAACGTAAATAAATTTAAAGTTTATAATAAATTTAAATTTAAAGTTTAAATTATTTAAAACTTATAAATTTTTTATCGATTAAAAAGTTAATAAAACACTTAAATAATAAATATTAATTTTTAATTATTATATTTTAAAAAAATTTAAATAATTATTTATATTAAATTACTTTTAACTTAAATTTAAAATTATATAAATAACGCGTTTATTTAATATAATAACTTTTTTAATAATAACATAATTTTTAATTTTCATTTAATTATAATATACGTTATTTAAATTAAAAAATATATTAATAAACACGTTTAAAATTAAAAACTTTTATAAACGTAATATATAAATATAATTTATTTTAAAATAAAAAAAAGATTTAAAATTATAAATAATAATTAAATTAAATCGTTAAATATAAACATTAAAAAACATTATAATATATTAAAATATTAATATATTAATAATATAATTTTTAATTTTATATTAAATTATATAAATACACGTTAATAATTAATTAAATCGTTAATATAATTTTTTTATATATATTTTACTAGTAAAAAACCTATAAATATAATTTAAATAATTATATAAAACCATTATTATTATTAAAGGTGATCCGTGTACTAAAAGTCGTAAAATCTTAGAAAAGGCGGTATTTTAATAAAACTCAAACCACATTTCGTGGAGGCAGGCTGCGCCCCGCCCGCCAGCCCTCCCGTTGGCGCCACCGGCGCCACGAAACGCATGGCCCGTGTGTTCGTATCTGTGGGTCACGGGCTGGCTATTCCATGCAGAGTTTCGAAAAAAAAAATTTGGTGGGGTTGTACGGGTTGTGATTGGCTGGGGAGGTGGTGTGGCTAGGGGAGTACAACCTTACGAACGAAAAAGATTTATTTTGACGCCTTTTTGCTAACCTTAGAGACAATAACCCTTATAAATTCTGGCAATCGAGATGAGCCAGACAATAACCCTCATAAACTTGGGCAATGCTCTGCCATATGTCGGCTGCCTCATGCTTACATGCAGGACTAGTCATCGTCTAAAAGATGCCTTTCTTGCTTCCGACGAATCCTAACGGGATTTCCCGATTGGATCGAACCTTGCATTGATCCTCTCCGCCAGGTTGTTCGCCAGGTTGTTCTCCGAAGTGACTCAGCCCTCCGGCCACTGAGCCAGGGACTCCTTAGGCTATCTCTGCCTCAATGTCCGCTCTTTATCATCTATCTGAAGCGATTGGATAGTTAATACATGTGCATCGTCCAATGATTATGGGAAGTGGTAAGAAGGATGAGCTACTGTTGGCGGAATCTAGCCTAGCATGAGGAAACGATTCACAAGATATGCAGTCGTTTAAGCTGAATCGAAAATCTAGGGCTAGGCAGCTACTGCTTCTATGTATGAATGTGTGATCCATTCCCGGTTCCCCTTTCTTGTCTATATATATATTGCCATTTGTCGTCTTCTAAATCTCATCTCGCCCTCCATAGCTACCTACCTATCTATACCTTCTCTTTTAAGTATTACAGGACCATTTACACATAAGCCCTTATATATTATCGTCGAAACTTAAAGTACAGGCTCACAATGGCTCCTAAGAAAACTCCCGACTCCAAGCCCAAGCGCTTCACACAGAGCTCGCGGCACTTCCGTGAAAATGACCCCTCATTCCTAGCTGCACAGAGAGAGGCAGAACGGCGTGAACAGATCCTGGCCGATCGTCGTCGTGTTGAAGCCAAATGGCGACCCAAGATTCCCGAAGTACGCAGAGTAAACTTTGAAAACTTCAAGAATCGGTTTCACGATATTGATGAGCCCGACTATGCCATCGAAGTCCTTATGGCAGGGTCTTATCTGCAGGCCCAGGTCCGCCGTGAGCAAGCTCTCCGAAAAAAGGAGGACCATGCTCGTACGCGTCAACATATGTTACTTGCTTACGGTCTTCCCCGTGAGCAAGTATACACTTCACGACCTAAGAATGGCGCCTCAGAAAAGGTCAAGAGAGACAAGAAGGCAGAGGGTGCTCAGATGAATGAGGGCGAGATGCAACGCATTCGCATTCAATCACAGCCTGTCCTGGGACATCTTACATCTCTTCTAAAGGATACCGAACAGAGATCCACGCCACGTACTTTCGTCAGGCCTTTTAAGGCTTTGGTGTATTTTCAGCCCAAGATGAAAGAGATTCTCGCCACTCTGGAAGAGAAATGGGCTGATTATGAGGAGATTGACGACATCGAATCCGAGGAACTCCCAGAGATTCCTGACGTGGAGAGCATTAAGTCCAAGACGAAGGACTCGGGCTCCGAGACTGGCGATGATGATGACGACAACGAGTCTCTCCTTTCGGTTGACTCGAACGCTGAGGATTTGGACACTATTATGGACAGTCCCGAGGCTCTTAGGGATATGCGATGCTACGTCAACTTTATCGACAAGGAGGTAATGCCTCAACACAGCCGCTTTGCCGAAAGTGCAACCGACAAGGTCAAGTTTGAGGATCTGTGGTCTCTCTTCCGTCCCGGGGATCTTATTTACATGCCAGCAGCCGGGGAGACAGCGGGCCGCTATCATGAGGTCTGGCGCATCTACCGGACAGAGATGCCTGAAGTAGAAGCGTCCTATCCCTCAAAACAAGAGTGGGAATTCTTCCTGGATGATTTGTCGCAGGACAAGAAGGATAATAAGTTCAATATCTACGCCTACTATATCGACCACGACGGCGACTCCTTCGGTGCTGTACGTCACACATTCGAGATCGAGTCCTTCGTTGGCGAGAGGCTTGTCGAGTCTCTCGAGGTCTTCCCCATTCGCTACCGACAGGACCACCAACAACTCCTAGATTCTCTCAAGAAGCAGGGACAAGATTTCCAGAGATTCCTTGGTGATAGGCATCAATCATACCATGCTTGGACCTTGACAAGGAACCCGCCCTTTGACACTACTGAGCCCAATGAAGAGATCTTGGAGGATGAGAACTATGACAAAATGCGTCATCCTGAATTCGTCGAGAGCGACGTGATCGTTGATCTCCAAGAGGCATACCAGAAGCATGGTGGATGGCGACCCTCCTTCCATAGATTGACCGTAAACAAGTCTATCGCATGTGAGGTCGAGGACGACGGAATGGGCATCCGACAGTGGTTTGACGCCTCGCGAACGAACCTTGCGTATTCGCAGAGCGAAATTGTCCAGAAGAAGGAAGGTGTTGAATTATGGCAGCGTCGCGAGAACCTCAATATCGATACATTCTTACGCCAACGGACGAAGGGTAGCCGCGCGCACGAGATGAACCCAGAGGCTCTAGAGCTGCGCGAGGAAGACCTTGTTCTCCTCCCCAAGCGTATGTTCGCATATGCCCTACGCGAGCGCAGATTCGTGCCGATCAACATTCACTTCCTGAAACCTATCCGTAGGGAACAGGGCGTATTCGAGAACCTTAAGATCTTAAAGGATTACAAGGATATTGTGCGGGGTCTTGTCGCTTCTCACTTCCAGAAGAAGAGCCTCGAGCGGCGGTATGTCGATATGTCGACCGAGGGACCGGGCCAGGATCTGATCCAGAACAAGGGTCGCGGCCTAGTTGTCTTACTTCACGGTGTTCCTGGTGTTGGTAAAACCGCGACGGCCGAGGCGGTGGCTATGGAGTATCGCAAGCCTCTGTTCGTCATTACCTGCGGTGACCTCGGTCTTACTCCATCCGCAGTCGAGAACTCGCTGAACAACGTCTTTCGTCTGGCAAACCTGTGGGATTGCGTCCTCTTACTTGATGAGGCCGACGTATTTCTGTCGCAGCGCTCAAAGGTCGACATGAAGCGCAATGCACTAGTTTCCGTGTTCTTGCGTGTCCTTGAGTACTACAACGGATTACTCTTCCTTACTACAAACCGAGTGAACACTATCGACGAAGCATTCAAGTCGCGTATCCACATGTCGCTGTACTACCCGCCACTCGACAAGACCCAGACTCAGGATATCTTCCGACTCAACCTCGCCAAGCTACGCGAGATCGAAGCCCAGCGACACACCATGACAGGCGAGCCCACACTCGTCATCAAGGACCGCGAGATTATCGACTTTGCCGGAAAGCACTACGAAGAAAACGCCCGGTCTACCGGCTGCTGGAACGGTCGCCAGATCCGAAATGCCTTCCAGATCGCGTCGAGTCTGGCGCATCACAATTATACTATCGCGACCGAGGCGGCACGAGCAAATGGCCAGCAGCCCCCTATGGCGCCGGTATTGGACCGTAGCTTGTTCGATAAGGTACAAATGTCGACTTTGAGCTTCGACCACCATATGAAGGAGTCTAGGGGATTCGAGTCTGAACTACCTCTGAGGAATACCTTTTACAAAGAGGAACAATTTGAGTAATGGTAGATAGGTATTCTTGCGTGGGGTTACGATTGGGGTGTTTAGGAGAGAGCGCGAATTAGACCAATGTCATGCATAGCCAGCCAACAAACTAGGTTTATACAAGTTATTTTTATTTAACTTCACCTCTCTAGCATAAGAGCAGTACTTATGTACATCCAATTGCGATATCAGTCTTGATCGTAGTCGAAACTGTCAACCTACGGCTCGTGTAAGAATTGTTTGAACCAGTTAACGGCGTCATTCTTTGCCCTAACCATAGCCAACAGCTCGCCAGGCTCCTTTTCGCTGCCGCGAACAAGAGCGCCATGCACCACGCGCGGATAGTGTCGATAATCGAACTCGATTCCCAGCTTAGGAATCTTTTCGAATGTATAACTCTTCAACTCATCGGAATACATGAAGTCGTGCTCAGGAGCTAGAAGTTGCACGGGGACCGCGACCTCATCGATGTCCTTCTTAGTTAATAGGGATGGATGTCCAGTTGAGATGCAGTCGACCAGAGGGGGGTTGTGCTCTTTGGCGCCTAGTCGGAATACACCCCACCCCCCGAAGCAGTAGCCGATGGCGCCAATTTTCTTGTACTTCTGGCGCAGGGCCTTCGCGACAGCGAAGATCTCCGGCTCTCGGGCCTCGCGTGAGTTTCGCACCATAAAGCCTGCGAAATCGAAACCGCTGAAGTCCCCGGATAAGATGGCGGGAGTTGGCTCGACGACCTCGCCGCCGAAGAAGTCGGGAAGATAGACTGTCGCGTTGATCTCGCGAGCGAAGTGGTCCGCTAGCAGACGCAAGTTGGGAAAAGTCCAGCCGAAGACATCGTGGATGAGCAGTACAGCAGCGTCGGCGTTGTCACCCGCGATATAGGTGTTGATATCAGCGATCTTCCCGGTCTTCCCGCTCGGGGTTCCGCTCCATTCAAAGCCCTTGAGGCAGCACTTAGAATACGACATTGTGAAAGTCTTTTATATCGAAGTACTTATATGGTAAGATAGGAAGTAGTGGCAGTATGGAACAAAGATTTGGACATGAGGCTACCGTATTAGACTTAATTATAAGGCATATTTATATCCTTCACTCGGACGTAACGGGCTTAAGACTCGGTAGATCTTTTAGTCTAAGTTGCATAGTATAACATTCCGTACACGACCGTCAAATGCGACAACCACTCCGAGCTCCATCATACTTGCTGCATCAGTAACTTCAATCGGGCTTTGAATGATCGCGATGTCCCGTACAGTACTCGTATTTGCCTAGGACACTGTGCATATATCCTAGTCTTAAGGCTTGACAGCATAATTGTTAGACGCTTGAAATTCAGTTGGACTGTGGATATTCACCTTCGGCAAGGCGACTAAGCGCGAAGACGTTATAGGGAATATATATCACTCTAACACGGTGCAGTCTCAAAGCGCGATGACAAATTTATGAATATATTTTAACTAAATCGGGCGAACAGTCCATCCGTGCGGAGTCGCATTTTCACGGCATCTATATGCGGCGACTTCGATAATAATGCGATGCCCCCACTGGTTTTATTTTTTATTTTTTCAAAGAGCTCGCTTAACCCCAGAGCAGCAATAAGACTCAATTTCCTGTTCTCTTATGTTCTCCTTCAATCATGAACAAACACATGTATATGCCCCACTTATATCGACAAATCAAGACTATGAAAAGACTCAAAACATTCCCTCTTGGGAAAAGTGCGAGGAGCCTGGCCAATCAAATTTTGAATCAACAATGTACCTCCCTATGTCTAGCTTGCCATTAAGAGCACACTGTATGCCGGAGATTTTATTAGCTGTTTATGGACTCCGCGTAACTCCGGAGCCGGTGTTAAGATTTATATTTACAACCATTTAATATAGACTCTGTTAAACTTCCTATATAAGGTATTCAATATTCCTCTAGATACCTTTATGATCACGTCAAAGAAGCAAGTCAGATTACTATCAGTAGGGTTTATTTAGGGGTTTATAGTTAATTCTTACGTTATATGAGGATTCCATAATAAAAGTATAAAAATGGGTTGGAAAGGGCTAAATAGAGTGAGTTTTAGATCTCTAGGTCACTGATATACCAATGATAAAAGGTTTCTACCCAAATCCGTGGTTTAGACTCCGCTAGGCTCATAGCTATTCGCGCTTCAATATAGTTGTGTTTTAGTTAGGTACTATAATTCAATTATGTTGTTTCATTCGCACGCATTCTTACTGCCAGGCTTTTTATATGATTACCCCTATCTTTTCAACCATGGCGAATTTTGACAATGGAATATACTCAAAACGCTTCATAATAACTGATGTCCAAGCTCACTAGTATAAATAGAAAACACTGAGCTGTCTCTACGTGCGTATTTTGAGTGTACGAGTTGCTTTACTAGGTTTATCACGATGCATACAGGAGGTTTTCATGCCTATATCGTTGGACTGATCAAGCAACGAGTGCCACAACAGCTACAAGCCGCTTGAGTGATAGCTGAGGCCGGTACCACCAAATCAAATGCTGTTAAAAGTGGTTAAGATATCAATGCATGTCAATTAAGAAAGCAAGTCCCAACTGGTGGCTGGGCAAGGTGGTGTGGCATATAATGCCCTACTAAGTATTTGGCAAAGCATCTCATAACTAAGAGGGGGGAAGTCCTCCTAGAGGCGCACGAACCGCTTCGGCCCCCTTAAATATTTTTCAATAAGGCAGCCCTGATGCCGATGAGTGCTTGCCTCCCGATGGCTTATTTCCCCGCTTTTGCCTTCTCCGCTTCCAACTCGGTGCTTCTGTATATGATCGCGTTAATGAAGCGCCGGAGATTATCAGCCTCATTTATCCCATCAACACAGGTCTTATAGCGCGAGGAGCCAGCGTCCAGCGACCCCTTTATGGTAAGGAGCCTGCGCTGGTGCGAGTCAATTTCCGAGATGAGGGTGATTAATTCATTATATCTCCGGGCGCTTAAAATGCCTTCGGTAGCGAAGTTCGACTCGACGTGTTGCCTTATGTCTGAGAGTTTGGCAATGATTCCCGTCTCCATGATGGTCGAGAAAAAAAGGTAGTTCGGAATATTTCTAGGTATCACGTAATTCTTCGTGGAGTTTGGTAGGTAGATTGTTGTAGGGAAAGGGTTTGTCGAGGAGAGAGTGATATCACTAGGACTCTGGCATATTTATATATTCGTAGTTCTAGGGATACTACACTCCAACACGTCATGATCAAGTTTAAGCAATGATAGTAGGTGTCAGGATTAGTGCCCTTTTGAGGTGAATTATGCACAGAGTGAATGTCTAGGGTAGGTAGACCAGGTAGTGATTGTATTGAACTTAGCAACGCCTGGCCTTCTAACCTCTGACGAGGGCGCTTCGCCTCTCTTATATAGGTAGTCATAAAGACCCCCTGTAGACACCCTGACCCACTATACCCTGACATCCATCGGACTACTTCCCAAAAATGATCTTACCTGCCCATAGGTACCTTAGACATTAATATTTAAGAAAGTTCTAAGTGCCCTCTATCACAAGCATCTCAAGGTTACTAAGTATCATTTTCTAATGGAGGATGCTTGCGCGGCCTTTCTCGGTCCATTGCTCCTGGAGGTTGACTCTGATTTGCGTTGTGTTAGAGTAAGGAAGACATGTTTAGGGCGTTAGTAATAGCAAAAACGAGTTTCGGGTCGGTTGCCACCCGGCGCTTCGGAATTGTCTACTCTTGGAACGAAGGCGAGGACTCTGGGTTTGGAATTCTCTTAACTCGACGATAATAGCTAGATGCATCTTATACTCGTGAATATATGAAAGTACCTATTAGAGTTATTCGTTGAGCCTTTCTCCTTTTCTTTGACAATTTTATTTACTGTGTATCCCCGCCTAGGTCACTATCTAGGTACTTAAAATAGGTGAGATAGGGATACAGCTATATCCTAAATAAGTGAATGTACCTAATGTTACTTTATTCTACGAAGTATTAACTTAGGTAGCCTTGTCATCCTGGTAGGTACCCCCGGAAGCAAATTCAGGGGTAGAGGGGGATGTGTGCGATGAGTACCTAAAGAAACTAATACATGTAAGTGTATTATAGTAGCTTAGGAGTCTTTTTCATCCCATAATCAATCCGTTTGTCACGTCTGAATAATTGGGTGACAAACTACACATCCCCTACCATTGTCAGAAGCCATTACCTACTGTCAGGGTGGCTACAAGGGTCTGCTACGACTATATAAGAGGCGCGAAGCGCCCTCGTCAAAGGTTAGAAGGCCAGGTGTTATTAAATTCAATACAATCACTATTTGGTCTACCTACCCTAGACATTTACTTTGTGCATGATTCACCTCAAAAGGGCACTAATCCTGACAATGGAGGTAGCGTGAGGAATAGGCGACTCGGCGAATAATAGCAAACCATAATTTTAATTCTTAGGTATTTGAAGTACGAACAATTACACCAGTATAGTATCCATTCGGTCAAGGCTCAATCGCCCGACTACCTCTTGCTCGAGGTATACCTCCATCGGCATCCACTCCTCGACCGTGTCCTCCACGAATCTCGACTAGTGTGTACACGCCTAGGGTCATCGAGACACCGGACTCAGTTAAACTTGCGCGCTGGAATTCATTCGACGGTATACTCGTATGCTGGGGAAAATACTGAAGCTGCCCTGGATGTAATCATAACGCTCAGTTAGCTAGGCACATTCTCAGACTCCTATATACGAACAGGTAGGCAAATCAACATACGGTTTGTATATCGGTGGCGAAGTTTACGCTTCCACTCAAACAGTGATAGGAGAGCTGTGGGAAGGCCAATAATAAGAGTCACCAGCCCGATTATCGCTTCAAATGTCAAGCTCGTCGTCATCATGAAAGACCTGCCAGCAAAGAGGACTATGTAAAGTTGATGAACGTCCACGGTATTTGGTAAAGGGAAACCTTGAGTGACTGACAATACTGGAAAGAATGATGAGAAAAGGAATCTATAACCTCAGAAATGCCATATCCTATTTACTTCCTTTTATAACTTGGAGGGTGATCGCAACGAGCTGCGCAACGAGATGCGCACCAATCTCTCGCATTTCGCCTTGTACACGATTGCCAGTTAATTCGTACCTACAGGCTTACTCGTGGCTTGCAGTAAGGTATTGTCTGCGACCAATTAAAGACCTACATAGTTGCTCTAACTTTCTGATACTGGATTCGACCTATCACGCCTCGTAGCAAGGCTCTGGGATATGCATGTTCTAAAGGAGGTACAGGAGGTGTGGATTCTAGTATTGGAAATGCCCAATAGGAATTTAATTAATGAACGCGGCTTAGATCTTGGGTTTCTTGGTTACCTGGGGTTAGGGGGTGATCATGTAATTTTGGTATTGGTATTGTCCAATCCGAACTTCAACTTCAGTGTTACACAGCTTTAAATATTATGCAATGCCACGACCTGATACAAGGCTCTGGGAAGAGTGAGCTTATAAAATCATCTCTCTTATCCCGGACAGAAATGAACTTTCAATTCTCTGATGACCCTCATGATCCATCTCTTTCACCTACATCCGTGTCTTCAATAACACGATGGCCTCGACACGTAAGACTGAAGCCGACTGGCTGCCTTACAAGCACCACATAAACACCATGATACATTCAGAAAAACGCAGTAACTCCGACATACTCGAGTGGTTACGGTCCCAGAACTTCCATGCAAGGTACCTATGCTTCCGCCCAGTCACACGAATAACCGATCTAACAGAAACTAGCAAGAGTCAGCTTGAATACCAGCTGCAGAATTGGAATATCAGAAGGAAGCTTCGCAAAGGCCAGAGTGAGGATATTTGGCGTTACGTGGGACACCGCGTCACGAAACGACGGGGTCGGGGTAAGGAGAGTAAGGTAGTAATCGACGGGAAAGTTTATGGCGCCATAGAAGTGGCCAAAGAGATCAGCCGCAACCAGTTAAGTACTCTCGAAAGAATCCAACAAGGCGAGTTCGAAAATATTCTAGTCTGTCAACTCATCCAGATTCTAATGAGAAAGATTTCTTAGGTCCTACTAGTCCAATAGCACCCGAAGGGATGGCAATATCTGTCCTCTCTCCCCATTCATCCGAAATGGAAGTTTCTTGGCCATACGAACTTCCGTGGTTCAAATTCCGACTCCAACTTGCGTTTCGTAAGTATATGCTCCTTTTACCATATAATCATGAAGACTAACAAATTACTGTGTAGCAATTTCACCGAGACCATCGATTTTAACGCAATGCACCAATGATATCCTTCATCTCTTAACTCGACATTCAATCCCTGGGGATATTGAAGGAATCGTCCGCCGGAATCATGATGATTCGCCTCTAGTAATATCGCACCTGGCCTCGGGGATGCGATGCTTCATGCCTGAAGCATATCCGGACGAAATTCTAAGCCGAACACAGAGTATCATCCAAGGATTGGACAACCAACGACTAGAGCAACTTATCATGATCATCATATTTCGGCTATCGAATAATCTCGACACCGATGAACTCATAGAAATATGGCCCACAGTCCTCAACCTATTCCATATATCGGGAATCATGAGTAAGCCTCTTGAGTCGAAAGAGACTACAGATATTACGGCTATAGCTGTTGCCGAAAAGCTCTATCGGATAGCTTTTCAAGCTGGATTTCATCCCAATCTACAACGACCAAGGGATGTGCAAGAAGGAACGCGAGCACTGATCAAGTGGCTACTGTCTTCCGGGCAAGATCCAAATGTTCTAGTTTCTATAGGCAGTGATACTATTGACACAAGTTTACATGCGGCGGTCTTGTATCAAGAAGTAGACCTCGCCCTGGTGCTATTGAGCAAAGGAGCCGACCCTAACCTTATACCTAAAAGATATACCGTCAAACAGAGACTTCCCTTAATAATAGCGATCAGCGCTGATGAGTATGCGCAAAGATTTGATCTTATTGAGGCATTGCTCAGGGGCGGTGCCGAGCTGAACGCATTCGATACTGCCATAGGGTTGTACCCACTCAGTGCTGCAATCTATCGCAAGGACCTTTCGGTGGTTAAATTACTACTCAGATACGGAGCAAAGATTGACGGTTGGTGCACCCTGGAGGATAGGCTTAGGCTTAGCCCCGAAGAACCCATCAAAGGCTTCACAAACATCCATACTATTCTAGGATGTGCAGCTGGTATATCACCTGAACTGGACGTTTTCTCGATAGTTCGTTATCTATTGTTCCAATTACAAGAGCAATATCAGATCATTGACGCAAATCGGTGCATCCTGGTTGAAACTCTGCTTATAGCCGCTGGGAGGGGTTATAACACAGTCTTGACTTTACTTCTAGACCAAGGAATTGATGTCAATGCTACTAACGATCTTGGCTACACTGCTTTGAGCCTTGCAGCATTCTGGGGCCATTTACACACCTGTCGTATGCTTCTTGAACGGGGTGCATCGGTTGAATCTTGGTCCTGGAGGTATATTTATTTGGGGTCTACTATCAAAACACCCTCTCCTCTACACCTTGCAGCCTATAGAGATCATTTGGATGTGGTTAAATTTTTGCATCAATCAGGTGTTAGCATCGATTGTGATAACCACCATTATATTGGGCTTGGTGGTCATCCCTTTTCGATCTACAACAAATCCTGTAATAGAAAATCCCTACCTCTTATCTGTGTTACTCCTGTTGGTGCAGCAATGTTCAATTCCGGAATATCAGGTACATATCGATACTTAGTTTCGAACGGAGCCATGATCCCACGTTGGACAGCATTTGAGGCGGCTGGAAGTTTCAAAGATTTCGAGCTTTTGTCATTTTTGCTAGATAATGGCCAAGATCCCAATGAAAAAGGCCCAGGGGGGGTAACACTGCTTGAGAGTGTTCTTTCAACCGATACTTGGACCAACGAAGCAGAGAAATCCTCACGTGCAAAAGCGGCTAGAGTTTTACTGGATCGAGGTTATAAACCAGCCGGAAGGGAAGCCGTCCTGGCCGTCATTCTGGGTGACTGGGAGCTTGCAGAACGTATTCTTTGCCCGGATGATTACCTCCATATCAACGATCTATATTATTCATATAGAAGCCGTTTCACCTCTCAAGATCAGAAGTGGACCATGATTCACGCGGCATGTTTAAGTCGCGACATGGCTATAATTCAGAAAGTCCTAGACCTATGCCCAGATGCATATAATGAGAGTGCACTTTGTCTTGCTACTCTTCTGGCATGTGAAACTAGGGATAAAAAAGCGATGGATATTGTTGATCAACTATTGAAACGTATCCCACAGCAAAAGATGTCGATGAACATAGAAATGATAGCTTTGGGAATTGCATCCTGGTATGAAAATATGCAACTGTTTGAGTTGCTTTTGGGAAAGATCACACCGTCACAAGTTGTGAGAATCAACCAGCCCAATAAGGGTTCTTTGGTTTTTGACCCTACTGTTGTGTGCTCACTCAAACCTATCGGTTTGAAAGACCCTGAAGGCTTTGTTGAGACATCACCGTTGATATTTACTCTCAAGTCCCCCCAGGCTAGAGCTTTACTATTAAGCCGCGGATGCAAGGCAGATACACGAGTTTTATGCTCAGCAATAGAAACAGGAGATTTGGCACTTGTGAAAGAGCTTCTATCAGGAAATCAGCAGCCATTCGGTCGCGGCATCCTCTCCAAAGCAATTTCGATCGGGAATATGGAGATGGTAAAGACCCTCCTAGAAGCAGGCGAAAATATCAATGCAAAATATTATCAGCCCGCAAGACGTAATGCTGTCGAACAGCATGACAATCCCCTCCAAACAGCCATTGGAAAAGGCCATACAGGTATCTGGAATTTACTGTTGAAGAACAGCCCGAATGTAAATGCCGCCGCCGGGCTAGTTTACAAGGGTACTGCGCTTCAAATAGCGTGCCGGAAAGGATACCTAGGCCTCGCAAAACAGTTAATTGACCTTGGGGCGAACGTTAACCCAGATCGGTTCGCATTTGGAGATCTATCTGCACTGGAATCTGCAGCTGAGAATGGAAGAATAGACATGATCCAGCTTCTCTTATCTTCCGGAGCAATTACCACTGGAAAATGGCGTTGGCATTATCTCCAAGCCGTTGCAATTGCGGAGCGAAATGGCCATCAGGCTGCCGCCAGTGTCCTAAGGCTACACCGTAAATGGTTCGCGAAAGACAAGGCTCTCTTTGCTATAATACGCAATCCCAATCGACCAAGACGCTGGGATGACAATTTTGATGATCATGGTGGTGGAGGCCTATTTTTTGGTTCAAAACTAAAGAGAATTATTGAAGAAGTATCGGAAACCGATAGCGACGATAGTGAGGATAAGATGAGTCTCATGAATGCCTCTTAGCCGCGACATGAACCATTGATATATCTATGGAGCAGGATTTGGGTGCAAATGGGCTATTGTTAGAGCCATGTTTGGCAAGGGATTTGGAAACAGAACGAATGACAAGTTTAACAGTAGGTAAATCTTTCAGGTATGATTATGACTACTAGGTACTGAGGATGATTTATTTGGGGATTTTTTTTATTATGGATTACGAGGACATGGCGTATTTTGTTGATAATGATAGCTACCTCCTTATATTAGTAGTGAATGAGTATGTTCTATTAGGGTATAAGTGGATTAGGGGTAAATTCAGGGGTGAGGCTACTAGGATTAAGTATATAAATGGCGCGCAGCGTCCTCGTAAGAAGGTGGAAGATAGTCCAATTCTATCTATTCGGACATTCATTCTATATATGGCATTCATCCAGGGTATAAACCTGACAGCCCCATTGAGAACTTCTTATTTAAGTTACTTTGGCCGTGATAGATAGGAACGACCCAAGGTCGCAAATGACAGGTACCTACGGTTTTTCGAGCATATGAGAATACCAGTCACTTGAGTCCTATTTATAGCATAACACAGCTTGCCACTTGTATTTATATTTAACCGACAGCTTTTCACAAAGTCATAGATATTCTCAGGAAATGCCTGGTCAATGTATTCTACCATTGTACTTAAGCGACCGTTGGAAGCGTCTTTGGTGTCTTGGGTCTATCTCCAATGTCCGGTTCGGGGTCCACTGGTTCAGGGCTTTGTGGTTTTGAGCCCACAATGAGAGTTGCATGAAACTCTTCTCGCTGTGGCCTAATTCAAGAGTTAGCAAAACCCCTCGTTTGAGGCATACAAAGGATATCTTACAGGAGATATTTAAAATCAATATATCGTAGAACACAGGTCATTATAATGACTAAAACCCAGAGCGCAATAGATGATTGCCAGCCATATTTATCTTGTCTACGTTAGTACTACTCCTTATTCAATAAGATTAACCCTAGGGGACTTACAATAAGGGGCCTGGACAGCGGGCCAAACTAGGACTTGGCTCCATGCTGAGACTGCATAATACGTTGCGATAGCAATTCCGACAACCAGTGTCCTGGCCTCCGGATCTTGCGGTAATCTATGAGGCTTTAGTTGCTATACCGATAAATAGTTCAGGACATAAACTGACAAATCAGACAGCCAAGCCATGATTAGAGGCGCAGTTCCTAATGTTAGATACGAGATAAAGTAACTTGCGTATGCGGTAGCTAATGGTGTCGTGTCCGGATGTGAAGTCCATATGCTCATAGCAATACATGGGACAAGTCCGATAACAGCTGCATTAGGCAGATATATATCAGTTTCGGGGGAATTACACGTTCGATTCTGTGAAATTTACTTACCTTGCGCTACGATCAGGGACCATCGCGTCCTCAAGAGATCAGATAAGATTGCCCAAATCCAGACTGGAAATACAATTAGCTTGGCTAAAAAGGGGTAATAGACGCGCATATACCAAAGACGACGTTTATAGCACTACCACCAATCGGAATGGCATTAACTTGAGATGTAGACCAGACGGGTGTACCATCGGGATTCTTCAAACTTTTCAAGAACAGATTGAAGTAAGCGTATCCCCACGGCGCCAGCACTGTCGCAATGTATAAGACTGGAATAAAGTAAGTCACCCAGTTAAATAAAGTGCGCCTATATTCAATTAGAGCTGCTTAGGGTGCTTTAAGGGTGTTAGGGAGGATTACGCACTTTGCACCAGCCCAAGTCATCTTCTTCGGTTCGGCTCGACCGTAACGTTCCAAGCGTTCCATCGCAAGTTTGGCGTGCTCCTTTTTAAACCAAAATGCTCTAGGATTGACGCGATTTGGCAGATCTGGTAATAAAAAGAAACCTAGGACGCCCACAGCTACCGTCATGATTCCGTTGATGATGAATAGCCAACGCCATCCGGCTAGACCGTTCGTATCGTGGAGAGTATCGATGATGGCGACTTGCAATGCTCCAGACATCATAGATCCTATTGCTTGGCAAGAATGGTAGAATCCCATTCTCTTAGCGAGTTCCGAAGGTGTATACCAATGCACTATATGTATAGTAAGGTAAGTATCACTGGAGTACAATAAAGACGAGGGAAAATGAAGAGAAGTCTTACTAAATAATGTCATCATTCCAGGCCAAGCGGAACTCTCACAAAGTCCGAGGAAGACACGAAGGATGTAAACCTGTTTCGCATTATGAACCAGAGCAATAAGGCCTGTAATAACGCCCCAACATATCTCTAATCCAGACAGCCAGTAACTTGGCCGTACGTACGTGAGAATAATTTGAGATGGAATCAACATTATACAATATGCAACACTGAAATATGTAGTGAAGCTGCGCGAAGTTAGCTGACTCAATCAACTTCACGTAGACCACTGTTAACTTACTAGTTAAGCTCATTGCCGTTTAGTTGAAGGTCTTCCTTCATCCCTGAAACATAAGCGTTGCTAATGTTTTGTTGGTCGAGATCTTTGAAATATTAGATATCCCGCTACTCTATTACGAATTGCTAGTTAGAGTCTTACATTTGATAACTGAAATAGAATTATCTGTTAGCCGATCTATGTGTCCTATAGGGAATCTAGGCAATTAACCAACCCTGGGACACGCATCCGAAAGTCATAAGGAAGATGTCCAGTCTCCGAACGAGATCGCGCTCCTCCGGCGTCCGCTCATGGCGCTGCGCAAATGCTAATCGGTTGATATTCATATTATATAGCCCTTACACTTGGACATGAGTTATAAAAGAAAAAAACCGAGTCATCTTGCACGACTTGGGGATCTCCTCACTGATATAGCTGTCTTATCTTCGGCTAACCCCGCTCAGGACTGTTATGACCGGGGGGTGGTTCATGATCTAACTACCTTACTTATCTGGCATCTATCTACCTTAACATAGTGCGCCCTAAATCAAGAACAGATATGTTTTGCCGAGTTGTAAGACTATATCATAGGGTCCCTTGACAAAAGGGGTCGGTTAGATGATTCCTTCTCAGGACATCTTGAAATTTACTTCTCGATAAATCTATAAAGCAGACTCTCTATCCACAAGCATATCTGCATTCCTCCAATACTGGTTGTATCAAAAGCGGGGTACTTCCATCCTTCAAAGTATACGAGCAGATATCATTCTCATCGCATCCGCCCTCCAAGTCTTCTTCGGGCTGAAGGCGGATATGTCCCGATAACAACTTGTAAAAATCGTTCCCATACGCGTATAGATGATACGCTAGCGAAAAAGAGTAATCCATGTAATAGCCGGGTTGAATCTCATTAATCGTTATATTCCAGTTAGGCGTCGTCGCACCGGACGTTGGAGCGGAGCAAGTGTCCTTAGTATGTCCGTACGGCGTCCTATCGTCGAATTTCCAGTGCACTGAACACTGTGCCGTGCTGTTGTCGAAAACAACATAACCACCTCCCGAGGCGTGTGGTGCAGGTCCCGCTGGTATCCTGCTAGGATTTGAGATGGTGATATTCAGGCTCGTGGCATTGGTGCCGTATGGGCCGACACGGGGGCTACGGTACTGGAATGAGGAGATTTCCCAAGGTTTGAGGGGGTACCACGGAGGTAATGGCGGATCTTCCGAAAGCGCAAGATGGGACTGACACAGGAGGCCAGATAGGACGACGGATACCGAGTTGGAGAGCTTCATTTCTTCGTATCGCTCGCTAGTTGCGATATCAAGAGATATTTTCTTCAGGGTTGTACCAAGTGTTAAGTAATTCTTACTGGGAGGAACCTATCTATGAAAGAAAGTTATATAAAAAGGTTCGCAAATATATACCCGCCTCTAATTCGTGATGATGAATTACACCAGTAACATGTGCAGGTAACGTTGAAGTAGGTACAACGTAGTAACAGCACGTTCGAGACTTTCTTGTTCATCCGAAATAGAATATGATTGCTTTATATAGAACCCGTGTTAGCTATGACTTATGCCGGCTAAATCACAAAAAGTTCGGGTATACACCGACATCAACATCTCACTCCAATGGTATGATACAATTGGATAATCTTACGAGAATATAGATTCTTTTACGCAGCTGAACAATCCTCCTTGGGGTTACGTTACTATTAAAAGTCTGTATCACTTTGAAGTCTTTGGTGAGTTTTTTTCCCTCTTTTTGAACCAAGTCGATATCCAAAGGTCATGGCACTGGCTGGGTGAGCCTTGGCATTATTGGTAGATAAAAATGCAAATCAAACATAAACTCGGTATTCTTCTAAACTACCAACAGACAGAATGATGTCGTTACTCCGTACCTTTAATATCTGTTTTACAAGCCGTGATACAATATTGTTTACAAAATATCACCTGCGTGCAGACTGTATATTCGGCATCTCAAAGCATGCTGGTGACATTATTGGCTGGATTTCACTGTTGTGGGTCTTAATACAAGCCCCTTTTAATCCGTACAAGCACTTCTTGTTCAGTTATTTCAGTTATTTGAGGTGATGATAGCTCAGCCGCATGACAAACCTTATGTAAACCACGACCTAATGTTAATAATCATCATATCAAAATTGTATCGTATAGTTATGGTGAATTAGTCAAGATATCAAACCGTTGCTCTTCCGTTCGTGCTGGAATTATGTTATCCTATAGCCGGGCTTACATATGCCAAGCTCGGTATACCGGACTTTTCCGGAATTCAAAGAACACCGAGCTAATAATATCCGCTGTCCGAAACATCATGGTTTTGGTATCATTCATCATTTCACTCTTGTCGATAAGTTGACAAATGCATCGTCTTGTTACTAGAATAGCTTAGTAAACGGGTATAGAATATTAAGTCCATTGTTAAAACCGGCCATGTGTTATCTCAGTTGTGTATATAATAAGCCTAGATGGCGACTAGAAATCGACTTGAACAGCATCAAACAAGATACAGAAACACAAAACTAAAAACACTTACGACAAGTTCATTGAACAAACTACCTAAGTTATCCATTCAAAATGCGATCTCACGAACACCGTCTTATTGGGGCAGCCAAGAACATCCCCGTCAACCCTCAAACTCCTGTCTTTTCGTTCAGTCCTATTGTTCTACCCTTCTCAGACCGACCCCTTGACTTGGACTTGAAAGTCACAGCCCCTGCAACTGGCAATGCTCTTCCCATAATCCTGCTCTCTCACGGCCAAGGCCGAAGCAACCATCTTAACTCCCTGGAGGGCTATACCCCTCTTGCTGAATTCTGGGCTGCGCACGGGTTTGTAGTGATTCAGCCTACGCACTTATCCTCTCTATCAATCACGGTTGAAGCACCCCCTAAAGGCGACGAGTACTATTGGAAAGACCGTGCTCAGGACCTAGTCAGGATTCTCGACGAAATTGACACCATTGAGGCTGCTGTCCCTGGATTGAAGGGGCGGTTGGATAAGACCAAGGTTGCCGTGGCGGGACACTCCCTTGGGGCGTGGACAGCAAGTCTGGTCTTGGGTGCCAAGAACGTGGACTCACGCGACGGGACCCCCTTTGAGAAGTTCGAGAAACGCATCAAGGCCGGGGTGATACTTACCGGCACTGGAAAAGGGGGCGAGGACCTTTCAGATAATGGGCGTCTCCTAATTCCCTTCTATGGGCCTGACTTCAGTGAGATGAAGACGCCAGCTCTTGTTGTATGTGGAGACCAAGACGTGAGCCCCCATCTGACTATTCGCGGCACCGATTGGCATGCAGACAGCTATTACCTTTCACCAGGTCCCAAAGACCTGTTGTGGATCAAGGGGGGGAAGCATGGGCTTGGTGGTGTGAGTGGTTGGGACACAGCGGAGACACAGGACGAGAGTCCCGAACTCCTGGGGGCAGTTCAGCGGTTGACATTGGCGTATCTGAGAAGTGCGCTTTACGGGGATAACTCTTGGGATAAGGCTCGTGATGCCTTGAAGCAGCTTAGTGAGCTGGGAACAGTTGAGAGCAAATGATGAGTAGAGATTAGTCGACGCTGTGTTAACGGGTTTGTTCTAAGGGCTGTTGGTTCCGTACCTAGGTAGGTACCTGTCTTTAGGACTCATCTACAACAATCAATAGTACAATTACATAGAAAACCAAATTGTCTCCCCTCTATACCTAGTAACGCTCTTTCGTATCTTGATAATAATGTTTTCGAGGCCTTTATTTGTTTGCGTGTATTGTATTGAATATTCTATGCTTGCTTTGACGGATATTTAGACGAATAAATCCATAATCAGTTCCCGGACTCACAGGTACTGTATTGTCAAAAGCTTTTAAAAAGGTATCCCTCCCATATATATTCGAAACGTCCCTTAGAGTATCTCTCACGTCTTCCTCGCAAGTAGCTTCCATAGATATTGAACCTTGCATCAGCAGGCAGTCAAGGACTTATGATGGTCCAGAGACAACCTCGTATAGTCGGATTATTGACCGTGACCGTGATTCATATAATCACTAGGGATACAATGCTTTTACAACCTGACCAGTAAAACATGTTTACTTTAGTTCGTAACTACCTGTCACATATGATCTCAAGTACCAAATACGACTCAGGTAGTTATGAAATATACAAAGGTGCGTTTATCAACGGCATCAACGGCATCAACGGCCTGTGCATGGTACTAGAAGAATCACGCCGCAAGAATATATAAACAATTTCAATTTTTCAATCACAGACTAGAGCATTTGTTCCCAGACACAATCAAACACTACCTTTCATACTTTGACACACCTTTTGATTATCCTCCCAGCCATCCAACCTTAACAGTTTTATTTACCTATTCTCCAACGCTTTGAGTCATCATAGCAGTTGAATATCATCCTCGACAAATTATTCCTCGACAAATTATTCCTCGACAAATTATTCCTCGACAAGATTATCAAAGCCGACAGTTATTTCTATTCTTCACTATGGCAAATCTTACAGATCTTCCCGTCGAGCTGCTACTGATGATTTCTGAGTCCGGAGACTCAACTTCAAATCCGTTTTACGGATCCACCATACTGGAGGAATCCGATATAGCCAGCTTAGCATTAACCAATCGACGACTTTATCAAGTTTTCAACCGTATTCTCTATAAGAAAAATGAGGAATACAATTGGTGTCGTGTCCTTGACGAAGCCGTGCGCCGTGGGAACCTGGACACTTTGAAAGTCGCCGCTTCATTTCAAATAGAACCGTCAGAGATGGGATCGGATTATTTCGAAGAGCTACTACAATCGGCTTGTTCGTATGGGTACCTAGATATTGCCGAATGGTTGTTGGATCGCGGTGCGCCATTCAATCATCCATCACTGTGTGACATATCGGGCGACGATTCTCTAAGGGGATGCGGAGCATTATGGGCGGCATTGGAAAGATCGAGGGAAGATACTAGCCTATTGATGTTATCCCGTGGATCTAATCCTCTTTACACTACGGAACAGAACACCTCCAGATCAGCATTACACTACGCAGCAAGATTCAACGTCATCCGGGTAGTGGAATATCTCGTGAAAGATACAGGACTCTCCATTAACATGCAAGATTTGGAAAATTTCACTCCCCTTCGATACGCAATGAGATATATAAAGACGCCAGACACCGATACTGCAATGATCAGGAAGCTAATAGAACTTGGGGCAGATGTTAACACCGAGATCGACGGTGAAATTCCGCTTACATCGGCTCTTATGAGAGGAAAGTACAGACATGCAGCAATATTACTCGATGCTGGCTCGAAAATCAAACCAGATCAGCCGGCACGCAAAGCCAAGTACCCCATCCACGCCCTTATCTTTAGTACAAAATCAGCCACATCGAAACCCAAGATTTTGGCACAAAAGAGTATACTCCAGAGGATGATCGATGCTGGTGCGGACCTAACGGAAAAATACCCCCAAGGCCATTCACCATTAGAAGAAGCATTCCTCAACGGAAGCTGCGAGATAACATCGCACCTCTTAGTTCTACTTAACGATAAAGGGGCTATAGACGTAATGGACCTTTTGGAATTTATAACTCAAAACTGGGACCTTATACGGTTTCCTCATGGCAAGGTAGAGGAACTGTTCAAATATGGCGGTAGAATGGATGTTCCTTTACAAGATGGTCGGACATTGCTTCAGTGGGCAGCTGATAATTATCACAACATCTTCTACCCGTACTTCTTGGACGATCTCTTGGGTATGGCAACCGATTCCATGCTTAATGAGAGATATCTCAACATCCTTCTCACAGAAGTTGCTACATCCCGCAAATATAATTTTCACCAGGGTGTAGCGGATATCATGGGAATCCTCATCTCCTATGGTGCCACGATTGAGGGCCCCGACGACGTGTGTTCCACTGTGACAACATCGATACGTTACCGAAATCCCAACTATGGTGTTCCCGACTCGCTTTTTCCGATAGTGGACTCCGGCATACCAGACGAGAATCTACCTGACCTACTGACAGATGCTCTGAAACATAAGTCTGCTTTATGGGTTAATTATCTTCTCGATCGCATTGAACCTGGATTCGACCCCCTATTACATCGAAATCCCGAGTGGATACATATGGCCGCAAGATGGCGCGAGCCACGCATCATCAGAAGGCTCCTGGAGGGCGTCTCGAGTACGGACGTAAATCATTTGTCCGCAGAGGGACTGACACCACTAGCAACTTCTATGCGTACCTACATGTGTATTTGGGAACTCTACGACACTCTAAATGTGCTTTTAGAATACGGCGCTGATCCGTTTCTACCAAAAAGTTACCCGGTTTGTTATGGCGAGGATTATCGCGACGTCGCACGGAATATGAGAGGGGTTTCAGCTTTCGAGATTGCAATGCATGATGACCTACATAGTGTTGCCGAAGAAATGTGGGATAGAACTGCTCCCGAAGCCCGACCAGACCTAGAAATATTCATCATGCAGTGTGCCAACAAGCGTCGTCGTGGTTACGATTTCTGGATGAAGTGGCTCGATAAGGTCGTTGCGGAGGAATATTACTCCGGTTGGGTAGCCTGGTTGAAGCAGATCGAGGCAGAAGACGATGTGGTAAACCAAGACGAAGAGGCGGCCCGGGAGACCTAATGTACAAACACGGTGTATTATTTTCCATTTCCTTTCCTATTACCGAGTTCGTTTAAACCATAAGGGGTGATCAACTGAATTCTGCAGGGCGCTGACAAAAAGTATCTGCGAACGAAACCGTTCCACACGGATAGAAGCATTCTACTTTTTTACAATTGTTACTTTTGGCTTGAGCACATGAATCAGCTTGATGCGTTCTATTTTATGGAATAACTGTATGAACCTACCAAGCTCTGCTATGGTAGACATTAAACCTATCATCGTCAGGTACTTACACACCTATGACGGTCCAAAGATAGCCTCATATAGTCGGACTATTGTCTGTAATTAATACAATCACTTGGGATACAAAGCTTTTAAAGCGTGAATCATCTAGGATTTCTAGTAAATCATGTTTTAGGTACTTTAGTTCGTAACTGCGTGCGTCACATATGATCCCAAATACCCAATGTGACTTAGGTAGTTATCTGATGTATACACGTAAGGTACGTTTACCGGCAGCTATTACACAATAGTAGGAGTAGAATCACGCCGCGAGAATATATATAAACTCGTCCATTGCCTGGCCACTTACCAAAACTTTCACACAAAACAACATCGCACTCCTCCTTTACTTGTTCGCCTTACATTAATTCCAAACAAATCTTTATTTATTCAAAGACGCCTCTCGAACTCCTGCCCTATCCCACGGTTCAGTTGTCATCAGCAACTAAATCCATCTACCACAATGGCGAAGCTCTTAGATCTCCCTCCCGAGTTACTACAGATGATCGCAACTGCAACAGAAGACTACAGTTCCTGGGAAATACTACAGGAAAAAGACCTAGCCAGACTGTCCCTCGTCAACCGACAGCTAAATAGAACAATAGGTAGCATCTTCTTCTCCTATGGTCTTCGCGCCAGAAGCCATGCCCCCTCTTATGCGGCACAGCATGGAAACCTTCATATTTTGAAGGCCATGGTCGCATTTGGTATCGAGCCTAAATTTTGGCATAACGTATTGGTGGAAGCTTGTGCACACAATCGCCTCAATATTGTTACCTGGATACTAGACCGCGGTACCAAACCAGAAGACGGCGGCCTGACACCAGATGATGAAGCACCACGCTTCAGGGCATGGCCGACGACCGATTGGTGGGTGGATAGACTTCCCACTCTTCAGAAAGGGTGCGATGCATTAAAAGTTGCCTTCGACAACAAAAACCAGGATATGGCTTTACTTTTATTATCGCACGGCGCCAATCCTTTCTTCGTCACACAAGAAGGCAAATCCATATCAGCATTACATGAGGCGGCGCGTACCAATATGGTCCAAGTTGTGGAGTATCTTACACAAAAAGCAGGGTTATCTGTTGATCTACCTGATTATCGCGGATTTACTCCCCTACGCTATGCGGTAAAATATTCAGAGAGCGAGGACCTAGACACCAAGATGCTGGAGAGGCTGATGGAGCTTGGGGCCGATGTTAACAGTGAAGTTGGTGGTGAGCTCCCACTTACGTCGGCACTGTCGAGGGCGAAGTATAAGCACGCGAATATGTTGCTGGATGCTGGCTCGAAAGTTGTACCAGACCAGCCATGCCCAAGAGTCAGGCTCCCTATCCACGCCCTGATATACGGCTCGAAAAGGGTCACATACAAATGTCCGAGGCAGATTGCTCTCCTCCACAGGATTCTCGACGCTGGTGCTGACCTACACAAGAAATACATGTGGGGCCATACACCATTGAGAGAGGCATTGCTGAAAGGAAGCGTGAGTCTATTATCACATCTCCTGCATATACTTGGCAAGGAGCAACCGCATCCGGACGACCTTCTAGACGTATTGGTGTGGGGATATAAGAACGTACGTCAATTTCCCGAGAAGGTGGAACTCGTACTGAAAAGGGGTGCCAGAATGGACACCATTTTAAGCAACGGCGTGTCATTCCTCTACTGGGCGATCAGTTCAGAGGCTATCAAACCCTATTTCTTGGACAAGATCTTAAAAAAAGCCACCGATGCTATGCTTGACCGCGGTTATCTCGACGATCTTTTGGAAGAACTGACCAACCCCGATTATCCAACAGTAACATCATATTGTTTCTTAGGGGTTCTCAGCGATCATGGCGCCAGATCTAAAAACCCCGATCACATATACGAAGTCTCCTTACACCTCATAGACAATGGTGGGTATGTGCAGGACTGGTTAATTGAAGGGTTCGATCTTTTATCGGCTGAGCAACTGGATTACCTATTCATACGTGCTATAAGAGGTAAACCTGAACTTAGCCACAAGATATTTGACCGTATTGAGTTGAATCTTTCGGAGCTAAACCCCAGGTGGTTACATTCAGCTGCTAAATATCGTCGCCTCGACATTATGGCTAGGCTCTTGAAGTACGCTAAGAGTTCCGATTTGAATGTTGTGCGAAAGTCAAGCACAGTGTTAGGAAAGTTGATCTACGGCTTCCACGGCTACGGCCTCGGCCTCGATGGTCACGAGTGTGTCCTTGAGGTGATGGAACACGGCGCCGATCCAATCGTGCCTAACAATCACCCAGGCTGCGATGGCAAGCCAATTTGGCCGTATGGAGAAAAATGTCCAGGAGCATCAGCTTTCGAGATAGGATTACATCGAGGTGTCCCTCTCGAACTCATCCAGAAGATGTGGCAGAAGATTGCTCCTGAGGCCCGACCTGACCCGAGACTATTTATCCCATGTCTCTACAATGGAATATGCGAAGGAGACCGTCGCTCTGAAGTGCTAGCGTGGTTGGAACAAGTCAGTGTGAAGGATGATGGCGTAGCTCAAGATGAAAGGGTGGTCCAGGAGGCTTGATAAGCATGGAAGATGGATTCAGGGGCGCAAGTACATATCCCATTAGTATTCACAAATCAAGACATGAAGACTCAAGACATACCATCTCATGAATAGTATAAAGATTCCAGACAATGGAATTTAAGTGAACAATGTACCGTACCTCCCTGGCGCCTGGGGACATACTTGCTAATACCTATGAGCAAAAAGGCATTGGGCTGGTACCAGAGGCGCGAAGTCACCATACCAATTCACAGAAGTAAAAGTTTGCCAAGAAAATTATCTGGGCTTCTATCTAGAAAGAGATGTGCATGCTATACTCTGTCTAGAATGATTAAGCTAAACATTTCCCATTGTGTCATCTTGGATTTGAAGGGATCCGAGTCCGGAAGCTTGAGTTTGGTTTACACCGAAAAGGGGGCATTACAGCTCTGGCTTGTTTTATTCATCGATTCGAAGCAGAACAATGGTATCTTCGAATATCTCAACTAAGACATTATCTTCTTTCGTCTTGGATTATAATTGATTTTCTATCACACCGTATAACTGTAGGCTTTGTTCAATAGTGAGTTAATTCTATAGCCTTTAATAACTGATTATCAGGGCCTATCCCTCTAGGGCAATGACACTGACTGTATGAATATGGACACGATTTAAAATCATCTATACGCAACAGCGCAACAACATAATTGCATTTCCCTAGTGTTGGTATAGCATATTCCCCTTCTCAAACGAGAGAGTCGAATATAATAAATGGTATCTAGCGTAGAAGTAACGAAGACTGCTCGACAAGGCCATGCAACAGGCGTAGGGTCTTTCTCCTCTTCTCAAACTCTCATGCGCATCGTAAACCCGTGACATGCAAACATCGCTCTACTTTCCCCTAAACCGTCTAATCCTTGCCAAGACGTAACCTTCGGCGCCGATAAAATGTCTAATCCTTGCCAAGACGTAACCTTCGGCGCCGATAAAATGCGGTATTCCTTCGTGCCGAGAAAAGGAGGCCAAGAAAATCACCATCATCCGTGATAGTCGTGCGCATCATCGATTGAGTAGTTGCACTTAAGCAAATCTAACCTCGTTGAACAGACTTGCCCGGACCTGAACCAGGCTCGCCAACTCCAATAAGAACTGTTGGTAGATAATAACGTTGGTGAGAATGTGTGAGACCGAAACTGTCTTTACTTCGGGTGGTGTCTCGGGCGGTGTTGGGGCAATAGATTGGTCCGCAACATCGCTCCCGTCTTCGCTATTTTGATCTTCTGTGGTATCTGCTTCCCCTTCGTTTTTACCTTCTTGTTCCTCATCGATATCTGCTGTGGCCTTGGCGCTCTTTCGCTCAAAGTCTAATAGAATCGGGTTGATCTTCTGTGCTGGTAAGCTTACTTGTCGGGCAAGTATCCCTTGATCGACTGCTGCAAATGCAGCAGCTTCGCTAACTATCGGACTATCGTTACCAGAATACTGACTCCCAGGCGAGAGCGACCGTGCGAGTCCACTCTTGGACGGATTATCATAGTTTAGAGGAAATTCCTTCGGTGGAGGCTGTATCGATTTGGGAGTTGGTGATGTAACCCCTTGCCCCCCTGATATTCCCGATCCCGTACTCGAGCTTCGAATTGTTTCCTTCCGCCCACGTGGGCTACCTGATCGGTTTGGACTTCCAAATTCGGACAATATTCTCTGCGCAAACCCTTCAAGTGCACTAGGTCGCTGCGGGGATGCCGCGCGGGATCCATCCTGACTTGTTTGATCTGGTATAGAGGCTCCCGTGGTGGAGGTTGGCCGAAAATTCTGGTTTGATATAACGGTATCAGCCGTCTGGAAGGCTTCACGGCGTTGCTGCAAGAGTTCCTCGAATCGTGGTACCGAACCCCGGAAATAATCAACTTGATCAGCAAGCGCCTCTAGAATAGTGAGAATACGTGGTAAGGCCGATGACTGCCATACCGGCCAACGACGGCATTTTTCAATCTCTTTCAACTTCTCAGTATCGGTAAATGAAGGGAATTCGGGGTCAAAGGGGAGAGATGTAGATTCATCACTATCTCCCTCGTATGAATATCTTCTTGGATGTCGCATAAGCCATCCCTCGATAGATATATACCCGCATACCGCTAAGTCAAGTATAGTCTCCGTGGCTGATAGGTTCATCTCGACGGGATTGATGAAAAACGAATCCAGAATGTCCAAGATGCTATTCCACAGAGGATCTTCTGCGCTCAGCGTGTGGGGTGGGACGTCTCCAGGTGCTCCAGGCAAGGAATCCGGAATTATTGGTAGCTTGGGGTTGTTTATGGGAAGGTTTGGAGTAACCAGTTTGAGAGAACATGGGTGGCCTTCTACACGCGACATGCTATCTTTCAGGATGTTTTCGTATATCTCATTAAAATTGTCTTGACCCCCAACAGACCCGGCTAGAGTAGTGAGAAACTCGACTTCTTGTTCGTGAGCACCCACGGTTCTACGAGAAGTATTGGTATCAATACCTTCTGTGTGAAGAAGGGTCGTAGTCGCGTATCGATGATGCCGCTTAAGGATCGCCGCCACGAGCTGAAGCGTAACACACACGGTCTGCTGATTCCGAGACTTCAGGCATGAGCGAATTAAATCAACTAGATTAAATAGTAGGGGTGTATAGCTAGGTTCAACTTTAGTAGCCATCATAGTGGCGAGGTCCATGGACTTTCGCTTTCGTGCAGCGCTAACCGACGGCTCGGCATCGGGCGGCGCGGCCGACTTCGCATCTGGGAGAGCTAGCAGGTAGTGAAGGATAAGGTTGATCATATCGGGATGATCTAAAGCTTCTAGTATACGTCGAAGATAAGTTAAGACAGCCACTGACGAGCCTCCATCTACATCCGAAGACTCCAAGAGGGAAGGGTACCTTTGTAAAAAGTTAGATTGGAGATAGCGAAGGTCAGTATTAATACTCACAGTAGTTGTTGTAGGAAAATGACCTGGAAATGCTCGAGGAGAGTTGATTTCACTTCCACCGATCGACAGTGGTTAAGGACATCCTGCCAGAATAGCAGATGGGAAAGGAATGTCTCTAAATGCAGCTGAAAATCCGAGCTGCAAGAACTAACAATCTCAAACGTTGACGTAGGATGTTGATAATCGGACAGAGCAAGAACTGGAGGGAGGTTCTCCGGGTAATGGTCGATAACAAGCTTCCGACTTAGTTGACTATATAACGCGCCAAGTCCAGTAGCCATCAGGGTCGACAAGTCACTCTCCACGATCCACTGTTCCAGGGCAACAGAGGAAGAAGCGGCTTCGATGATGTATAACAGACCAGTCCGAGCGAAGTCTCCGATTTTCCCTTCATGATGAATATAGTCCATCAATAGATAGAAAAGCGGAAAGTCCTGCTTCTGAATCTTTCCGGCAAACTTCTCCCTCTGGTCCTTGGTCTTCTCGTCATTCGCATGGGTCTCGGGGTGGGATTTGAACCAAGCGGGGAGGATACCGGGTTCAAGACGGATCTTAGTGGTGATGTTAAACGCCAACTCGACAACCTTGACTTCGGTTTCGGGAATTAATCGAATACTGTTGATGCCCGTTATACGAACCAGGAGATTGGTCAAGCTCGCGGAGAATGCATCACTTTCGACGAAGGCCTCCTCCTCACTTTCGATAAGAGTAGCAAAAAATAGGACGGCTTCCTTAATGATCCACTCATTGTATGACGATGTCGCTATCTTGGCGATCGGAACGTAGATCTGCTTGGTAGCGGAGAAGGATACACAAGGATGAGGTAATGGCCGTCGGGATTCATCGGCGAGTATATTGGTGAGCCCCTGGAGGCGGAGTTCAATGTTCTCGGCGGCATCTTCGTCTCGGGCGATATTTGGGCAGTTTCTCCATATTTGCTAGTGAAGGAATTGGTTATTATTATTATTACCGAGGATTACCGAGGGATAGAAGATGAAAAGAGGTTGCTTAGGCTCACTAGTAGTTGGCCGTATTCCTTCTCGAAGCGTTGTCGACGTCTTATGGGATCCCGTGCGGAATCCTTGCTCGAGTTCCCCGAGGACAAGCGGGTGTTTGCTATGAGGCGCGACCACTGAAGCTAGAGTGTTAATAATAATAATTCTCGGTCGCGAAAAGTAGAAATAGTTTAGACGGGGGAGGGTGACTGACAAAGTCCATAGCGTCTTGAGAGGCATTTCTCTCAATTTATCAAAATATGTGTTGTTGAGAAAGGTTGCAATAGGTATTAACCTAGTACCTGTATTGAGGCATTGGATCTTATTAGGTTAAGCTGTTTCTAATCTATTGTGGTAATCGCATAAAATCACCCTCCAAATCCGGTGCCCGAGATGTTTCTTGATGATTAGGCAAACCGGGGTAATCCTTGCATTACTCGATTAATTAGGCCTATATTGGTTAGGAGATGGCTGGAGTGAGGCTTGATCTTTTGTGGCTTCATTTTGTTAGCATTAATTGGAACTCATCCACCTTTGGAGTCTGTGTAACACAGAGAATAAGGCTAATTTTGGTACCTGTAACTTCTATAGAGGTACCTCTATTACATACACCTCGGTAAGAAGTCCCCATTATTACTTACTTGCCTTAGACTGAATTTTTCACGTACAATTCCACTTTTCCTCTTTTCATCACTTCGCACGTATAATCCATCCGAGTCACTTCGAGTCAACATCGTTCCAATCCCGTATTAGAATCTCTTATCTCGCTCTTAATTACAACACTCTATCCTACTAATCAGAACCCTTTATTATCGGCGGCTACCCGCATTACACATATGCATGGAGTCCTAAACCCCAAAATGCTATAGGGGATTATAGCTCGAGGAGCTGCCAAAGGGTACATAATAGAATCTAGACCTATAGACCTCTCTAAGTTAACGGGTTGCAATGAGACATCCCCCGATAGCTTGCGGAGACCACTCGCATGGCAAGCATGCAAGGTTACCTGCATAAGCTCGAATCTTCATTATATCTGAAGCTCGTGGTTCGTCTGTTGTTCTACCGGACCAGCCTCGATGGTACCACTGCCATCACCCCTGAAATAATGATTGGGGCTGAGCGATTATCACCTAGCGAATCACCACTCGGAACTCTTATGATTCATGGTCGGTATTCTATAAACGGCAAGGCATACCCGCTGAGAAGTACACCAACTTCGATAGCCTCCATTGGCCTGGAGCAACTCGGAACGGGTGTTGTAGGTTTAGACTCACTGCCGTGACACACATTTAACAAAATACGATGGCCTCTTGTCATTTCTTATTCATTTGTTCAACTTTTCGGATCGAGTTGTTACTCATTTCCTCAGTTTTGTGTTTTGTATTTCGTATCTCGTATCTCAGCCCATACTTCCTATGGTTATCTTCAAGATCTGTCCGATGCCTCTCCTCGATTAGCTCTCTTATTGGTCCCTTTGGTATTATAGGATACTTTCCACGCACATATACGAAAAAACAAAAGTCTGAAAGTGAGTCAACATGGGGTTCTTTAGCCGATCCAAGAAGAAACCAACTCTAGAGAGCTCGCAATCCAAGGTCGACCAGTTCGTACCACCAAATCCATCTCAATCACAAGTACCACCACAACAATGGCATCCTAACGACAAGCCATATACTACTCCATCACCAAGACAACCTGCTGGTTTTCTGGTCCCACCACCACCATTACCGCCGCCTCCTTGTTGGAGTAATACGCTACCTTCCGGATCAGCTCCTCCCCCTCAGTACCAAAGTCAACAGGCGTATCTCCCTATTGTTGTAAACCAACACTACTACTTGAGCCCGTCGGCGTCTCATCAACAGGTAGTAAGCCCGTACCCTCATAGCAATGGGGTCTGTGCCGTTAGCAAACTCAAGCTCGGCTCGGCCGCCAATGTAGTAGAGCAAGTGTTCCCGGGAAACATAGGCCATCAAATACTAAATGACGGTCTCCCGAGATGGCATTCCTATGGCACGCAGATGCTTAACCAAAGTGCTGCAATGTATGACCAAATATGTAGCAGCTTCAACGATGTTATGACGTTGATTGATCGGGATAAGTACATTGGGAATGAGAATGATCTGTTTTCGTATCAGTCTCATCCGGTACCTCCGCCTTCCGCTGAGGTACGTCAACATATCGTCGTACATAAGGAACCCGCGAAGAAGGGGAAAAGGGGAGCATCAAAAGAAGTCTCCAAGGGGCAAGCGAATGCAATAACATCGTCACTCTCCTCTCGGGGCTATTTTGCCAAGGTGGAATTATATGCAAACTCGAAGCTGTCGTCCAATTTAACTCCCCTCCGCCTGTATGTGATGTAGTACAATCCCCATATCGTGTCAGCACTAATATCTAACAGTCATATCCCGACATATCCCCTAATATGCCTAGCAGCGCAGTACTCGGAAAGAGTGTACGAGAATCCGCGAGGGGCAGAACGAGACGCTCACGTTGATGCTGACTGGAGAACCGGAGCCAAGGCTATGCGCATCAAGTCTGTTCCGATGGACCATATGAACACAATTGTGTTCGCCATTCGAGGAACAGCGACTTTTATGGATTGGTCTGTCAATCTGAATACTGCACCAACAGCGCCTAAAGGATTCTTGGTAAGTCACGAACGCTTGGCAAGTTCAGGACGCCGTATTAATAAGTTCCAGGACGATCCAAACAACTTCTGCCATGCAGGATTCCTGTCGGTTGCTCGAAAGATGATCTCGCCGGTAGCCGCCAGGCTCCGTCATCTTTTAGAGGAGGACCCACGACGATGTTCGTATTCGCTTCTAATCACCGGCCATTCAGCTGGAGGGGCTGTCGCGTCTCTTCTTTACGCGCATATGCTTTCGACATCCAAAGCCGCGTCGTCGGAACTGAATAGTCTAACGGGTTGTTTTAAGAGAGTGCATTGTATCACGTTCGGCACACCTCCAGTCTCGCTACTCCCATTGCAAAAACCCTCTGGTTCAGAATTTAAGAAGTTCGTATTCCTAACTTTCGTTAACGAGGGCGACCCGGTCGCGAGGGCCGATAAAGCCTACGTAAAAAGCCTTCTTGAGCTTTACGTTGCGCCAGCTCCAGTAGAAGTCAAGGAGTCCAGCAAGCATCCTCCATCGTCGAAGAGCTCATCCCCAAAGCACGGCAAGGCGCATGGCACCGGTTCTAATACGTCTCTCATTTCGAAAACGTCCAAGGTTTCCGCAAAATCCAGCCGCTCTTCATCCCACTCGTCCTCGAAGTCAAACAAACCGAAAGCCCCAGGTCCAATATGGAACGTTCCGCCAAGTACTCTCAGCAATGCGGGGCAAATTGTTATCTTGAGGTCAGGAAATTCAAACTCCAAAACTAAACGAGCGAAGACCGTCGAAGAGCGGCTAAGTGAGGGCGTTGTCGCACAGGTTGCGACTGACGAGCAGTTAAGGGGTCTTATCTGGGGCGATCCTGTCTGCCACGTTATGAAACTATACATCGGCCGAGTCGAGTTGCTTGCAGTTGAAGCTGTCACTGCGAGAGGGTATTGAAGTCGAAGGAGGTAGGTACATTACAGTATTGGTTATGTATGACCATGGGATGACTTGATCTAATGACTTTAACGACGTATTATGATATATATATTTTGGCGTTATGGGATGATACCATATGGGAAGCAGTTAGGCGATGGATTCATACCAAGATTATGTTTGAAAACGGGTTTGATTATTTGTCAAATGATATACTCATTAAATTCAATACATAGCGCGCCGGTAGCGTTTTGAAACTGGAATATTACGAAAAATATATGGAATACAGGGGTAGGGAATGATAGAAGTACTGAGAAGCTAGGTTATAAAGATAGCAAGATGCGTGAAGGGGGATACTGTAGAGTCAGTACAGGTGAGGGTGAAGAGAGAACCAAATCACGAGAGAAAGATGGTACTATAACGAGCGACTGAAGTTAGATTTACTAAATCACTGGAAGCAGGCTACTAGCAATACAATTTGGCACTCTCCTCAACAACACAGCCCAACATATCTCATTCCCCCAAAATGCTGTGCACCAGTTATGCAAGTTGTATTCAAAAGGAGCTGGCATTTACAAGACGCTGCCAAGGGCAACGCAAGGAAGACCGACGTTGAGAAGACCCTCCTGCTTAGATATTAGCATTGTCGATTTATGAATTTGGGAATAGAATACTGACCTGTTCCATGCCAGAGTGCTGGCAGCATGCGGGGGTCTGTTTGCACTGGCTGTTCAGGAGATCGTCCAGACCAACTACTGTTAATTGTGTTAGCGATGAAAGATAGAAAGATATCACTACCAAGGATGGACTTACCAGCAGCAACGTTCAGCTTAGAGCAGCCATCGAACAGACCAAGATCTCCACCCTCCAACAAGCCACCTTCAAGGAGACCAGCAAGGATGCCTTCAGCAGTGTTGATTGCGTCGCCGGACTGGTCGACCTTGTCACAGCAGCTCAGGTCGAGGTCAGAGCCACAGGTGTCACCGGCCTGGCCGACGGTAACGTCACCGGGTGGGGGAGGGATGCGGGTGCCGGGAACGCCGCCGCCGCCGATCTGGGGGGCTCCGAGGGCGCCGAGGGCCATGGTAAGAGCGGCAACGATGGTGAACTGCATGTTGGCTGATTTGGATGTGTCGTTGAGGATTAACTAAAAAAAATGAGTGAAATTGCTTAACGAAACGAGCGTTGCTGATGAGAATATGTAAACGAGTGTGTGTTGTAAGAGAGTGCGTTTTTTTATGTTTTTGATGCTGGTGATGCTGAGAGAAAAGTCGAAGAGGAAGTGGTCGTCAACTGGTCTTATATACCAAAATGTTGACCGCGTGTTCTCTGTGTTCCGAACTCTTTCTTTTCCGCCCTTCGGCGCCATCCAATGGTCAAGCGTCAATAATTGATGTTCTCCATCCTGTAGAGGAATGGCCTACGATGACGATCGGCGGGTTTCTGAACACTCTTGAGAATGGTTTGTCTCATATCGCCAGCGCTACTGCGCGCCACCAGGAGAATTGCCCGCTTCTTTCCCCAACATGATCTGGCATTAGACCACGGTTGATCTCCGACCACGATGAGCCACAGCAATTATCGTCCCATCAAGAGACTGCAATTAAAGTCAGCTAGCATCTAGATAGTAGGGAATAGTGGAAGTTGACGTGCATTGCCGAGGACGCTTACCTCGGCATTCTCCCACACTATTGTAAAGGCTGGGGATGCTAGGTGCCTTAGGATTAAATTGAAGCCGATCAACATCAGGGAAAGGGGGAGCTTCACACTGGACCTCGAGTTAGACCTAGGTACTGTGTAGGCATTTTGTTTCTGACGTTCATCAGGCCTCCATACACGAGCGAACAACCGGCTTCCCCTGAGATGTAAAGTCTTAACTGTTGTCGTTCCACAGCATAACCCTTTTGTCAGGGCCGTTGGTGGGGGATAGCAGCAATTGCCCTTCCAGCCACTTAGACTCAAGATTCCTGTCCCTAAAGAACGGCTACTCTGCCTCTGCCTATTGGTATTGTTAATTCGCTGGGAACCTATACACCAACTCCAATTTACTTCATTGAACTAACCTCAGAGCTTGGGCCTCATGAGTTACCATTCTCCGCGCTCATTCGAAGGAGTAATTCCAATGTCTCTCATTTGCACGAACCTACACCGGTTTTTCGGCATCTGCCAAATATATACCGGATCATTCATATGCTACCAACAGTTGGCAACGCTTTAGAAGACTGGCCAGAACAGCATGCCTAGGTAATTTAGCCGCATTTGAACATGAACTTCTCAAGAAGCATTTCAACTGTTGAGACTCTGGAAGGGATGAGCTTTACCATACGGCTCTCCCCTCTCGCACATGATGTGACGCAAAACGACATCCCACTTCTCTCCTATGCTATCTCTAGCATCATTATTCCCATTAAGTGCATAGACACCTATCTACCAGGCCATCGGTATATGGCAGATGGCGCACCGCAACGATGCAGTGTCGCTTACAGCCCTGAGACATAACATGTGGCTTATTCGGTACCTCCAACCCAACGTTGTGTGTACGCGTTATCACAAAGCCACAACGGCTGCTCTTGGCCGTGTCCATTGATACTCATATATTACCAATTAACTTCATCGAGGCCACCGTTTTATGACATATAGCACGTCGTCTCATACCCATCCATTGTCAACATCGAACTCCCACCACCCTTACCACCCTTACGAGACACAACCATTAAAGAATTACTAGACAAATTACCTACGAAATGAATACATCCTCAGGGGAATACAAACTGATACGTGGCATTAGAAGCTGTGTCTAAGTAGCACAATCTTTATATCACCTCTCAGGCCTCCGAGTCCATCATGTCACGCCTTAATTTATTTACGAAAGCTTCGTACGTAGACGAAGAGACATTTTGAGGCGAATTGACGGCCGCTTGGGTCAACCCTGACTTTCAAACGACGGTACCTGAGCTCATACATCCTCCTCACGAGCACATACCCAGTACATCGGGTCTCGGCCGATTAAAATGTGCCGCCAGCAACTATACGCGTGAGCCATTCCGTCCGTCCAATGGGTTTCGGCGGATGCCTGGGCCCACGCGTCCATACTCAATCACGGCTCGGAAGTTTCTGTGTCTGAAGGACATATTCACGGTTGACAACATCCCTTTCTCCCGTGGGCCGAACTTTTGTGTTGTTTTATGCTACAAAATTCCCTCGGACCAGACTACCTACCAAGTACCTAGGTTAGGAGGTTCTCATCGATTCAAACTCCTATCCACGCGACGTGGAACGCTACTAACCTTATTGACATTCTATCTATTAATTATATTTGCTCGTAACACCTCGCTACCATATTCTTCGTGATGATCGACCCCGTATATCTGGGTTTACGTCCTAATGCGTTCCGCTTTTTCTGTGACTTGTCGGACGGCATCGGAAGCCTGCATCTTCAGTAGCTGCAAGGCACGTAGAATGACCGCTTAAGCAACTTTCTCCTCATTAGGTATTAATCAATATATTCAAATATATGCAAGGAACAATTTTTGTATAAGTCGTGATACCTCTTAACCCTGCAAGCATCGCCTGCGTATAGGTGGTGACAGTCTGAACCACAAGCATGATTTTATATAGGTATATATAACGTATGTGAGCCGATATCTCTAATCGTAGCTCTGCATAAGTAGCCTAACGGATTTCTGCATTTAATTCGGTTGGAAATATTGTATCGAGATATGCTAGGGGGCTGAGGGGAGCTCGTGTTAAACAAGATCCCGTCCTCAGCACCGGTAGCCCATGCCATTTGTTCGAGAAGCCAGGATGTGCAATGAAGCAAACCATGTGCCAACCAAACTTAACCGATTCGTTTGCTTGTATGCTTGTATGCTTGTATTGACCGGAACACGATTCCTCGGATATCTTGGAAGCAGCCAGCCGTTATATCAACTGCTAGTTGGCGGCTTCATCCCGAAGCACAACTACATACGTCGCACGCCGCAAACGAGTTCTAATCTTAGCCTTCAACACTGAAGAATGGCGAATAACCTTGTACCTACCTAACTATTAGGAAACGTGCGTGTAAGACATTTTGTCGCTGAGAACCGCCCAATAGTCTAATTCGAACGACACCAGAGCCCTGTTATCTGCAGATTGTCTTGGAATGATAATGATTCTGACGACGTCGTTGAGCTTTGCGCTACTATGGCTAGCAACTGCTCTCGGCCCATTCAATATAATATCGTCGGTGATCCTAGTAAAGAACCAGGTTATGAAGCATGTTCCGTCGGGATGTCGCATGGATCTAAGGCTGTCCTGATGTATACAAACGTAGACCCACATGCCCCTTGAAAGTCATCAGCCTTCCATGTTGTCATAGAGCATTGAACAATATGTGTCTTCGTAAATGCAGTTATGTAATGGCAAGTTGGATCATATGTAGGTCTATAAAGAGGACATGATCTCGAATCAGATATGCTTCTATATCCTGTCTCTCCAAGATTCTCGCCTACTCGAGGCTTTTACATTCGTTTTGTTTAGTTGCCATCTCGAAATTCTCATGATGTATCCATCCACTCGTTTGGCCTTCCTAGGCCTAGGGTATGTTTCTTGATGTCAAGTGTTACGCGTTATTTACTAACATATGCGTTAGAGCTTCTTTGATCAACGGTCTCCCCCAGCAGCCGGAAGCAATCACTGTTACGACCACAGTTACAGTTTGTGATAGTAGCTGTGCTTCCACTGTGACCGTGTCTGCTGCGTGTTCCGAGTCTTCGACTTTACCGTGGTACTCAACCAACACATTGGGAACTTCGTCTACTGCTCTTATTGGATCGTCGTCTTCTGCTCCTATTGGCTCTTCGTCTTTGGCTTCCTCTTATTCTACCACCTCCGTCGATACCACTGTAACCCTAACATCAAGCTTTGTTGCTACTTTGAGCGAGTCGACAAGTATTCCTTACAGCTCTCCTATTCCAACATACTCTTCAGGATTTTCTAACACCACCTTTACATCGCCATCCTTGTCCCGCAGCACCGGATCAATCACGAGCTCAACGGCAAATACCCTACCAGAAACGTCAAGCAGCACATGGTGAGAAAAAACATTCAATATTGACTAATTTCGATAACAGAATGGGACACTAACAGGTTATAGCACTGATGAGTCCTCAACTGGAACAGGTTCTCCCGATTCAAGCACGTCTGCTTCTACTCCTGGTGCAAGTACATCATACTTAGTAACAAGTAGTTATGATGTGTCCACGTCAAGTACAGGAGAAATATTGCCAACTGGGACAGATTCGACCAGTCCAGCCGTGACCGTTAGCCCTACGTCAGAGTCAAGCACGTTAACCGGAGCATTACCAACTTCGACATACCCGGCCAGTCCTTGGCCATCCTCACTGGAATCCACTCTCACTTCCACGACCATCGTTCCAATCCCTTTGACCCCGTCAGATACCTCAATCTCCGGTACTTATAGCACGGCCCCAGACAGCACGAGCACTATTAGCAGGAGTATCCCTACTTCAGCTTCGTCTGGCATATCATCCTCGATCTTTAGTTCAAACTTTAGCACAGGCTCCTGGACTTGGTCTAATAGCTACACGACCTCTTCCTATTCGTCTTTGAGCACCGTGACAGGCAGTCTTCCTGGTACAACAGATACGTCTAGTGAGCCAGCTACGACATACTCGGGATCTATACCGTCCTCGACAACGGGATCCATTAGTGGAACAACTAGTTCTGCATACGGCTCCTCGTCTGGCACCGTTGGGACAGAGACAATATCCTATTATACTCCTAGCAATTCATTCTCATGGACGACGACCGTCGTAATAGGCTCTACAACTAGTTCAGGACTTAACCCTACCGCTTCCTCAAGCAGCTCAAGCTCCTACTCTAGCCCTATCATAGGCACCTCGTCAACCGCCGCGATAACCAGCTCTTCGCCGAATGAGTCGGGCTCAACTAGCACTGCATCCTCTTCAACATCTGGAGTAACAAGTAGCTCAAATGCTTGGAGTACGGCGACGTTTAGCTTCCCTGAATCGTCGACTGAAACCGCGCCCACTGAGACAGTTTTAACTCCGAGTTCAAGCGCCCCCGTCGCCACCACCTGCTATGAACAACCAACCTACGGAGGTGGCTACACTTATATCTGCTACACCATCCCCGCGGCATCACCAACTCCAACCTACACTACGGGGGAGACGAGCGCAGTCACAGGCTCAACCATCACTTCGACTTCTGAGTTGCTAACAAGTGGATATCTCACTAGTTCCTCGGATGAATTCTCCAGCGCGTCAAGCCAGTCAGCACCTGTCCCCTTAAGCTCCATCTACACTACTGGAAGCACAGACGCCACAACAGCCACCATCTCTTCGAAAGGCAGCACTGAGACATTCTCCACCGTTTCTTCGGTTCCCGGCTACCCAACCAGCCTGCCACTCCCCAGCACTAGTACGGTGCTCGTGACGCCCCTCCCTCCTAGTTCTACCGGAAGCAGTGATGCTGCGACCGTGACCTCGTCTCTGCCTTTAAGTACGTGCATTTCTGGCGGCTATGGTGGCGGCGAGATATGCTTCCCGATCGGATCGATGGAACCTGGGGTTACTATCCTTCCTGCTGGGACATCATCTGCCGACGCAGTGACGGCACCGTCGTCGGTCCCTACTACTCTCGCCACCCAGCCTCAGTCTACCTCAACCGTTGCAGGATACCCGACCGGAAAGCCCGACAAGTATGAAAGCGACGAGGTTATTCGGGAGAGTGAGGACGAGGACGAGTGGACTTGGTGGGGCGGTCGCAAGACCCGCGCTGGGCAGGGCAAAGGCGTCGAGCGCCTACGCCGCAGCTGGCGCATGATCTAATGAATTGCTGCTCTCCTTATTCTCTGCTCCATCTCTGTCCCAAACTACCTAACCTTGGGTAACGTAACCATAGGAGTAAGGGGGAAACGAGAGGGTCGTATAAAAGGGGGAAAAGAGACTAAAATGCATACTTCACTTCTTGTCGCTCATTTATTTCCTTGAATCATTTTACATTTTTCGCTTCTACATACTCTAGAAAAAGGGGTTGTTATTTATTATGTGGAGACGGGGGAGATGGATGGGTTTCTCTTAATCACGAAGCCAGGGGTGGCGCAATTCGAGATCTTGCTCGCACTATGATATCGATTGAAAATAATTGAAATAGGCTGGATTTTCTTCATATGTGCTGCTGAAAATAAAGAGAAGTTACTTACTTATTACAATGAACTACAAGCTATGTCGGTTTTCGAGATAGTTAGAACGTATTTATGTATGTCCGTAATATGTAGAGCATCTGATAATGGCCTATTCCTTGGTTAGATGCCTCTCTCGGCCATTTAATTCGTAGAGTATCTTATCATTTCCCTCACTTGACCGGGAAAGGGATATATGCTTTACATAAGATAATCGGAGATTATGTTCATTCCTTGCTCGCTACTTAGAGTTGAAGAGTTGAAGGTTGAAGAGTAGTAAAGAGTGGCGATGTGATGTGAAGAGTTGGAGAGACTTCACATTTTGAATTTGGTGGCAGGCGATTGACATGCGGCCATGCAGTCGAAACGTGGAGTACAGTAACGTTCAAAACTCGAAACTATGCAGCTGAGCTGTACGTTGTACTAATCGCGATGCGCGCATGGACAAATCATGTACATATGTACGAGAGTCTTTATACGAGATAGATGGATGAAAACTCATCGATCTGACAACTTTAGGTACGTTGGACAAAACCTCGTACAATCGTAGCTGACGCGTAGAAAGTGGACATGCAGATATGCGGATACCGACAGCCTTATTTTTCTTTTTTACCCTTTTGCTTCTTTTTTTTTTTCCTGTCGAAGAAATTCGCGTGAGAGGATTTTGAACCGGCTAGTTTCGTGTCGTGTCGTGTTGGCAAAAGAAGCTTACGCAGGTGGAAAGCCCAGCCTTTTCGTTGGAGAGTCCCGTGTCGCCAGGTCCGCTCTAAACGCCCCTGGCATATGGTCCACATTTAACCTGAACAGGATAAGCTCTTATCATGTTGTATGCATGTATTGTAAATTGCGGCTGCTCCGGAGCTCTTATTCGTGGTTGCATGTTTGTTCTCTCTTATCGATTGGCTCCTAGCCCTGGCGATCCATCTTATTATATTTAGTCGTAGTGTACCTATGGACGCGACTCTTCATCAGATTGATCAGATCATATGCACATATAATAGTGTACTTAATTTTTACTTTTTCCTGCCTTTATATCATCTTTAGGTATTTGAGTACCTAAGGTATATATTTAGAAACTTACTAAAAATTTGGTCATATCTTTTGTTGAGATTCTCTTCGTTCATTCTCTTTCTCTTTATTCCTAACGTTCTTCTTTTTCCGTCTAGGTGGTATTTTTCTCTGTTCGGGATATCCAGAGTTGCAATACATACAACCCAGAGAAGGAGTGCGGAGACGCGAGGGAACAGGGATTTATAATTGGGTGAGCGGGAAGACAGGGATTATTGAGCTCGACATTGTGTGGAGGAGTTTTTTCCCTCGAATTTTGTATGAGAGCCCTGTGACTGGGTAGCATATGGGTCTGGACCTGGTCTAGTTCAATGTTCTGTCCCCAGCATGCCCCCGTCTGGATCGATCGTCACTGTCACGGAACGACTTCTCTTGGCGGAGAGCTGCTGCCTCGCTCGCCTGTGCTTAATGCAGTTGCGGTACATACATAGAAGGCGAGAAGGCGTGAAGCACTAGATGTGGGAAGAAAAGTGGCAATGGCATTCAGGATATGCAGAATGCAGTAACGAAAACGGGTTAATCAGTGTCTCCATTTCTAATGCGATGCCCATGCTGCCATGGAAATGGAAAGTAGGTACGATGTCCACAGTCTTAGTGCGAATCCTTATTGGGTATTTACCTGAGGTACAATACAATTCATACAATTCAGTATGCTTGAAGAAGTCATCGTCATCGCATCGGTCCTCACCTGCTCTTTCGCTCGTCTCTCTTTTCGTCTCTCGACCCTTCCACCTCACAAAGTCCTGCACCCTTCTCTTGTCGTCTCTCTTGCCTGCCCCCTTTCACTTTTTGATTTCTTCGCCGTTTCCTTCCCCGTCCCCCCCTTTGCTCATTCTATTTTCTTCCTATTTCCTTGGTGTTATTTTTTTTCTTCTTGCATCGCATAAGGTGTAGTTTTCGCATCAACCCGCATCATCGCATTCACTAGTCCTATAAACCCGTCTATCTTCATCACTCAGCTCCGAATGTATCGCCAGCTATGATTTAGACTAGAGTTTCGCCCCAATCGGTTCAAACCACTACAGAATTCAGTATCCGCTCTAAACTAGCCTTGTTGGAGCTTGCATCTTTCAAAGCAGTCTTCTTGCCGATGCGCATATCCTTTGCGACAAAGAACTACTGTAGACAAATACCTTAGGTACTTATCTACCGTAGCCTTTAACCTAAATATTTTGGCCGCCCACGTCACGACAACGAGATCCCGCTATACTAATTGAGCGATCGCACACTTTATTCAGCTATCTTCGGAAAAGTATCTTGGTCATATTTACTTATCTATTTGTAACTGAACTTCCCTCTGGTTTTCTCCGCTGTCGAATCCCAAGGCGTCAGCCTCTTGTCTTACCCCCGTCACGTCGCACCCAAGTTACAATGAGTTAGGAACATAAGACAAGTATAAAATCAGCTACTGGTCCAGCGAAGAAGGAAGTGTGTAAGTGCTTGAGAGAGAGAGTTGCGTGTGTGAATGACGAGCAAGCGAGAAATTGAATATTGAGAAGATGGCCTCGAGTGGGTTTCATGCAACTGTCCTCCACCGCGTAAACGACGATAATCATAGCGACGACGGTAGAGACGGTAGAGACGGCAATTCGAGTGGCGTTACTCCTACATCGCAACTAGGATCACTGTCAAGACCTAGAATAGGGTCTAGCAATATTAACAATAATACCGGTACGGGGATTGGGATTGGAATGGGAATGGGGATGGGGATGGAGATGACATATTCAGATACGCTAGGACCACGTTTCTCCAATTCTACCAATTCCACCGGCAAAGACAACGCGAATGACCTGAACCTTGACGCCAATACTAACTCCAATCCCGCAGCCGCAGCCCAGGCTCAAGCGCAAGTACCAACCCACGTAAACCAAGCCGTTCGCGGTCACGGCCACACCCACACCCACACCCACAATGGGCACACAGGTGCCGGTTCAAGCAGCAGTACCAGCAACAATAGGAATAGCAATAACACCTCTCCGACTGTTACGGCTTCGACGAAACCACTAGACTTTCGTCAGCCCGCCGCCACTACTATTACTACTACCACTACTACTACTACAACCAACAATCATAATCCCACCACCACCTCTTCTTCCTCATTCCTCCATTCTCCATCGCCAAAAATCAACTTGTCTGTCGCATCCATCACGACTCCTGCATCGCCTACATCGAGATCGACGACGCGACCGCCACCCGCTACAATCACTTCCCTTGCGCATCCCTATAGTAACGCGTCGCATCAATTATCAACTTCTTCATCGACACTATTGGCGCCTTCGTCTTCCTTACCTCCTCTGGCTCCTCCGCCGGGAGCCTTGAGTTCAATTATGGCATCATCATCTGCCATGTCGTCTACGAATGGTGCAAGTGCATCGCCGCTGCAGCCTCCTAAGACTTCAGGCCATCTCTCGCCGCCTGATTACCATCAACCGTCCAGAGAAAAAGCATCAGGGAGTTTTTACGACCCGCTTACTGATACAACCAGGGAGAGGAGAGTTTCCGACAACTGGTCCAAGCAGGTAAGCTTTAAAAAAAAATATTCTACATTCCCACCATCCATACCCGAGCACAACTTTAGAGCTTTTTATTTTTTTTCATTTTTTTATAAAAAAACATTTTACGTGATGTTGGCCGAATGTGTCTTAACACGTTTTAATACCACAAAATCATAAATATGAGTTATTAGCAACTCAGACCTTTTCTTATAATCATATTCAATCCCAAAGTACCTCCTACATAAGTTTGCTTAGTGGCAGTGCGAACATCCAACACGTTTTGTTCGGTGTTCGCCCCGGGACAAGGAACATCATCAATCAATTTTTTTTTATTGCAACCAATCTGCCATTAGAAATCATCATCAACATTCCAACTCCTTGACTAACCTTGGTCACTTTCAGCGATCTGACCCGTATGATTTCTCGCAGTCCAAGAGCGAATATTACAATGGTTACGGTTCACCTTCACCTGTGAATGCAAAATATCCACGAAGCCCGCATTCACACTCGCACCCCAAAAACGACGGCCGACCGACCAGCCCTTCCAACAAAGCCCTTAATTTGGGTTCTCCCCCCTCGCGTCACAACCGTACCGCACTAGATTCCATCACTTCTACCAATCGCAACACCTCTTTAACACCGGCACCGTCACTGCCATCAATATTAAACCCGGAACCAACTTCTTCATCAAATGTACGTGATTAGTACCGCTTCTTTGATTTTTATCTAATACTAGCACGATGATGATAATTAATGCTGACCCCCCCTTTTTAGACTCCTAGCCGTGCAGCCGAGTTGATGTCCTTCTCCAACATCCTTTCCAGCGCTGAACCTCTTCCGAAGCCCAGGGCTCCCATGATGACAGAACTTAAAGAAAAGCCAGCTCGCAAGAGCAAAGGACGCGAGTCAATTTTGAAGGACACGGAAAGTAGTTCAAGAAAAGACTCACGTCGCGTGTCGGCGAACCACGCGAAAGAAACCCCTTCAAGAGCCCCCAAGAGGCAGGCTAATGGACAAGTCAAGCCAAAGGCCCTCTCAGCAGACAAAGAAAAGAAGATCCAGAGTCTGCTTGACCAACTCGATGCCGAGATGGAAGATGTTGACCTATCCGAGCTCGAAGCCGAAGAGGAATTTTTCCATGGACGTTTAAAGAAGCGTAGGTTAGACGTTGAACATATGGAGGACGACGACCACGTTCGTCGGAGAAGAGACCTAGCTGTCTCCTTGTCAAGCAAGTTGAATGAACATGCGAACTATGGCAGGCGCCGATACGACACGCTCCACTACGATGATGCCTTACAAGAAGTCCGAGAACGCGAAATTTATGCCGAGAAAGAGCGCAAGAAGGACATGCAACGTAAGCGTCGTAGAGAGAAGTCTATGCAGGTCACTATCGAGCAGAAGGAAGCGGCCTTAGCGAAGGCACTTGCTGCCGAAGACGATGCCGAGCGAGCGAAGTGGTTACGAGACGCGGAACGTGCCAACAAAAAGGCGCAGCAAACAAAGCTGATCTTGCAAAAGGGTATAAAGGGTCCGGCACGTAACTTGGCACCGCTTGAGCTAAATCTTGAAGGTGGCACGATGTCGACTTTCCAGGCGACCGATCTCGAGACTGGCTCTAAGAGCAAGAGCAAGGGTCGTAGTGGCAACCGCCCGAAGAAGTCGAAGGAGCAGAAACAGGCAGAGAAGGATTCGGCCATTGCTGCTCAAGCTGCTCTAGACGCGGGCGAAGAGTTGCCCACCAAAGAAGAGACCAAGATCCGCATAAAGTTGAGCAAGTCATCGTCCAAGGAGCCCAAAGAGAAGGAGAAGGAATCTAAGGATATCCCTACAAAGGAACCGAAGGAGAAGGAAAAGTCTGTCGAAGAGCCTCCACTTAACCCTCTCGAAGCCAAGTTCCAATCTAAGGGATACAACCAGATCTATGATCAGATCTGGCGCGACCTCGCACGCAAAGATGTTCCGAAGACATTTAAGCTGGCGAGCGATTCATATGGCACGAAGGCTTCGAATCTTAAGAAAACTGCTATCTTGGCTTCGAAAGAGGCTAAGCGTTGGCAACTTCGTACTAATAAAGGCACTAAAGACCTCCAGGCTCGTGCAAAGCGTTGTATGCGCGATATGATGGGTTTCTGGAAGCGCAACGAGCGTGAGGAACGTGATCTTCGCAAGGCAGCAGAGCGCCAGGAACTTGAGAATGCTCGTAAAGAGGAAGCCGACCGCGAAGCTGCTCGTCAGAAGAGGAAGCTCAACTTCTTGATCTCTCAGACGGAGCTGTACTCGCACTTTATCGGCAAAAAAATCAAGACAGACGAAGTCGAGCGTAGTACGGATAACCCAGATATCGCACCAGATGCCAATATCGCTGCTAAGCCGACCGATGTTGATGTTGCAGAACCATCCGGTCCTGTCGGCAAGAAGATTACTGATTTTAAGAATCTGAACTTCGACGCTGAGGATGAAGAGGCACTGAGAGAAGCAGCCGTGGCAAATGCTCAGAATGCTATTGCAGAAGCACAGGCGAAGGCACGAAGCTTCAATAAGCCCGACAATGACATGGACGAGGACGGCGAAATGAACTTCCAGAATCCAACTGGTCTTGGCGATGTAACGGTCGAGCAGCCTAAGTTGCTGAACTGCCAACTCAAGGAATACCAGCTGAAGGGTCTAAACTGGCTTGCCAATCTCTACGAACAAGGTATTAACGGCATTCTGGCAGACGAAATGGGTCTCGGAAAAACGGTTCAATCTATCTCTGTTATGGCCTACCTCGCTGAGGTCCACGATATCTGGGGCCCGTACCTTGTAGTTGCGCCTGCATCTACTTTACACAACTGGCAGCAGGAGATAGCTAAATTCGTCCCAGAATTTAAGGTTCTCCCGTATTGGGGCACTGCTGGCGACCGAAAGGTGCTCCGCAAGTTCTGGGATCGTAAGCATAACACGTACCGTAAAGACGCGCCTTTCCACGTCTTAGTTACATCGTATCAGCTCGTCGTCTCGGATGTTGCCTACTTCCAGAAGATGCGTTGGCAATATATGATCCTCGATGAGGCGCAAGCTATCAAGAGCTCTCAAAGCTCGCGTTGGAAGTGCCTGCTAGGGTTCCACTGTCGTAACCGACTGCTTCTCACCGGTACTCCAATCCAGAACAATATGCAAGAACTTTGGGCCCTTCTACATTTCATCATGCCTTCCTTATTCGACTCGCACGACGAGTTCAGCGAATGGTTCTCTAAGGATATCGAATCACACGCCCAGAGCAATACGACGCTTAATGAGGACCAGCTTAGGCGGCTACATTTAATCCTCAAGCCGTTTATGTTACGCCGAGTCAAGAAACATGTGCAGAAGGAACTCGGCGACAAGATCGAGCTCGATGTGTTCTGCGAGCTTACTTACCGACAGCGTGCTTACTATAGGAACTTACGGAACCAGATTAGTATTATGGATCTGATTGAGAAAGCGACGCTTGGAGACGACCAAGATTCGGGTACATTGATGAATCTCGTCATGCAGTTCCGAAAAGTTTGTAACCATCCTGACTTGTTCGAGCGTGCTGATACGGCGAGTCCCTTTTTCACTGGCTACTTCGCAGAAACTGCTTCATTCGTACGCGAAGGAAATAACGTCGCGGTTGGTTATTCGACTCGCAATCTCATTGACTACCAGCTGCCGCGCCTCGTTTGGACCGAAGGTGGTCGGTTGCACAAGGCCGGAAAAGACAACGAGAAGGCGGGCTTTAGAAGCAGATACCTAAACCATCTTATGAACATTTGGGCCCCCGAAAACGTACGCGAGAGCACGTCCGGCAATGATGGGTTTTCTTTCCTTCGATTCGCCGATGCTAGCCCGGAGGACGTCTACAAAGCCAGCCATCAGGATGTATTTTCGCGAGCTGCGGATCTAGTTAAGAAAGAGAACCGACTTGGCCGCATGAACGTGATCTACGACGAGCCTGGCGAGGAGAACTATACCCCCGCCCACGCCCTGTTCCAGATCACGGCACGATCGGATCGGAAACCTCTGGCGGAGGTCACGAGCGGAGGTGTACTTGACAATCTCATGAATGTCTCTCGGGGGACGTGGCGAGATTTGGGTCTGGGCCGGCTTGAGCAAGCAGCCTTGCCTGGTGCTTCCGCCCCGCCCATACAGGTTTCATGCGAGGGTACCCGAGCACCAATCGCCGAGCGTGAGGATACGCTATTCAACATGAAAATGCGAAAGACCTTGTATGGACCCAACCAGCCGGAGGAGAAGGCTCTTGTTTTGCAGAACGTCCCAATTGAACGATACCCGCCACCCGCGATGCTCCCTCAGCCTGATAACGAGAAGCGGCGATTCACAAATATTACCGTCCCTAGCATGCATCGTTTCGTGACCGATAGCGGGAAGCTTGCTAAATTAGATCACCTGTTGTTCAAACTGAAGGAGGAAGGCCACCGTGTGCTACTATACTTCCAGATGACCAGAATGATCGATCTTATGGAGGAGTACCTCACTTACCGCAACTATAAATACTGCCGCTTGGATGGTTCTACGAAGCTGGAGGATCGTCGTGACACTGTTCATGATTTCCAGACACGCCCTGAAATATTCATCTTTCTGCTATCGACTCGTGCTGGTGGTCTGGGCATCAACCTTACGTCTGCCGATACGGTTATTTTCTACGATAGCGATTGGAATCCTACTATTGATTCGCAAGCTATGGATCGTGCACATCGTCTCGGACAGACCAAACAAGTCACCGTTTACCGTCTCATTACCCGCGGAACCATTGAAGAACGCATTCGGAAGCGTGCCATGCAGAAAGAAGAAGTGCAACGAGTTGTTATCCAAGGTGGCGGTGCTCGGGGCGTCGACTTCAGCGGACGTCGTCCAGCTGAAAATCGCAACCGCGACATTGCTATGTGGCTTGCCGACGACGAACAGGCCGAGCTCATCGAGCAGCGGGAGAAAGAGTTGCTTGAAAGTGGCGAGCTGGATAAAGCAACGAAGAAGCGGGGCGGTAACAAACGAAAGCGGGAGGCCGTCAGTTTGGACGAGATGTATCATGAGGGTAAGTCAAGCCATCTCCCTATATCGCTTGATTTTATTGAAATAAGTCACTAACTGTATTCTTGCAGGCGAGGGTCATTTCGACGATGGTAATAAACCTTCTGGCACCGCCACTCCAGTCGAAGCCGGAGACGTGAAAGCTGCAAAGAAACGAAAAGGAGGCAGCAAGAAGGCCAAGACGACAAAGCAGCGACTTGCCATTGCTGATGGCGAGATGGATATTTAACCCGTTGTCGAGAATAATAGCTTCACATATGAAAACGGGGGTGGCGCTTTTCGAAACAGAAGTTTAGGACTGAGGGCCTTGTACAAAATAAGAGGAGTGATACGGCGTTACGTTGGCATCGATTTTACGTGCAGGGCAGGCTCTCGGCGGGACGAATACATACAGAGATTCATAGAGCTTTAGTTAATCGTCATCTTTGCAAGGAGAGAAGGGGGGAGGTGGTCTAAAAATCGTCGTACTAGGAGGTTAGACTTTGCAAACCGGATTACTCTTCCGACCATATCATCTTTCTTTCTTTCTGTGGACAAAGGCCCGTTGTATCGTTGTAGGATTACGATTAGAAGGGCAGACCTGGTGAAATCTGCCATTGCGCCCGCACGCTTACTTATTAAGGTGACGAGCTCAAACAGCAATAATAAATGTGATACTTGAAGCTTTATCTAGCCTATTGCTAAATTGAAATGTGTCATAATGAATTTATATTTATTGAAATCATGATTTGGGGGGCTAAAAGTGCGAGTTGGTAAGTACCTATCTAACCTGCCTACCTACCTACCTCATGCCCAGGTAGTTTATTGAAAAATTTAGTGGTTATATGTTGTTATTGTTGTATATTTAACGCCGGGGGTACGAAGTGCCAGGCCTCCCTTGGGGCATGCGGCGTGTGGAGCTATTTAGGTTTATATATAATACGGTATGTCTTTGATATTCCATATTTTAAACCTGAAGGCATATTATATTTAAACCGTTTCCGTTCGCCCCGCCTTTTGGGCTTGTGCTCGGCATTATGGGTGTTTGTAGTTGATCTTTTTACGGGGGAGTAAGCCAGGATTTAAATACGAAAAGAGATGAGTTTTGCTGTAGGAAGTAGTATTTTTAGTTTTGGTTTCCCGAGGTGCGTTCGTGCCTTACACAGGGCTGAGTTTGCGAGGCTTGACGCCGAATTCAGTGGTTATAGGGTAGCGTAGGGGATAGATTGCATAGGGAGGTGATGTGCCTAACATCAGGTTTATCTCTAAACGGCGGTTCTTGATTATCTCGGTGCTTTAGACCACGGTATTTAAGATTTCATGCGAATTGTGGTCTGAAATCGCCATGGGGCCGATAGGGGGTGTACGAGGCATAAGTCACAAGACATGATATACACTCCTCGACAACTTCACGAATAAAAATGTCAGAGTGGAGATAAAGGAATTCGGGGTTAGATAATCGTTTATTTTACCCCCGAAAGCTTTTACAGTTATATTACAGGCCTTTTTCGTAAAGTTATTGAGGAGTGTACATTACATCTTTTTATTAATGTCATAAACCTTTGCTGAATTACAAAGTTATCACAATCTCTTAGATGAGTTCTGAAGTCATAATAGGGGCCTGATTATCAAGTATTTTATTGTCTAATAACGTAAACAGTTGTATCAGCTTCATGCATCATAACTACGGTAGGTAGATATTCTATCATGATATTTCTTCAGCAGATCACTCTTCACATTGTCCTTTGCGTCGAGACGTTTCAACCACTCGGTCATTTCGGCCCGGTACTCTTCGGAGTTACCTATACTTGGGACACATTCGAGGAACACCTTTGGATCAGGTCGTAATTCAGGGGCTGAATTATACCATATTTCCTCAGCTGCCCACCTAAAGGAAAATTTATGTAAAGCATACTCAAACGCCGAGTACTGTGAGGTATTTGTATACTTTTTACCGTGACAAGCCGAGTGTCTTGTTGGCAAGAATGGATCAGCACCGTGCTGCAGGAGTACCAGAGCAGTCATAATGGCCCAATAGTCGGCTCTAGGACCTTTCAGGGCACGAAGTAGGAGTGTTTCCCCATATTTCGATACGGAATTTACATCTACATTCTTAATACCCTTTAAGAGTTTGTCAAGGACCGTATGACGGCCTGATTCAATAGCCTCGTCTATCCACTGAGGATTTTGCTGCCAGATACGGGGTTCGACAAGGTCGAGCAGGTACTCAACAGCTTCAGAATCGGCTCTTTCCTGAAGGGCGCTCGTGACTAGATCGGGTATTCTGTCAGTCGGAAAGCCCATGTCTAATATTGTGGTAAGCCACCCATTGCTTACGAGGTGCTCGTGGGGTAAACAAGAGAACGCGGCCAGGTTTATATCCTCGGCACTAGGTAGCTTGGCACCGGCGTCCATAAGAATCGTAAGATGGTCAGGGGTAGCAAAATCCGGTAGATAGTACGAGTGGATGCCGCCGGTGACTAACTCCTTTAGAAGATGATCAAGATAACTGTGGTCATGCATGGACTCGATAGCCATGGTTGTCAATCTTCGCGTCTGGCGAGGGTGGGTTTGAAGGAATGACCACGAAAGGAACGTATACCCGTAGGATAAAGGGATGTCCACCCTGCTACCGCCTTTCAGCAACATTTCTACCTTCTTGCCGAAAAGCTCTATACAGGGATGATACTTTATCATGAAGTCGAAGATATAGTTTCGGTTCAATGACTCCTCTCCATGCATATGAGCTTTCAAGGCCATGATACCAGTCATCATTTTTGGAGTTCCAAATATGATCGCTTCCTCTAACGGCTCGAACCCGTCAACGTACCTTTCCGTTAGGTCGGCACCGGCTTCGAAGAGTCTTTGGAGTATAGACCATTGCATTGAATCCCTGAACGACGCCTTCTTAAGTTTCGTGTGCATAAGGGCGTGAATAGGAAATCCGACTTCCTCCTCCGGGTGATCTGGTTTAATCTTTGAGCCAGAGTCAAGTAATATATTTGCGTGTTGAACTCTACCCTTATATAACGCCGATGTGAGTGGAATCTTACCACCAATTTCGCTGTTGATGTCGGCTCCGAGTTTTATCAACGTCTTGAGCATTTTGGTACTCTCTGATACTGGCGAGTATTCCATTGCGTAATGTAGGGGAGTATAGCCTTTGTAGTCTTTTAAATCGATAGGTATTCCCAGCGTTTGTACGAGATATTCTACTACTTTAACCATCTCTCGACTAGCTGCGTGGTGTAGTATCGACCTAAATTTGTGTTGGTCTCCTATGTTAAAAGATGTGTTGGCGCCATGGGATAATAGGAGTAGAGCAATATCCTCCATTTTATTTTCGATTGAAAGGATTAATGCTGGACATCCCTTTGTTATCCTATGTCTCCATGCATACGGATCTTGCGTGTAATAACCTGACTCAAAAGAAGGTTCCCATTTCTTTAAATATTTCTTGGATCCTTTTTGGAGAGGAATGCCATGGTCCATCAGCCACGTAATAATATTGCGGTGACGGTTTCTGCAAGCCTCTACTAGCACGGCATACCAGGATTCCGCCTCTAGACCGAATGAGACTGCAACTTTTAGGGTGTCGAGATTTCCGTGCTTCGCTGCATAATCAAACAAGGTACCGTGCTTATGCTTTACGTTGTAGGCGTAGAGGATGCAATTAACGACTCTATATAACCACCAATTCACAACGGAGAAGCTTGCCAGATCCTTTTGATCTAATATAGGACGGGACCGGGCTTTTGCCGTTGCGATCATTTGCAAAAGCTCAACTGGAAGATCTGTAAGCTTGGCCATGGCGATGAATGATCAGAGTTGATAACTTTATGTAATTGAGTTGATAACTTTAGGTAATTGAGATAGTATTTAGGTAATTGAGATGATATTGAGGTAATTGAGTTGATAAAAATGGGTAAGAAGTTGCGAAGCATTGCGAAATATATAGAAAACTAGAAGGTTGGCTGGGTAGGGGGGGAATCAGTAGGATGAGAATGAAATTGTGCACTTCTGTTTTGTAGAAACGTTTTACCTAATAAGTGACAAAGGGATCGAACGGATTTTATATGTTCTCATAAGGTGATTGTTTTGCTATTGACCATTATATATGAATAAAAAAATTTGGTTTGTGAATGAAATAAAGCAAAACAAGAAATAAAGTAAAACAAGAAGTCGTGACGCTGAATGCATGGTGTTGTTGTTCAAAAAAACACCAAAAAGATGACCACCCTGGGGCTCGAACCCAGAATCTCCTGATAACTCGTCAAGTATGTTTATCATACTCGGTCGTAGTCAGACGCCTTACCATTGGGCCAAGCGGCCTTTAGTGCTTGTTGCAAATTCGTTTGCCAATCGCACATATAAAGGTAGTAATTAGCGTGAGGGGAAATCTCATTAGAATAGCGCGTCTTGACAGGGACAGGCCTATAGAAGTAACACTTTAGTAACCCCTCAACCATAGAACATATCAATGTGTAGATTTTACAGATTATAATAGAACATGATATTTGGCTATGTGATTCTTTATAATATGATTAAAATAATAGTTGCAGTAGTAGTAACCAGAACACATAATTTACGTACATACAAGATCATACTATCCTAAATCACATTTATATATCATATCATGGTCGCATATCTAAGGCAGAAATATTTTTTTAAATTCATCTAAGTTACCTAGTCTATCCCTATGTGCGAAATTGCGGCGCATATTCGCGCCGGCTCTCCGCGGTTCCTGAAAAGCCCCCTTTGAAAGCAAAGCTTTTTAAATTCAAGGCTGTTGCGGCTCTATGCCTCGTTTGCCCAATCTATAGACCTCCGAGCCGCGACCTTGTATGTACGTATGCGCTCTCCTTTTCCGTACCACCTTTATAGTACGATCATCACTCGTGAACGAGAGCATCAGTGCATAATTAACCGGGCTAAATGGGAATCGTGGAAAATGATAGATCCTAAACTGCACCGGCAGCCAACATCTTCTTGCGCAGGTAGTTTTTGTACTCTCCTATCGAACCGTCCCACGGCTTGATCGTTCGGTTCTCGCACACCAAGATTTGCTTTGCAATCTTGTCGAGCAATCTATTACACGCATTAGCAATAGTTGATATGCATTGGGATTGGGGGCGATTCTTACCTAAAGTCGTGAGAAACGACAATTACACCGCCGCTATATGCCTCGATAGCGTCTGCTAAAGCATCGATGGAGGGGATATCTAGACCGTTTGTAGGTTCGTCGAGGAGAAGCATGTTTGGCGAATCAATAGCAAGCAGAGCGAAGACGATTCGGCTCTTTTGACCTTCAGACAGCGTGCCCATCAGCGCGGTTTGAACGGGACCGGAGACTCCGTATCTACCGAGGCATTGTCGCCAGTATTGGTAGTCCTGCGATTTATCGCGGTACCTATCACGGACAAAGTCTAGAGCACTCTTGGTTAGGTCGAGCTGCTCAGCGCTGTGTTGAGAGTACAAGCCGAGCTTCAGATGAGTGTGTCGACGGACGGATCCACTGGTCGGAGAGAGCTTTCCGGTCATTAGACGTAGTAGCGTACTCTTTCCGACACCGTTGGGGCCGACAAGGGCTGTTCGGGAGTCCATGTCGAAACCGAGATCGATGTTGCGGTACAGGTCGTCCTTGGCTTCGCCTGAGTACGAAAACGTGACATCGTCAAATGATAGGACGGGAGGGGGTAACTTGTCGACGTCTGTGAATCTGAACTTGAATTCCCTCTCTTCCTTGACTTCCTCGATAAGACCATCGGCAATCATCTTGTCAAGAATCTTCTGTCGGGACTTAGCCTGTCGCACCAAGTTGGCGTAGGTACCCGCGCTGGCGATGAACTCCTTGATGTGCTTGATCTCCTCCTGCTGCTTCTTGTAGGCCGTCATCTGGTTGGTCTCTTGTTCCTTGCGGGTCTTGACGTAAGAGTCAAAGTTACCACCGTAGTACATGAGCTGTTGCTTTCGCATGTCAATCATGGTGGTACACACTCCATTCAGGAAATCCTGAGAGTGAGAGACGAGAATCAGTGTACGCTCCCACTTCTTCAGGTATTCCTCAAGCCACACGCAGGCTTCAAGATCCAAATGCGCTGTCGGGTCGTCAAGAAGTAACAAGGTAGGCTTGACGAAGAGGGCCTTAGCAAGGGCAACACGCATACGCCAACCACCAGACATGTCCTTTGTCTTCTTGTGGATGGTCTCCTTGTTGAATCCAAGACCCGTCAGGATAAGAGAGGCTCGGGTGGCGAAGGTAGAAGGGTCCATCTTATCCATGTGCTGTTGTGTTTCGTTAGCATGATTTAATTTAGTTGTATAAGGGGTATGCGTACCTCGTAGATATCCATCAATACAGGGCTGTCGGGGCCTTCATCTTCAAGCAGCTGCTCTGCTAGTTTGTCTAGACGATCCATCTCCTTTTCCGCTTCCTTCAGGACCCATTCAAGGGCACCTAAGTCAGAGGGCGGTGCACCCTCATTAAGGAGATAAATGTCGACGTGATCGGGAATGGGGTACTCTCGCTCAGCAATAGCCTTAAGTAGGGTACTCTTTCCGCAACCGTTCTCGCCCAGTAATCCGTATCGGCGTCCGAATGAAAGTTCAAGGTTGGTTTCGTTGAGGAGGACACGGCCGTGGAAAGTTAAACTGGCGCTGATGATCTTCACGTCTCGGCTGGTAACCACGGATGCCAGGACACCAGTGGTGATACGATCGGAGAGGCCATGCTTGTCCTTTTGGTCAGCAAGTGCCTTGACTTTCTCCATCTTAGAATCGTCGGTCGCGGGAACATCGTTGGGATCAGGAGGGTCATCGCCGGCGACGGAGCCAGCAGCGCTGGTGCTTTGAGATGCAGCCTTAGAGCCAGCCTTAGATCTGGAGACAAGAGTCTTCTTCTCGCCCTTGCCATCGGCAGCCTTCTTGGCAAGTCTCTTTTCCTTAGATGCGGAAACCATCTTGGATATTGGATTTTGTTATTCTACTCCTTTTTGTCTATCGCCGACCGTAGGAAGGAGATATGGGATGCTGATCTGATGCTGATCTGATGCTGATATAGATGCAGATGACGATAGAGATGACGATAAGTAAAAGCGATTGAAGAAATCTACCCCGCTTAGGCTTATTTTTCTTTTTTTTTTTATTCCCTGATAGCGACCACAGAGACGGGTTGTTAAATACGATCACAAGCAAATGTGACCGATTAAACGAGAGAGTTAAACAAGTAAGATTTTATCAAGGGAGGAAAAGTGACCTATGACCTTGATAAACAATTAGGTAGGAAAAGGGAAAAAAAAAGATTTATCCTCCGTAATCTTTTGTGGTTGTAGATTGAACAACGGTCCTTGTGCAAGTTCCTAGTGCTATCTTTTCTCTTTCATGTTCTGTTGTGTGGCTAAGGCTGTTGGGTTGGGTGGCACTGTGGGGGCTTTAGAGTGGAGCTAACAAATTTTCGCCCTTTCATAAGGAGCATGGTAAAAATCTGAACAATAGCATTCGTTAATTCCGGGGACAACCTTATTCACGTGTAGATGCCTGAGGATATGTGAGGTACACACTTCGTACGGTGTACGTAAAAGCCATGTACTTCCTACCGCCACAGGCTGTTAGTGGTGGTGGGGGCGGGGTCCGACATGTACCGCTTTGGTCTTACCAAATCCGCTGACGTCAGAATTGGCAACTCGAATACATTACCTAACATATGTACTAAATTCATATTACGGAATAGGTAAGTACCTAATTATTCATTATACCGAATACGCTGATATCCGCACTATTAACTACTCGTTACATGAAAGATATCAATAGAAGGATCATCAGTTCTCGACGCGTTACCCCTGAATCAGAGTCGCGATTCAGAATGGAGACATAAAATAACGCTTTTAGATTTTAAAAGACGAAACCAAATACCAGGTATGCTTTGAATTCAAGACGACTAATTCTTTTTGTCGATAACTTCCAAAGTTTCGACGGCAATCTCCTCGTCATTAGCCAACTTGGCACTACCACTGTAAAACACTTTTACATCTCCAAAGATTTCGTCAATCTCTTCCAACGATTTTCCTAAAAGATGTTAGCCGTCACGGCGTGTGTTGATACCGAGGGGTGCATACCTTTTGTCTCGGGATACGCAAAGGCAAACACGAGAGCGCAGAGTACATTGGTAAGGATGAATAGGATCTATCGCCAAGTCAGTATTAACACTTACGACTTGGGGAATGATAGTAATAATACATAGTATTTCCATCCAACCGCCGCGAGTGCTATAGGCGAGCACTGCGTGATAATTAGACTAATAGAGTAGTGGATAACCTGGACCAAAGCGTTCGCCTTGGCTCGTAGCTCCGTAGTGAAAACCTCAGGACTGTAAGAGAGATCATTAGCATGAATAGACAGCTAAATTAAACCTGGAAGGATAAGACCCACGGAATAATCCAGGTCATCGGACCAAGGAGAGCCGAGTAGTTTGCCGAAACAGCAAAGATGCAAGCAATGAGACCCCTTTGCGCCGAAACGTTAGTGGGTAAACCGGGGCGTGCCGGGTAGACTGCGGCGAGGATAGTAATTATCATGTAGCAAAGGGAGAGGAGAGCAGAGCTCGTTATCAATATCTTCTTCCGGCCAATTCGATCGACGAAGAAGAGAGACGCAAGGCAAGCCACGGGCGCTACAGTTCCGTAGAGGCCACTGACGAGAAGCTGCTCATTCTGATCAAACTGGAGAGTTGCGTATATGGCTGTTTGGTAGTACTGGACGAATGATATGCCCGATAACATAGCAGCCGCCCATACAAACGATCCCACGAAAAGGCGCTTTCGGAATGCCGGAGTCTTCAAAAGATCCGCCCATGACAGGCGACCTTGGGCCTTCCTCTCCTCTTCGATATTTACTTGGATAATAGTGAACTCGGTGTCAACCCACGTATCGTTAGACCCGTCGTAGTGGTAGTTACGGAATGCTTCCTTTGCTTCCTCGTGGCGGCCCTTCAAGCATAGCCATCTTGGAGATTCGCCGATGAATAAAACTCCGAGGCCAAGTAGAACAGCCGGGACGCCTTGGATAGCAAATCCTAGTCTCCATTGGTTAGGGTTGTTCCATTTGCCTTCGCCAACTCCGGTCCATAATGCGACGAAAAATCCCCAAGCAACCACTGAACTCCTGTTAATAAAATTACAATGCTTGTTTCTTAGAAATCTGTGTCTTACTCATCTGATTAGCTGCTGTGATCTTCGCGCGTTCGTGTGTCTGCCGATCGCTAAGTCAGTGCACCCCTGAGACATCCCCTGTGATATATGTACCTTTGCAATTTCGGCACCGAAAACGGGAGCCACGCCTGTAACTGTTCCAACAGCGTACCCGACTAAGAGGCGGCCCATAATGACTAGGTAGAGATCAAGATATTAGAGTCATTCCATATCTATTCACTTTCTTCTTTACTCACGCATAGCGACGTGGGCAGCTCCGGCCATGAGCGCCGAACCGAGCGTACCCCAGATGCATCCGAACGCTATGGCCTTGCGTCGGCCAAACCTATCGCTGGTATAACCAACCGAAGCACTGCCAAGCCATGCTGTAGCCACATATCAGTATAAGAGAAACACGAAGAAGACACCAATGTGAATCACCTCCAGCTTGGTAAACTGAGACGATTGCTCCGCGGGTGGCAGCATCGGGCTGCCCGAAGTAAACCAGGAAGGACTTCAGTGCCAAACTCGGCGTAATGATTCCCGAATCGCTTGGGTTCCGTTAGTGTCGAGTGGAGAAAGCTTCATCGCGGGCACAATTACTTACTAGCCATAGAGAAAGTCACCTATTCCGAGGAATAGAGAAGTCAGAAACGGCTTGCTTAGTAACGGTTGGTTCTTCATGGTTTAGGTACTACGGAGCAGGATAAGGAAATATTGAAGTTGCACTGAGGCCCTTCGGTCAGATTAGAGGACTCACATGGGTTTAAGTACCACCGCATCAACTCGACGATGGGACATCTAGGCTTTGACGAAAATCCGGGGTTAGTATCCGACTACTTGGTCCATGGGATCCGGGGATGGATCCGCCAAGGGCCCAGGGGCGGGGTATACGAATCAAGTTGTTCAATGGCGTTGAATACCCCTATTAAGTTACAGTTGCTCAGCTTTGAGTCTCTAACCCGGTCGTCTCTCGTTTCGAGTTGCCTCTTGAGTCTTTCTCGTCCGAGTTAATATTATGAAACTAGTTACATGGAGAGGCAACTTTAGAATTTTTCCCTCCTACCTGGGAGGTAGGTATTAACACTTGTCTTCATAATTTTGAGTATTCTCGTGAGCTGTAAGATAAAAGGGCGCTAGTCTCTGCCGTGATGTGTGCTTATTAAACAAGTTACATTACTAGACCAAATAGAGCTCCTGTCAGCGAGAGCCTGGTCTTCATCTCCGCAAAACACATGGGCGTCAGATTTGGGGGAATATCCACATAGGCTTCCCCGCCAAGGTCGGCAGTTTGAATAGAGACAACTGCGCAGGAGGATTCTCGGTGACCCATTGTCAGGATTAGATGCCTTAGTCAAGTGAATCATGCATAGAGTGAATGTCGAGGGTAGGTAGACCAAGTAGTGATTGTATTGAACTTAGTAACGCCTGGCCTCTCTATCCTCTGACGAGGGCGCTTCGCGTCTCTTATGTAGTCACCCTGACCCACTATACCTTGACACCCATGTTGGTACTTTTTGCGAGGCGCACCCTCTGCAGATCAACTCATTTATTTATACGTCGAGAATCGCCAGCTCGAAGGCTACCTATGGGCAGTTCTTGAGCCTCGACACCAAAATGTACGCAACAATTCTTGCTAGTATAGGTTTTGCCGTGTCACTTTCTTACCTAAGCCTAATATTCCCGAGAGTAAGCAGCTTATCACATGAAGTTTCAAGAGAATATTGAGCTAACATGGGTTGAATAGTTGCTGCAAGAATGGAAGATCCATGCGCATCGCAAAGAGCTTCCGCCAGGTCCGAAGGTTATCAAATCTGGCCTTCAAAAGCCATGGTTGTGGTTTCGGGAACTAAATAAAGAGTATGGCGATGTTGTCTACCTCCAGATGGGGCCAACGCCGACCATTATACTCGGTTCGGCTCAGGCGGCGTGGGATCTCTTAGAGAAACGGGGAGCAAAGTATTCTTCTCGCCCCCGCTTCATTATGGGTGGTGAACTTCTGTCAGGGGGGATGCGAGGTCTTATGGCACCATATGGAGCTTTCTGGCGGCGCTGGAGGAAGCTGTTACATAGCGGATTTATGAATCGTCAAAGTCTGACTTATCGACCTATCCAGAGCTTAGAGTCTAAAGTTCTTATGCACGACTTGCTCCAAACCCCTAAGGCCTTCCGGAAGCATCTCGAGCGTTATGCTGCTTCGGTTATTGTTACGGTCACATATGGACGAAGAGTCGAAAATGTTGATACCGATATCGTTGTACGGCGCAATGGTGAGTCAATGGACCGCCTAACACAAGTCAAGTAGGTTTTCTAGCCCGTTCTTTCGTGCCATTACTTACATTTCACAGTATTCCCGGTAAATATAAGGTGGAGCGATACCCAGTTCTTAAATACATACCTAGCATATTTGCACCATGGAAGGCCCAGGTCCTTAAGCAACGGCAAAAAGACATCCAACTATACACGGAGCTTATGGCCGAAGTTAAAGATAGGAATGATAAAGGTACTTTGCCTACATGTTTTGCTAAGCACCTGCTAGAGGAACAAGAGAACCTCGGAATGTCGGATCTGGAAATTGCATACACTGCAGGCTCTCCATTTGGTGCAGGAGTAGAGACAGTAAGTTCACCATGTTACTCTAAAGGCTGTGGAAGGTATTATACTCATGTAGGATGATGTAGTCTGCAGGTTCACTCGCCAGTTTTCTCCTCGCTTGTGTCAAGTTCGGTCCTCGGTTTATCCCTCGAGCACAAGAGGAACTTGACAAAGTAGTAGGAAATGACAGACTTCCCACATTCGAAGACCTACCTCAGTTACCATACGTGAGAGCAGTTGCCTCTGAGACGCTACGATGGAGACCAGTAGCTGTGCTAGGAGGCACGCCACATGCTAGTACCGCTGATGATGTGTATAAGGGAATGTTTATACCTAAGGGAAGCACAATCATTGCACCCCTATGGAGTAGTAAGTGTGCCGGAGATTCTGTTGCATATAATCGCATTGATATTAAGACTGGATCCTTAGTTCACCTAAATGAATCCGATTTCCCCGAGCCAAACGAATTTCAACCCGAACGCTTTATGGAGGAGCGTGAGTATCCTGGCACATTCGGTCATAGTGCATTCGGTTGGGGAAGAAGAATCTGTCCTGGCATGCACTTAGGTTCTGCGTCTGTGGAACTCAACATCGCGCGAATACTATGGGCTTTTGAAGTCAGTCCCGCAAAAGATGCAAACGGAGACGACATCGATGTGGACATGTAAGTAACTTTTATTCACGTCACTTCCGTAACATACCTCGGTTAGGTACCTACTCATAACTTCTCAGATTCGCCTTCTCCGATGGCTTCAACTCCAGTCCGCTTCCGTTCCCTTGTTCGATACAACCACGATCCCGCAACCATGCGAAAGTAATTGAGCAAGAGTTTCAAGGCGCTGCAGAGTCCCTGAAAACATATACTGCGGTTAACTGCAAGGTATCTTGACGAGACGTGGGGCATCCATCTCTCGTCATGCTTCGGGAGGAGCACAGAAGATGGAAATATAATTGGATATAATTTTGATGACTGGAGAGGCGTGAATGGCATTCCAAGCCCTAAGATTGTGGGGTAATTAGACCAATCGAATCTCATGCTCATACTTAGATTTGACAGAGCACGATGAGATCGAATGTTACACTCTCCTCCTTACCTCATTATCACTCCATTCTTACGTATGGCCTCATAAAGAGCAGAGTAGCAATAATATGAGAAAATTGGGGTACAATTGATCGATATATGTTCCGATGAGAATTGTAATGCTCTAATAAGTTGATATTCGGGGTACCGTGCCGCGATGTAGAGAATGCCGTGCTTAGCAATATCCAACAGACTCAGATTCAAGTATATCCACCTTATCTGGGCTCATATAGCATGAGCATATAAATATGGGATTTGGATATAAAAGAATGATGAGTGAGATTATACTCATACCCACGACTACGACTACGGGTACTCGGCGAACAGGGATCTGAAAAATGTTGTTTAAGTGAAGCTGTTGAAGTGATGGGGCGTCTGGTTTATTAAATGATCTATCATTTAGTACCAGTTAACTCCGGGGCTGGCCATTGGCTATCTGCTCACATAGAGTCGCATAGAAAAATGTGACGTCCGATTTCTATTCGGTCAAGCTTGAGCGCCCGCATCATGTCACCCAATTAATAAACAAAATCGGACTTAAGCTCTCAAGAGACTTGGTATACCCTCTATGAATATATTAAAATACGAAACGAACGCTTGATAAAACTTTTATGTAGCTATAAATGTATAGACGTTATCTATATTTACGTGCACTCGTTTGTCTATAGCGTCGCTACAGCTTCGAAAAAATACTAAAATACTGACATTCCACGCCAATATGACCTGTCTTTTAACAACGTAGCCAAGGGCGGGAGGGCCGCCCACTGCCAAGCTTCTCTATTCCAGAATGAGACGCGATTGCACCTTTGCTGGGACGACCCAAGCTTTCACAGGCTTATGTAGCATTCGACTTATACATCCTTGTCTGACCCAAAACTCAGCTTCGCCAGATTTGGACCTGATAATGACTTATGCTGACACCATAAGAATAATTCGACAAATCATATTCTAACGGAAGTCTTCTAGAAATTCTATATCCTATCTTACGTAAGAGTTGGATCGGCAAGTTGACTGGGGGTCCCACAACCTCAACTTCACTCGTCCATTACCCCTGACGGTTTTGAGGGTTCCCTCATGTTGTTTTCGTTTTTCTTTCGACCCCTCGGGCCTTGGGCGCTCGAGGCTGTCTGAACTGTCTACTCTCAATTTCATCTACAGTTCGGCCCATCGAGCGTACCTTGACGATACGGCGTATCAAAGCTCTAACCTGCCTCTATCTTATACAGGTTATCTCATACATACCAATCGAATCTAAAACTTGGACTTCAGCGGGCCGTTTCCATTCCTATTAGAGATAGGTTTCGCAATTGCTGGCGACAGCAATCGGTTGTGTCCCTTGGGGTGGGAGCAACGCATACAATATGTGCTCCCTTACGAACTTGCGAATTATTGCGTGCGCTGCCCCACCACCTACAATAGCACGGGACGACTCTCGTCCCAAGGAAAGTAAGAATATTTCACTATATTCATTGTTTAGAGTAGTATCCGGATTTCTTGGTTCGCTTAGAGGTTGCGGGAAAATCATTGCCCTTCTCTTACTCTTGAAATTATATAATACCCTCATCTAAACCACCTATTACTTACCCAAGTTAACATGAATCGGAATAGATGTCGTCCTCGCGGATTGTACTGGGTCACAGAACTCAAATCAACTATCATCTGAAGTCTCATATTTCAACCACCCTCCAAATGATCAGCCAGGTGACATCGCACCCGTAACTGATGGGCAATACCGCGATTGGGCAAACACGACAACGTCGGCATATTTCACCGATACTGGGACGACATTCAAAGCTATACTAGGGGAGCGCGGCAACGCAGGCGACTACGCAGGAATAGGAAACAACGGTTACGCGAACTTCTCCTGTTGGCAAATGGAGTCGACGTACTTGTATAGCCATGATGGCAAAAACTGCTTCGCGGCATACGAATGCAATCACCTAAGTGAGTTTATTTTCTTCACATTAAGCCTTTCCTACTAGTATTATATAATCCTTTTTTCTTGTCTCAAGAAATACAATCACTGGCTACCTTGGTGGGTTAAGACAGTATAATCTGATAAACGACCATACTCCTTCACATGTCATACTAACCCAGTGACCTTCAGCATCCCCCATCCCTATTCCGTCAGCTTCACCTCCCGCAGCTACAACGTCATCAACAACACCAACTCCGGTAGCTAGCTCAGGCCTATCAGTGGGCGCTATAGTTGGTCTCAGCATTGGAGTAGCGGCTGGGGCAATACTAATTGCAGCCGTGGCTGCTTTCTTAATATGGCGGTATCGACGTTTGAAGAAACAAAGTGAAGCCGCTATTGGTCCCCAAGATCCGAGACTAGAGGGTGGACAACACGGAACGCCAAAGGGGCCGCCACTAACGGATACAATATGGCAGGGGCCGGGAGCGAGGGAGTTGGAAACACCACAGGTTTACCATGAGCTACATAATATTAATCGCCCCGTCGAGATTCAAAGTGTCCTTGTAAGAAGCGAGTTGGATGGGTCTGCTACAAGGGTAGAGCTTCATTCTAACGACCTACCTCCTCGATATGAATTCGGGAACCCGATTTCTCCTGAAGCTTACGGATGCAATAAAGGGCCTGTTTATCATGTCAATGGTGTGGAGGCATAGGACAAGTTTCTAGGATGGCTTTAAAAGAGGGCACTATTCTAGGCAATGATTCCTTCTAACGAGCACACTAGTCCTCACGAGCACAGGATTCTAGGCGAAGCTAAAATAATTTTGCGCAGGAACTCACAGATCAGGTTCGAGTTTAGCATGGAAGATCGAGAGACTCAATAGAGTATGCACTCCATGAGTCCTAAGTTGATACGACTAATCTGGCTGGTCCTAGGTATATTTGGAGCGGAGACTTGGTCATGTCCCGCAAGAATGCCAACATGTTCCTCAGTCGGTCAACGAGCCATGACTTATGGGAAAGGGCTATTGAATGTACATAGAAACGATATCATGAGAATTAAATCGAGAAAGCTCTCCAAACAACCCTAGAAGCCCTTACTCATGCCGTGATACGTAAACCTTGGTTATCAACACCGCATTTAAAATTAGTAGAGATGCTCTAGCCCCGTCCTCGATTACTTTCCTCGCTCGCTTCACCGCCCTTGTTAGGACATATCAATAGTCTTGGTAAATCCCCTGAGGATAAATTAACTATTCACATCTAATCTCCGCTGATATGACCATGTGACACTCAGATAGTATTCCACCCGATCTTACTCAATCATGACAGCAGCTGAATTGTTGCACCGCATACCGCCTACCTGCGCTCATGTAGGTAGTCACGCTCTTATGTACGTGCTAGAAGCAAGTTATTACGCCCATAAACAAGCTGACACGACTTATTTGTTTGCAGTGGCTTTCCTCTGGCCTCTGATTTCTGGTTGTGGTGGCGTATATATTTGTGCGGACGCATACCTCCAGCTACATTCATGCAAGTGACCAGAAAGAGGGAATTGGGGATATGTCTAACTGGCGCGAAGCAAATTAATTATGGATATCCCACTTTCTCCTTTTTCTTCAGGTGGAGTAATACCAATATCTCTATCCTCGTTACGCAAATAGCTTAGGTTTGGCTAATGGTCGTGTTTTCTCCGAATGCAACTATCAAGGTTCTTAGAGTTATAACCCACCATGGGACGGTAGCATGTCCCGAGTTCACTAACCCTTCAGGGGCCTCAAGGAGCAAGAAATCCAGACAATATATGATTCGATGCTTTCATACGGGTTTGAGGGGCTATGCGTAATTTATACACCAATAAACCGATTTAAACAATACGAAAGTTAAATCTATATCGCTGTTATCCCAAGAAAGGTTCACACGGCAATCTAGGAGCCAAAAAAAAAACTTGAAGAATAGAGGAAGGTCTTTTATAGGTAACCAAAGAGCTACGTATTTAGCTTCAAAATGTTTCACTCGAAATAAAGCTAGGGCCTGTGATCACGATTCTCACAAAATATTGCATAAGGTATTCAGTAAATAAATACGCTTAAGTATGACTTTGCTATGTAGGTACCTCTTAGATAGACTTGTAAAGCTATGTATTTTATTATCATACATGATTCTGTTGATATGTTAATACAGTTGTTTGCTACTCTTATATGTACCTTTTATATCGACCGCATAATATTCTTAGATCATATATTCAGAGAAATTTCGTCATGAAAACCTCACCCCATCATTAGATTCATACGAGATCCTCATGTTAGTCACTTTGTCATACTCAATCGTTGGTAGTATTCGGTACATCCTATTTTGCTCTTAGATGTGAGTTACAGGCTCGGGAAACTTACTGTTGGCTATTTGAACCCGGCCCAACTCTGTCAGATAAGAGCGAGTAAGTTATGCTGTAATATGCATTGCATGTGTGCCTCGAGTCCTGTTATTCAATTCAACAAACACAAATATTAAGTAGGTACCTATCAGATCCATAGTGGTCGGGGCAATTATGCATTAGGGTTTCATAGGAGTAAAAGAGGAAAAAAAGAATCAATCGCCACGAACATGAACTCTCGATACACAACTTCCCCGGGAAACCTTTATCGTAAAAGAATCAGGCTGAGGGGGATGTACTCACAGATATTGTCAAGAAATTAGGTGATCGACTATATTGTACGATCGAAGAACTAGAATATGCGTATTCATCCTCGAGTCGTATCGAACTCTAGAATACTATGTTGACGTCAGACCACCTAAAAAATAGTCGATAGAGCTGGATGTGCCCGCCATTGGCACATAAGGAGCCCATAGGTGGAAAGAAACTCCCAGTGTTGTTAGTGCTCCAGGTGTTACACAAATCCGGGGATTTGCTTTGTGTCTTTTTGGTATTGTAGAATCGAACCTGGTTTGATCTCGAATTTTGGTCGCGGCACTTGAAGCCCAGACCTAGGGTATTCCGCAGACTCTGCGGGATATTTTCCCCAAACCAACAATTGGGGGCTGAAGCCGCCTACAATGCTTCTTTCTTCGGTTGTCATGGGCCGGACAATTTCGTTGTTGAGGTTGTTGTCCTCGCAAATCAGATAGATATGACCGTGGAGGTTACAAGTGTGCGGTCCTGAACCCATTCGCAAGGTAACATGGTAATCGTCAGGGCCTATCACGCGTTTACTCCGAACCCATCCGGTAGTGCATGTAGGATGGGCATCGGATCTGTATAGAGAATTAGCAATTTGTTATCTAGCTGATGTAGTAGTCAACTTACGCCATCCATGCATAGCTTAGGCCGCATTCACTGGTGACCCGTCTGACTATGTTCTCGATTGCCTGTAACCTATCTTCTTTGCTTCCCCTTTCGGGATTTGGAGTGGCCCAAATGATCTGAATATAAACATTAGTTATAATTATCTAATTTGACGTGATGTTATGGATTGGTGTAGCTTACTCTTGGATTTTCTATAGTGCCGGCGCCACTATGTCGCCTTGAACCCTGGACTCTCTGCCAAAATGAAGCATCATGCGGCCCGCCTGGGCCAAGCTTCATGCCTTTTACCCAGACGATGCTGTCGGGACGGTTAGATGTTGAGTTGGTCATCTTCTCAGTTTCTGTGAACCGTAGTCGTGCTGAGATTATTGTATGGCCATCTGATTGACCAGAGACTTCCAGCAGTAGATTTTAAGATTCACATTTGTACAAAGGGTACCTAATGTAATGGGCAACAAACGGCAATCGAATAATTAAAAGAAAATGAAGAGGCTATTTTATTACAATCATTCAATTCATTGTTTGTTACGTTGCAAGACCATTGTGCTCCTGTTAGTTTCAACTTGACTCATTGATCATTGCCATGTTGAAGCTCGATTATTCCACTGTAACTGGGCTTTGTGTCCCAACTATGCTGTAAACAAACATTTATCGTACAAAATTCATGGTATGTTCCCCACCATGACTCCCTATTTTCAAATTGTATTTCGAGAAGAAACCGATGCCAACTGTCCAGACTGCTGAAAGATACGATATATGAGCTGTATGTTTCGTATTAGCATAGTCCATCAACTATATGAGTGAAAAAGCGGGGTGGGAGGTCCAATTTATAAATACATTCCACACTATCACTTGGTATTATGCCTCAAAGTAATCCCTTAGTCACTCTTTTCAACATAGAAAACGTACAGTGACAGGTACTTAGGTACGTAGAAGTCAAAAAGTCATTGGCGGCCCGTACATATTCTCCTTTTGTCAAAGACGATTTAGAAGGCAATGAAATAATCCAACCAAGTAAATAAACAAGAATTATTCAAGCACTTCATTGGGAGTTAGGAATGATCCAGCTCTCTGGGCGATCACTCATCCACGTAAACATCTGGCTTAGTGCGACTGATGCAAGATATCTGCTGGTAGCCAATAATCGTAGTACCATAAATTGCTAATTAGTGACGCCAAAGCTAACAGAACTTGCGATATCACGTACTAATTATAGATAATATGCTATATGTTAATTGGAATACTTTATGTTTGGTTATCATCGGGCTATCACTGACTATGTTGTCATAGGAATCATGGGGTTATGGGGCAGGGCTAAACGATGACATGAATCGAGTTTTATTAGCGGTAAAATAGGGCTTTTTCACAGAGTGCTTCAAGGATTTGCTGCTGTCCGGAACGTCGTCGTCGATATAACTAAATTTCTACTTTGGACTTGTGTTAACCGGTTTGTACTACAATTCGCATGATGAGAGTATGGTGACAAGAACTTGATAATTATCCCTAATTATTGTAAAGCAATATTTAAGGCATCAACCCACCATATATTGCCTTGAGCTTTGAAGATACTATTAGAACCTACCTAATGGTAGTAACTCCTTTAGCCAGATGTCACCCCCTTCCCAACTCGGGTAACACAAGCCCAAGGTTTACACCACCGTAGGCAATTTTATATAATGTGATTGCCAATTGCGCAACGTATACCAAGAAGATCCCTATGTAGTGATTAAGGTTGGAAAGTTTTAAATAATTACCTTACATTAGACACCCTTTAATCCGTAATATTGGACGTATATGATATCGGGTGTTGGGAAAGTAGGATTATGTAATATGGTCACGTCCTATCACGTGGATTAGTCCACACACAAACCACTAATCTCGCGGGGTAGCACCCACACACATAATCTAACTATCTACAACAACAGTCATCGCGATAACCTCGTTTGTGTTATTTCCTTTTAGGTGCACACCACAACCCCTACCTTGTCAACCGACATCGGGCTTAATAACTTTACAGGCCCAAGGGGACCGGCTACGGCATTAAAAGGTACTTATTTACATTAAACTAAAACTAAAACTAAAACTGAGACCAAAATTAATATATAAACAAAAGGTAAAGAGAAAACAAAAGGGTGCAGGGTCGTGTAAGGCAGGGAAAATTCCCATAAGGTATCCGTAAGGCATATGTCCTCAATAGGAAACCTTTACTCGCATTTAACACAATATCCTCTTATTAAATATGCTAAGGTAAAGGTAAAGCTTAGGCGTTTCTCGTTGCCCTATTGCTAATTAATTATTTTCAACTAGCATATGGACTAGAATCCATGTAGTCATAGCTGCAAAGACCATGGCTGCTGACATCGCAACACCTTTTGACCCTATTCTAGAACTCCCCGAATCTGTGCCAGCATTGCCCTTACGCGTTTTTCCAACCCAAGGATGCGATATGACTGTCTCCATAGTGATACGATCTTCTGGGTCATACTTCAGCATCCTCCTCAAAAGATCGGCTAAGCCCAGTACATCTTCTTCAGGATATCGATACTTAATGGCTTCTACATTCTCAGCTATATGAACATTGAGATATGCAGTCTGCTCAGCTCCAAGTAGCGCCTCGAATATATCTGAATAGCCAGATCCTTCAATCAACTCAGCCCTGTCCTCTGCGAATTCATCTGGCCCCGGAGTATCGGATTGCAGCTCGTTTTTGACTGTAGAGCCTCTCATATCCCCGGACGACGTTTGATATCGCGAGGGTGGTAGCGGTCCCAAGAATAACTCGAATTTACTGGTCACGTTGCTGTACCCACCACTCACCACATCCCCGAACAGCGGCGAACCCGTTCGAACTTCGAATAAGGTGCATGCCAATGACCATATGTCGCTATGTGGTCCTAAGGTCCCATAACCTTGAAGCAGGACTTCAGGGGCTGCATACAGTTCCGGAATGCCCGTTGATATAGGAGGAGTTGCTGTGAAGAATGATTCTCCGAAATCGATGATTGCGATGGAATTCGTTGTTAATTTCTCACACCAGAATTCGTTTGCAGATGTCACACAATATTTTGGGGCCCTAGGTGTCAGGGGCTGGCCAGACTCGGTCTCAACATCGTAACATTCCGGAGCTCCCATAAGACTTAGAATTTCATCACGATCTAGATCATCAATACCTTCAACTTCCATGAGGATATTGCCTGGTTTGAAGTCTCCGTGACATATTCCGTGACTATGGAGAAAATGCATAGACTCAATGATCTGTCGGCATACGCTTCTTGTGTCATCATGAGTCTGTTCTTCGTAGTCTTTTCGCAGCAGACGCCAGCTCGAAATTGTCCAGCCAAGAACCGGCATTACGAAGCATAAATGACGGCCATTAGGCCCCAAAAGCGAGAATTGTTCCAAAGGTAGTAGTATGTGATTTCTCTCGAGCTCTGCCGGGGAACAATGACGTCGTAGATAACTGAATATTTTTTCTTCCGTGCCTTTAGCAGAATGGTCGGCAGTCATTATCTTGACTGCCCTCCATTTGTTCAGTAAAGTATCGCGACAAAGCCAAACGATTCCAAAACCGCCACTGCCAAGCTTGTGGACAACTTCGAAACGGCCATCAAGGATGTCGCCAATGTGGACTGGGTGGTATCCCCCCTTGTTGTACATCTGAACATCCTCAAGATTTGGCATGTAAAAGAAAGGCGTGTACTCAATTACTTCGTCGCTAAGTGTCGCATCGAGTCCAATGGACGGGGCCTCCTTCTCAGCAGTGCAAGACATAGTGTGAAATTTGCGTGGTTCTCCGATTCGAGATATGAGTTTTTTGGCGAAAGGAGAGGATTTGGAGCGGCAAGTTAGGTGAGTTATATGGTAATTCAGGCGAATAATGATGTTGTTCCTGTTGTTCCTGCTGTTGAAAAAGAAGATGCGTGGTGAAGAAAGCACTAGCCCCGGGAAGGAATTGTCTTTGTATTTATGGTAGATGCTGAAAGATAGGGGGACAATGCGTGGCAAAGATTTAGAGTTGTCACAACGCGATTGTTTGAAACGTTTTGATACGAATCTCCACATGTTTATGGCGTTGGTAGGTTACGTACCACATTAAGCGTGGTGAATCGCTTGTTCTACGGTTGTTTTTGGTGAACCTTACATGTAGGTAGGTAGGTACCTAGGTACCTAACTTGACAAACAGGCAGCTGCCACCCAGAACTATCCTCAATTATTACATAATACACTAATACATCTCAGGAAGTAAGTACCTCTCAGCCAGACACGTGCTTATAGTAATTGATTCTATAAAATGCAACTCTTAGGTCATGTACCTTAGGTACCTAGGTACGTAAATAAGGACAAAGGCATCACCATAGATTAGAGCTTCAATAATAAACGTACCTGAGTTAGTACCAGTTGATATCATTTGGTTATGGACTAAGCCCCTATGATAGTGGTAGGTAGGGACATAAGGTAGATACTCATATTTCGTACGGAAGTGCGACTAAATTTATTGTAATAGGATACGGGCTTTAGCATTTGCAACAACGAACAAATGATTATCTGCTTAATCATACATGCTATATATTAATTTATTATTCTAATTATAAGGCATGGACAATAATGTCTCAAATATTGACGGTTGAAAATGTGGTAGAACATTATGCTGAAGGTGTATAGAGTTGACCTTTGCGGTTCGGGAGTTGATGCTGATTGGCTCAAATCAACACGTGCGACCCAAATGTATCAGTCTGTCCTTTCACATTTCATCCTTTATAGTAATAGCAATTACAACATATTCAAGACTCGACTGGCATGGGTCTGGATACCATATTTTTAGGAGCTGCTTTAGATGTTGATGGTAGCACTGTTCGAAATAATAAGCCTCTTCCAGTTATTACGGATCTACATATGGCACTTGCAAGTTGAGTAACGGGTGGTTATTATCCAGTGTCTATTATCTACCTAAACATCCCTCGGATCAATACATCATTGCCTGGATGTAAGAAATACCACGGATATCTCGGTTTACTAATTGACATATTATTGTTCTGCAACCTTTGTTATTACACCGTGGGCTTAAAAACAGCAATTAATATACACTATGCGAATCTACCGTAAATTAATGTCGTAAGCTGCCCAGACTCGCCATGTACTAAGGCTATGTGTAGGAGATAGCTACCTAGGTAGGTATATAAAATTTACCGAAACGCCCGCACTCGCAAGCTCGCGCGGGCGTTTCGACGTGCGCGTTAGCGCACGTGGGATCTTTCCGAAGTCATGTAATTACGCGGCCTTATCTTATCAATTACTGAGGTATTTCGCCATATATTTCGCCATGTATTTCTTTTATAATTGCTTACATAATAAAAGAGTTTGAGCGCAATATTCCTTCGGAAAGAAAAGATAATCCTTCAGAAAGAGAAATAATAAAGAGTGCTTAGATACCCGGTGACGTAGGTTGGAGACCCACCTAATAAGCTCATATACCCCGTCTTACACGTTTAATAATTGATGTGGAGAACAGACAATGAAGTTTTTAAGTGCCGTCGATCTTATAAGAGATAGTCGCTAGGCGAACTCCTAAAGGAACATAGGTACGCTAGGAACTTTCTTTATGGTAACCTCATGTGACCAATATGACTGCCTACCATCTTTTTATGATGTATAGTATATTCCAACTTCACCACCATAGACTAGTAGGCATGTCTAAACCAAATCATAGTCTCGTCCTAGTTTTTGTGCCATAATTTTGTTCGTTTTTTAGTCTTTATAATTATTTCTGCCTGGGAAGGAACATCTAAACGGCATGGATTATTCTATAAATATTAGAATAAGTGCTGGTCATTCTTGGCTTACACCATAGTTGGTCCTATTCTTGTATGTAGCTTGTGCTGATCGGGATCTATGGGTGGCCGTACGGCGTAGATGGGGTGTAGGGAAAGAGGATGTAGGGAAAGGTTGGGTATACTGGAGTTTAACATTCGAGATGAATGATCGAATGTCGTTCTAAATTCGCGCTTTGGGACCTAAACTAGCAGTTACTCGCCGAGGCTCACGCATTCTCATATTTCCTTTCCCCGGATGCTCCCCGGATGCTCCCCAAACTTCACCTACCCAATTTTCATTAGCTCGTCACATCTACCGCTTCTTCATCAAACTCAACGTCCCATTATCCCCACCTATATATGTTTGCCCCGAAGCACTTATAAAATTGCGGTGACTTGGTGACCCGCATCATGTTACACCATTTAGCTCTTCTGACCTAGTACCAAGGGAGATTGGACAATACAAACAGGAAATGACTATTCCCGAAATATGATCGTAGCCTTCCATCGACGTTCGAATAGGTGAAGTGTGTCAGCTGTAACCGGTAGTATAACCGATTACAGAAGCTCAAAGTGGCCTATAGCCTTGTCAAGTTTTCAATAGACTAACTACCTAGGTACCTATCCTTATCCTTAAGCATCGGCCGGTGGTCACACCACAAATAACCGAATAGCCGCATGCTCTCCGAGGTATTTACTAAACAAACCGCAACGCCACTATGAAACGTTGACTCGAGAGTGGACTAATAAGGTAGGGGGAATTAAGCGTGATATTCGCATCTGAGCTAAGAAGAAGCTGACAAGGCGCTCTGGGGTTCGGTGGCTTACATACCCCAACGCGGGGTCGCCACGCGACTTTGCATGCCTCATGACCGATAGCAAATAAAAAATCGGCAGCGGTCAATGGATGACTTGGGTAGAGATGCTAGATGCAAGATGCACGTCATCTTGGATGCCCAGGATGTCCAGGATGCGAAAAAAGAAAAAAGAAGCCTAACGAACCTGTGCTGAAGTGTGACCTACAGGGCTCAGATGCAGGATCCAGATTACTGGCGTCTACTAACAATGGCCCGACTAACACAGTTGCACTGCTCCAGCGTAACAAGTTTGCCCGGCATGACCGGCATGACCGGCATGGATTTGTTGTGAGAGTGGGACAACGTAAATGTGGTGCGATAGTTATATAGTAGTTACCTCTAGGTAAATGATAGTTGTTCCGGATAGTATTTAGAGAAGAAGTCGTGCAACGTTGGCGTTTGCGCCGGTTCGCCTTTGTCGCCCGAATTTCGCCCGTTTCGCCAATATTCTCAAACAGATCCAGCCTGGCGGGTCGCATGGGATAGAATCCAGTATACGGAATATGCACTAGCGTTGTTTTTATTATAACTGTCATATTACCTAAGGTACCTGGTAAGGTACAAGTAACCCAGTCAAGTCGTCAGATCCCTCGGATTCCTCGCAGAGTTGCAGGTGCGTCTGGAGGTCCTGGGTACAATACAACTTACATACAGGTACCTGACGCCGGCAGTTCCCCTGGTCTGTCGTAACCAAGCTAAATTAAGAATTATACGTATTGTACCTACCTTAAATTGGGACCCAACATTCGAATCCGTACCCAAGTACCTTCTTAGGTAACTTTCAGTAGGGCTCCACTGTTTCCCGCGTTCCTCTCCTTTGTTTCTATCCCAAGTTTTCTTAGTCTGCATGTTGTGCAACACGTACAACGAATACTTTTACACTTTGTTTTCTAGTCGGTCTAACGTCAGCAGCGCCACGAGTACGGACCGTCGAGGGGAATCTTACATAGTACATAGTCCCAACCTAAGAAATAATCACCAGAAAACCTAGATAGCCTTAACAGATAAAATGACTTGTCTAATATATCTACCTATCTAACTTCTGTTGATGTTGACGAGGAAGGTCGACCGTTTTAGTCAATTTTAATGTTTTAAATCCTTCAGATCCTATATATTCCCTTAAGGGGTTTGGCCCAGGTACTATGTAAGGCGGTAGTAGGGCGGCAGTAGGGCGAAGTAGCTTAGTTGCTGTACTCCAGATCTAACTATGCAAGTTATTAAAGTTACTGTGAACAAGCAACGCATGTTCCAGTCCGACCCATTATTTAAGCAAGGAGAATGACCGGATCAGGCCGAGAAAGAAGCATCAGCAACATAAACTCGACCAAATATCTAACCGGATCCGGGTTAAATCCGCTAAAAGCATCACAAAATCCCCCAATATCATATACGTATTATAGATCACTGCAGGTTACACGGCGACTCTTGGCTAGACAATAGGCCGGCGGTAAACTTATAGTTTCCTATACCGTGATGTTTGAAGCACTACGACCTCCTTGGCACCCCTTACCGCATAACGCGCCAATCAGACGTGTCCGTAATATTCGTGGCAGACCATTATACGATGCCCCCAAAAAACCCATGACTCCCCTAGGACTCCCACAAGGCTCTGCAAGTAAGCTATTACTTGGATCAAGAGATCCGCCTCCACCCCTTCCCGAAATTATGGACATCGACCTGCCATGTGATGCTGCGTTGCTGTGAAGTGAATGTGAGGCACAGTCGGAAAGGCACAGAACGGATAAGTGTGAGTGAATGGGGGTGTGTGTGTGTTTGTACGTCAAGACTTGACAAGGCTTACTACCTAGGACCTAGGTATGTACAACTGACGAGCACGTCTTTGTTGTCGTTCTATATAAGTAGGCTCTCTCCCTCCGCTCAACTTCTTTATAGGTCCCCTTGGAACAACAACGAGAATCTGCCAAGTCATATTCCTCGCTATACCGGCAATGTCTCGACAAACTGCCAACATGTCACTCATTTTTATACTACTTCACTGTCTCAGCTTCATCTCCCTCGGTTTAGCTAGGCCTCTCCATCCTGCTCATCCCCTTCACGAAACAAGGGCGGTAGGACCTAGGGGTGAGCTAAGGGAGGCCTTCACATGGAGGTCGATCAGGAATAAACTTCACCTCACCTACCGAGACACCAGGGTAACTTTCAACGAGATCGGTGCTTCCTTCACTCTCGGCGATAAGGAAAGCCAGCTATCACCCGGAGGGACGTACCCTCGCCTTACTAGGCTCGCGGACGGCGGCATCCTCGCGGCGTCGGCTTATACCGCCAATGGCTTACGAACCATTAGAGTTACCAGGAGCGACGATGACGGCGCAACATTCAAAGAAATCGGCACTATCGCCCAGGGCCCCGGGGACTTGGATAACGCATTCCTGATTCAACTTCCGTCCGGAACCATCATTGCCGCCTTCCGCAACCACGACAAGGATGCTAATGGCCGCCTTAAGTATTTCCGTATCACCGTCTGTAAGAGTAATGACGGCGGTCGCACATGGGTTTTCTTGGCTCAGGCTGCGGAACATGCCGCTGACGCTTCGGGTTTCAACGGACTATGGGAACCCTTTATCCGGATCGGAAAGGACGGCGCACTCCAGTTGACATACTCCGGCGAGCTGAGCCAGACCAACCAGGAGACATTCCGCACTCTGTCACACGATGGTGGAGCGACATGGTCTACACCGGTTAACCTAAGGTTACACGGCGCGGATCAGCAGTTCCGAGATGGTATGCAGGGAATTGCTGCCATCAAAGACACCAACGGCCAAGATGCTCTAGTCATGGTCTTCGAAGTCAAGGACGGCCCGAACTTTCACCTCGGAACCGTGATTTCGTACGACGACGGTAACACATGGGGCAGGCGAAACGTCATCTACCGACCCAGCCAGCACAACGCCGGAGCGCCGCAGATCGCTACTCTCGGGAAAGGTCTTGCTGTGGTCTTCATGACCGACGAGGACTTGCCTACCAACCAGCTGGATTGGGCGAACAAGGCCGATATCAAGATGATCTTTTCTTCGGAGCTTAACAATGGCAACCTCAAGTGGACCAGCCAGACGTTACACATCTCGGAGGACAGCTCGTACTGGCCCGGTACCTTCAAGCGAGGAAACAACAACATCATGGCTGTCTACGAGCGCGGAGGTGTTCCTCACGGAAGAATCATCACGAGCGTTTAAAGACCTCGGGAATAGCATATACAACACTGGAAATGCATTGGTCAGGGGAGGCTCATTGAATTATACTTATTGGGAGTAATGGTTATCGTTCATGATAATCCTTGGCATTACGGTTACTTCAGATATCATAGGGGTATTGCGAAGAGGCTTCAGGCTTGAACACATTTGCAACAGCATACACCATGGCGGTCGTATCTAGACAATGGCTTTGGAAACAAGGCTAGCCGAACTAGCGAGGACACCAATTGTATATACCTCTAAACACACATAAAACAGAATTGAGCACATATTGTTAGGACTTGAAAATCTTTGCATGGTAGTTAGAGTTACTGATTCGACGGGTTTACGATAGCATATAAACAATTAAATCCACATGAACTAAATCCTTAGCAAAGGCCTGCTTGATGCGTTGATAGATCCGCAAATAAATGTGTTGGCGGGGGGCTGTGTGTCTAGGCGAGCTGGCACAGACAAAATAATTATATTAATTACAAATAACTACTACATAGGGGCGTTGAAGTATGTAAGGGGCTGTGATATTCCCTGCCCGCCAAGACTAATAGGTCTCAGTCAATCGCGAATGCTTTGGCTCCATCCCTTATTGCGGCATATCTATCTCACTTCGACCCATCGATCTGATCACTCTTACACTATCTAAGTCAGTATTTGCATGATCTGAGGAAAATCTTTATCCTTCGGCTTCCGGATAGCTCGCCTCTACCTAGAATCCAGGTTATGAGAAGATATCTGTCTATTCTAATTTGAAATGTTGATAATACCTATAATAAAAGTCTAGATTATAGCCGTCCTCTGGCATGACCACACGAATATTCGCAAACTTATTACGACGTTAGAATCCAGAAGTAATACATGTACTGAGTCATACTAACGCCATCCGGAAATGTTATCAAATCATCTACGTGCCCGCTCGGTTTACATACCGCAACTTGGTATGATAGGGGCTTCGTGTACCGAACGATCGTGGTTTTAAAGTTAAAGCTGTCAATCATGCAGGAATAAACAAGCTCAAGTTCGACATAACACCGGGTCTACTGCATGTTGCTATTGTATTTGATAGCTATGTCATAGTTCATCAGACTCCGTTACAATATCTGCTACTCCCGTCAGCTTCCCGTGGTTGACGAGTGCAAGTACAGGCGCCTGCTGCTAGTATTTACCCGTGAATTCTTGCACCCATTGTTGCACAAATGTCGCGATCTGCTTTTGGGCGTCCGCAACCGGCGCTGGCGGTAGGTCTGGTGTCGTTTCGTTAGGGAATAGACCGTTCTCATCCCAGTGGTGGACCGCCCGCTAATAAATTGTCAATACGGGTTGTAGAAAAAGTAATGGTGAACTTACATCGATCAGGATATAGGGCTCTTCTAGCGTGTTAGGTCGTTCGGGAAGACCAATGGCATGAACACCTGCCGCTCTCCACGGATCCCATTCGCCATCGATGAAAGCAAGTCTAGGATAACTGATGTTAAACCCGCCGAGCCTATTGATGTACTCCACGTCGGCTGGCTTCGTCAAATTGAAAGCCTCTCGGCAAATCAGAGCCGAGTAGTCTACGTCGATGGTACGTGAGATGAGAGGGAGTTGGTCCTCAGGGACACCGCTTCCGGTTTGAAGATAACCCCATCTAAATATTTGATGAGTACTTGAGGTTATATTATGAATCAGTGGCTTGAGACTTACTGAGTGCAAACCTGGTATTGCCATAACCTCCAAGTTTGGGAAAGATCATCCCGGGCGTAAAATTCCGGGTCGTACGTAGTGAAGCACGCATCCTGATCACCGGAACATCTTGCAACTGACGTTTCGTTTACGTAGCCAACGTAATTCAAGAATCGGTTTGCAAGGGTTTCTACCTCGTCTTCGTAGCCGCCGACTTTAATCAGCTCTTCAACAGATGTCCTACGTGCTTCCGTTCCAGGATACAGCACGTCGTCTGATGAGACCTTGTCGCAGTAGACGAAGAATTCGTCGCTGCTCTGCGAAGGATCCCAGTTTAGGCTCTGCAGCCCATAGATGCCGCCGTTGATAGCACTGGCGAAGTCGCCGTCGCGCGTTACATTGGGTAGACCAAAAGCTGCTTTAAGCTGTCCAACGTAGTCAGAGCCCTTTTTACCAATAAGTATATTGTCCACGATATGTGTGAGCTTTTGGGTGGTTTCGACGCATGCCGGCGGCCCATAAACAGCAGCAGCCTCGAAGTATTGCCAGTAATCCCAAATAGCCTGGGGAACGCCAGACGACGAGATAGTGCCGTGATAGACATCTGGGTATACGACTCGCAAGAACGCGACAAAAGCACCAGCATAACTGCCGCCGTAGGCTATCCAAGGTGTCTTCTCGGGACTCAGATCCACGTCCTCCAAACCGGCGAATTTGACATTCTTAGCAAAGTAAGCAGTATCAGCCAGGGCCTGGTCGGTAGTAAGGAAGCGCAGGTTCTCGGTGCTGAAGTCCGGCACTGGGATACTTTTTCCATAGTACCTATGCTCGAGAATGACCCCTACTCCGCCCGTCGCTTTCGCAAGCTGATAAACGATGCCTTTCTGTAGGAAAGGTAAGCGACCAGCTCCATCCGTCTCTCCTCCCGTGAGCACAATCACCGGACCCCCTGGCTTGTAGTATTGCGTATCGAACCAGTACCGCAAATTGAACGTGCCGTTGGAGTGCGGCTCGTAAGAGGAATCGTTATGGAAATGGTCAATCGGGGTCGAAAGATTGTATTCGGGGTAAAGGGTTTGAAGGTCAAGCTCTCTGGCGCTGAGACTATCGTACGCGTCTCTATTTTGGACCTGCCGCAATTGGATGAATTAGTCTCGTGATTATCTAGTTGTTTACATGGTATATTGATGATAAATGGTAGAAGATATGGTGTATCCGTTTGTATGTATTTGAATGAAGTTATGTTCACATACCTGCTTCGAAAGCTCGCTAATTGGCAAGGGGTGTCTCTGAATTGCCTCAACCGACGAGACAAGGGCTAATAGGCCCGCGACAGCACCGCAACGAACCATGGTAACGATGGAAAATGCGCCTCTAGAAGGGATTCCAGAAAACAAGAATCACCTACACAATCCAAAATAGAGCGACACGCCCATATTTGAGAGGATAATTGGAGGTCTGCTTGGCATTGTGCAATATCTAGCCTCCGTTGTCGTTATTATTGCTTTAGGCAGGACAAGAGATAATGTAGTATTATTCGACCCCCCGGACATGCAGACACGCCACCCGAGCAGCCGAGATAATGAGTGACGATCCTTGGCGATATGCAGTCAGACCCCAGTCAAACCCCGGGGCTAGGCAAAAGACGGAAGGTCTTGCTGCACTCGTTTAAGACGTTATCAAGATCTATCCGATTTACCTACATTGATATAACGATAAATATTCCGTACTAGTTAACACGATCAGATACGCATAAATGCATCATAAAATAATTTCAATTATACACACTTCCTATTCACGACCGGGTAAGTATAATCGAAGGGGTTAAGGGGTTATAGATGGTTAAACTGTTATAAAGCCAGAGACAAAGTGAAGAAAAGATCGATTACTACCTTCCAAATATCAACCCAACAAGTTGCATTCAATAGAAGTACAATCAATCAGAAGTGTCACTATCGTCGTCATCATCATCATCGTCATCATTTCCCTTCTCCTTCTTTTTATCCTTCTTCCCGGATTTCCCTGTCTTCTCTGAACTCTTCTTACCCTTCTTGGTACTACCTTTCGAGCTCTTTTCCTTCTTCCCTCTGCTAGCTTTCTTCTTCTTCTTCTTTGGTTTATCGGACTCGCTTGAAGATTCTGAGCTACTGTCTGCCCCTGAATCCTCGTCGCTATCAGCTTCTGAGCTAGAATCGGTATCGGGCTGATCCAATCCCTTGAACCCTATGTCAGAAGAGGGACTGAAATTCACTGCTCGCACGTATTCACGCTTTGCCACCGTATCCTCATCCGCGCCGTGAGTCGCCAGCAAATACTGGTTAAATTGTACAGAGGCATTGGCGACGATCTTGAAATACTTGACCTTCACAGCGACATTAGTTGGCCGATTGCTATCTCTTTTGGCCCGAAACTCAGCTAGGGCCAGAACCGTCTGGAACATGTTGCGGATTTGGCGACCATTCAATCTTAGCGTTTTCCAAGTTTCTGCAGCCCAAGTCATTACTTTCTTTTCGCAGTCTTCATATTCGAATCGAGATAGCTCATTCTTCTCGCGGTAATCATTTAGGTCCGCAATTCTTTGGAAGTTGTGTTTGAATATTTTTCTGGTTTGCCTCTTGGTTAGTCTCGGGTAGTAGAGAGTCAAGTGTAAGCGCGATCGGAATGCGTCGTCGATGGCTCCAACACGATTCGTTGTTAAGAACAAGATTCCGGAATAGTATTCGAGGATACGTAAAAATACTAGTTACGTTAGTGCCGGCGTTTAATTAAGAGTTATCTAGGGTCTCAGGGCTCACCGGATACCAAACCATTTCTCTGTATATCTTTTTGCTATTTGGGATGAGCGATCAGTCGCACACATGAAAATAGGAACGCAGTTTATTAACTTACATCTCGCTTAGCAAGGAATACATCTGCTTCGTCAAGTAAAAGCACACAACCCCATCTATGGGCTAGCTTAAAATGGTTTTCCATATTTCTCTCTACGTCTTCGGGCTTATAGCCAATGTCGCCTAATTAACATCCGATTTAGTATTCATTATATAGTTTGTGGTGAGGAGGCAACTTACCACAGGTAATCGGGTATAGTGGTTTCTTGGTATGGGCAGCTACGCACTCTAATACCGCGCTGATATTAGCCTTTGTTGTCTAGAGCGATGTATAATTGTCGTACCTGCTGTGGAAGTTTTTCCAACTCCTGGTACGCCGTGCAAGAGAATAATACATCCTCTGCCTTTAATGACGATAATTTAGTAACAATAAATAGCTCCAAGTGAATGTACAACTACTCACCTTTCCCTGGTACTAAATCCATCCCGATTTTAACGTCTTTGTTAAACCCGAGCTCCTGTGTATGCGTCTCAACCATGGCTTGAACCTGAGGCCGCTGTTAGCAGATACTTTCTGGAACCATCTAGTATATGGTAAGAACTTTATGATGTTCCAGTATGTAAGTCCTCATAGGATCACCATGAATGTGCATTCATGGTTGAATAAATAGGAGAATGAACTTGATGGGGGGGTTATTACCATCTCTCGATGACCTTCGGGGAGGACAAGATTGTCCCATTCATCATTCTGCTCTACCGGTTTGAGTCGTCTGAGGTCAAGGAGGACTATGAAAAATATGATATTAATAACATCATCGAGCTTAGTATATTAAAATTCCACTTACCCCATTTTCTGTTTCTAAGAGCGAATCCCGGAATTGCCCCCGGCAACAACCTGATAATGTCCTTTTCTTTCATAATTTTCCTGAACTCCTTTTTACCTTCTTCGCCTCGTTGTTTTTCACCCTCGTACTCTTCGAGTGAAACCTTGATTTCTGACTCAATCTCGTATATCTGTCCGATCCGGGACTCGATATACACATCTTTCATACAAAATCTACTATAGCACCATTTATGAGAACACGTTGAAAAGCTAATAATGCCATAGCTAGATTCCGCCTTCGTGGAAATAGTTAAGATAAGGGGTAGAGGAGATGGGAATTTCGGAACATCAATATAAGCCTTTTTCGTCTCAGGTCCACCTTCAAAAGCTAGTTTGGTATCTATTATGACGGGGCTATTAATCTACGACACGTCATGTTAAGTTAGCAGTAATACGATTTGGGTCATATATAGAGACTCACTTCTTCTCGAGTTGGCCCAACGATCGATCCTTGGTACTGGAGATGAGCCGTATTGGTGACGTTGAGAAAGCTGTTACCACGCTCATGGAGACGGTCTCGCGCCATATACCGGGCCGGATATGCTTGGAGATTACGAATCTCCATGCACCGCTCGTATGGTTTGAAGACGAAAATATCCCGAACAATACCGTATTTGGTTCCATCAAAATCGACGTAGAAACAATATACATAGAACTCGGTGTAGCTGTTTCTGACCTTCCTCAAAATCTGAGTATTTGTCAGTGCTTCGGTAATGTCTCCGGCCTCTAACTTAGTCTCTACCTCCAGAGGGGGTTTGTTGGAGGATGTAAAATATAGAGAGTTGTTTAGCTCTTTAGACCGGGGAGGTCGAGGTATATTCCTCGTGATTGACATGCCTCCGAATGTGGCCACCACCCGGTAAGCCTGAGGTGTGTACCTTCGGACCGGAGTATAGGTAGTACCGTCTATATCCCGATACGTCTCCATCCCTGCTTCCCGAAGTGGACAGTAAATAGTTTCATTTGGATCAAATAGCATCCAGAGGTTCTCAAATGCTACATATTGTTCCATCCCTTGACGTAAACTTTTGTACAGTCGAATTTGCTTGCCAAGATACTCATATAAAAACTTTAAGAAGACTTGGAAGTGAGGAAGAGCTTCAGGTAGATCAAATTGCTGAGAGACGGAATCTTCATCGGTGCTATGGGGTGCAAATGGAAGAGCCTTTGTTTCCTCACGGTTTACCTCTGTATTAGGTGCTTCAGAAGACGACTTCTGAGCTTTCTGTAAGCTTTCAACATTGTCGATAACCACTTGTCTATGAATGACCATTAGTAAATAAGAAGTCATAAGCAGGATGCTGGCTTACCCATAGCGACTTTCTAATTCTTCAAGCTTGGCACTGATGCGGTCAATATTCTGGATTAGGGGCCGGAAGGGCTTGTTGAACCGGATCAAGTGACTGTCGCTATCTGTATTGACGTTTAACAGTTTTCGGAGGAAAGTGGTGACCGCTTCGGATGAGATACCAAATGTAAGTATGTCGATTTCGTCTGGATCGGGGGCATTGGAATCTGCCCGTTTCGTGGGGTTTTCCCCATCATATCTAGTCTTCATGTAAAGGGCTCGGACAAGATGCTGAGTGTCGTGGTCGCACATGAAAGTACCCTCTTCTGTTCCAGAGTGCACGCCTATAAAGCTGCCGTCATCTTCGAGGTACAGTCTTGAATTAAAGAATTTGACGGTAACTTCAACAGCGTTATTCACATTCGAGCCCTGTGATGCGGAATTTCCTTTCTTATTCGCACTGGCTCTGCTTTCTTGCCCAGTCTCTAGTTGATCAATTCGGTCTTCCAGGACTCTCATATAGTCTACTAAACCTTTCACCAAATTTGGGCCCTGATTCTGGCGTGCCTTTATCGAGGATTTTGCTTTGAGTTTCTCTGTGTAAGCTCTAAAGAGGATTCGTGAATTGTATAAATCCGCAACTCTACGTACTCTATTATCATCGGGGTCGAAGACAGGGCGTAGATCTGAATCTGATGCCGATTCGGAATCGGAGTCTAGGTTATCCGCAATATCCAATTTTTTTCCATCCCTGTTGGGCGTCGCCGACCCTAAGTTAGGCTTAGTTAGAACCTGAAATTTATATTTGCTCATATAACATATAAGTACAGTGGTAAAGTATACCTTTTTCATCTTCGATAGGGTCCATGTCTTGAGGCCACTTGTTAGCGGATTTGGACAGCTAAACTAGTAGTGGAGGAGGAAGGCTAAAAAAGAAGGTCTATTACCTCGCCGGATAGAGGCTACGTGCCATGGGTGATTAGGTGGGTATCTAGAAAGATATACTGAATTGCGAACAGCTGATAGTGTAGTATTTTAACCAAGTCCAATATGGCATTTCATTAACGAGGATACCATATATCTGTTGCTGCTTTTACGCTATCCAATATGCCGAAGAGCCTCACGAATGTAATATCTCCTCGGAATTTCGTACGAATTCCAATCGGAGTTTGAAGTGGATAAGCCTCGAGTGTCAAGTGAAACAGTAACACCAGAGCCGAGGACATGTACCAAGCATAATAGAGATTGAAGAGGGTTCTAAGCACCAGGCCGTAGCCTGCAGCCATAGCCGTTTCGAACTGCTGTACGGCGTTGACTATTGATACACTCATTTTATAATAACCCAATGAGAATTAAGACCCCGTTACATGAGGAGTCAAATGTTAAACATGTTATGTCCCATTGTAGCACTGCAACGCTGCAGCTTCCAGTCTTTCCGTTCTGATCTGTCACAAGGTGGAACCAAACGGTATGGAACCAATTTGGTTGCTCCGCAAGGAACCCTAAACTACCTACCTAATCTAACGAGTTTACGGCTCGCATATACCAAACAAATGCTTTGTTGCTGATATCTCATCTAGAATCTTGACACGATCGCCACCTCATATGTACTCTAAATTCCCTATCTTACGTCCTTGTAGATACCAATAAGATTATAAGAGGTATTGGATAAGGTAAGGGGTATCTAAGCTGAAAGCAACTATCACAAACCCAAGCCTATCTATCCCTTCAATATTGGGTTTCCTTTAGGACATTAGGTTGTTATATCGGCCCTATGCGGCTCTATCGTTTTTCTCGTCCTATCTCCTTCGCATCATCAAGAATCCAATTGTGAAGGTATTTAGTTCAATCATTGGCGTAATGGAGCCTCAGAATCCAGTTGTCTTTCGGCGAAAGATTCTCACGAACTCTGCTGCTGAGTTTGTAGAAAGAGAACCAGGTATAGAAGCACTATTCCAGCCGGAGGATTCCTACGACGAGCTCAAAGATTCTCGAAATGCTTCGGAATTTATACCTGAAATCGACAGGTTTGCTCCGAAGGGGGTTATATTCGAGTAAGCCTTTTAGTCATCTTTTGTTGCCGAGTTCTGGTTCTACTTATTAACAGAATCCTCAATATAGCCGATCGAAATATTATGAAAGATCTCTAGAAAGCAAAAGGAACTTCCTTCGGACCCTAAAAAATTTCGTTTCTATCCTCAGAGATAGGAAAATAGAGTCTGAGCTCAACATTGTCATAAAGGATCCTAGCGAAACGCACGAATTTACCTTTGAATACGTACTCGGAATTATCGACAAGATTGGAGAAAGCCGCAACAATTCCACTAAAACTAGATCGTGCAAGAACTTCATCCGGAGATGCTACCACAAACTGGAAGACAATAGGGATGTTTTCGAAGGCATCCTTGATATGATCCCCGACGATATATACGGCTCAATCTTATCAGGAGGGTTTGCCTTGATTCTTGCGGTATGATATGATTTCCTATGGGCCTACGTAAACATTTATTGCATATGATGCTTACCTGTAAGGTATATTCCTCTTATAGGCTGTCGAGAAGCATGCCGAACAGCGTGAAGAGATCCAAAATTTCTTAGCGGAGATTCCTGGGAAGCTGAACACCATCCAGCGCTTGTCGGCAATACACCAATATTCTTACCAACTTCATTCATGTGCAGACAACGTCATGGTTGCCGTATTTACGGTTATGGAGCGTATCGTAGACACTATCACTAGGTCATGGAAAGGTTTGACCTATTAAGTTTCGTTGACAAAACGATGTCGTTTACTGATCAATCATAGTTCGACTGACTCAAAGGGCCGGTAAGATAACTCAGAATCTCCGGTCTTTGCCCTATCGAAATAAGAGGTCAACGGAAGGGAATGAAGTCAAGGGTGATCAAGGAGATAATTTAACCGTAGCCGACGCTTTGGCCAACCTTGAAAGAGAAGTACAATGCTTCCAAAACGAAGTATCTATCTGTGACCAAGAAAGACTAGGTAGGATTGAAAGAGGTAACGGTGATCTTAAGCTTGGCATAGCATTTGTTGAGAAGGGCCTTGAGAAACTAAGCACAGGTAATTATGCGAATATCTTCCATTACCTACATAAAAGACATATAACTGACAAAGGACACTGTGGGCAGATATTATGACAGTCGTGGAAAATGGCCAGAGGTTTCTAGAAAATATGGTCGCCAAAACATCAGAGAACAATTATCAGACACTCCTATTACTTTTTAAAAACACTCTATATCAGCTCTGTACAAGCAATCCGGTTTTCAATGGCAAGACTGGCGGGAGTAAGTTACACACACTACTCGTGTTGATTTCAGACGTACTAGTACTAACCAATGTCTACGGTAGTTGATCTCAACGAACTACAACTTCTCCAAGCAGAACGAATGCGTTCATACCAACAGGGCAATAAACTTATTGCGCTGAGATTGTTCAAAAAGCTGGCGGCCCACACTAATGATCCAATGATAGACATAAAGGACTGCCTCGAACACATATGGTTACTCGATGCCGATGAGAAGAATATGTGCCAATCAATTCTAGAATCAAAGGAACTTGATGACTGGTTCGGAAAGGATCAATCGAGCATCTTCGAGGTTAACCTCCCGACGCCTTCGGCTGCGCTGAACAACCCCCTTTCCTTCAGCAGTGCAATGCTTGCAACAGCACTTATCAGCACAACCCAGTTTCCAGTGCTCGCATTTTTTTGTAAGCATAGAAACAATGAACATCCTCTGGAAGATGAAAAGTCAGGTCCAGTCGCCCTAGCAAGGGACCTCAGTATTCAACTAATTCGATTCATATCTGATCACCGTCCCTCGGTGGATCTTTCACTACTTCGGAGCCAGAAGTCTTTGCCCAAAGTCGGGAAAAGTTTAAAGGAGGAGCTTTCAGCATTGAATTCGCTTCTATTCGCACTGCCGGAAAATGATACGGTCTTTATCATGATTGATTCTCTCTCATATTTATCGGGAAACGGAAATGGGGGAAACAAGGTAATCGAGAAGCTAGTTCGGACAATGAAAAATAGGCGGGACATTACTATCAAGTTGATGGTAACTGATACACCTGCTGAATTCAAGCTCAAAGCCCTTGCAGACATTTCATACACCGTACCCGACTCGGTTGGTGGACTCGGTGTGGTTGATGTAGCCGAGAGTGGCGATGAAGTCGCTAAGGTATTGAGGCGTAAAATGAAAACAGAGGATGGTAGGGTTAAGAATATAGGGGAAGATGTAGAAGACTACTCAAACGACGATGAGAAGGATGAACAGGACGATGAAGAAGATGAAGATAAGGACGATGAGGAAGGAGAAGAAGGTGATGATGACGATAATTCTGTGGAGGTTAAAAGCGATGAAAGTGAGAATCTACGTGAAGACGAAATACATGAAGGTGGCGATGATGATACCGATACAGACGAATAGTGTGTCAAAGGGGTAATACGTTTGATGAAGTTCCTGATGATCTACCAAATTGATTGTGTTGTTAGCATATACCTTAGGTAGCTTATGCAGTGTCGGCGAGTCGAGATACGGGCATATACAAGACTTTAGAGCCTGGATTGAAAAGATTGTTGGCAAAGATAAATAATATTAATAAAATCAACGAGTACGGCATAAAGCTATAAAGTTGTCGAGGCTACTTATGCATGCTACCTAACATAGGAGGTATGAAGGTAATCAAAGCTTCTCTCAGTCTGGGATGGCTAGACAGGAATGATGCATACTGCACCCTCGAACAACAGGAAATCCACTGCAACCCTCAAGGCGTAGACCCAGACGACCTACAAGGTGACTAAATAATCCAGCCACTGCCCCATGCCGCTAAGGGCCAACTATTCCTCAACCCCTATTAGTTCCGCCCTTGTGCGTTCAAGACATCGTTTCTCTGCAGCACGGCTCTCAAAAGATTTTCAATCTCGTCCAACCTCGCTTGACCGCCGGTGAGGGTAGCATTATCGGGGGCCTGGAGAGCTGCTATACGGACTGAGCTGCCCGCTTCATAAATCAACTCGAGGGCCTTGTCGATCGCCTCTTTTTTTTTATCGGAGAGTTGCTCATGCTCGACGTCAATTCTGCGAGCCCAGGGCTCGATTCGATTGCATTCCTGCATGTATTTAAGACCAAGTTCTACCATCGAAACCCGCGGCCCCTGCGACATTTCTGCTGTGTGATATAGGTATGTCAATGAAGAGTTGTGTTGTTCTGTAAGATGATATAGGTATGGCAATGAAGAGTTGTGTTGTTCTGTAAGATGATTGATTTACTGCTGAAGGAAACGGAACAGAAAATGGGAGGCCTTCGGGGCTGGCTTTATATAGATATCATTTCCAGAGCTGGTCAATGAATTGAATTCACGCTGATGGCTTTAAGGGTCTTCCCATCGCAGTCATAAGCTGAGAAGTTTATTGTGAATGGATAGGCAATGAGTTAGATCTAGTACTTAGGTAACCATATATGGCTGGTAGTGAATATACACACTCCACCATGAGTGTTTGTTTCAATATCATCCTATTAACTTTAAGGCTTTCCTATTCACAGAGGTTGAAAACATCACTAGAAATAGTCGGAAGAGCTCCAATCGCAGAGAAATATAATCACGCCGGTTTAATTCTGTCAAATTTGTGAAGTAGGTAACCCATGTGAGAGGTACCTACCTAGGTTAGGTACTTGAGGTAATTCAGATGACGCATGAATACAATGAATGTTTTTCTCGACCGACTCAATAATTCCTCATCTATCGGGCCTGTGAATGAGTTTCTGCCTCTGCTGGGCACTTTTCTCAGGCAATAATGTGGCCAAGCCCGGAAGGGGGTTAGAACTCTCCAGTAATGAGATCAATGATACCTAGTCCTGTTTGTAACAAGCAAAACTCCGGATTTAAGGGCCTTCACCATATCATGCTTCTCAAGGGTCATAGGGACCCATAGCTCTTCGCCCCGTTAATAGCTCGGCATCATCATCTTCTTTTACAAGATATATATCTTCGTGACGAACACCAAATTTACCTTCCAGATATATCCCAGGTTCGTTTGTAAAAGTCATCCCAGGTTGGAGGATACTTCTTGTATTCCACTTATTCAAGTATGGTGACTCGTGGGCTAGGGAGAATCAAGTGAATGATATTAAAACTCTGAACTGTCAGATGGAGTAAATTTGAGAAGTACATACCCTTGATCCCAATTCCGTGACCAAGTCGGTGCGTAAAGGCACGACCGTATCCTGCTTTTTCAATAATCTTACGGGCAGCAAGGTCGACACTCGCTGCGGTACTATTCGCTTTGAACTCCTTAGCTGCAGCCGTCTGGGCCTCCAGTACAATATCCCATACTTTCAACTTTTCTGCATGCAGCTTAGAGTCTCCTCTAGGGACTTGGATGGACCTGGGCAGCAGGTCCGGCGTCATAAAAAGAGATGCAATTAAACTGGAGTATGTTTTGCCCCTCTCCGTCGTCGAGTCTATGAAAAAGCTGCGGCAAATATCGGAAGAGTATCCCAAGTAATGGGCCCTAGAAGTAGTTTAGAGGGTACGTCAAGAATTTTTCAAGTGCGGTGTGCTTACCCGACATCGATCACGACCATTGTCTCATAGTTTAATTTCTTTTTGCCAACGACAAAGCCGCCGTGAGGCAAGGCTCCATCTTCCTCGAAGAGAACTATGTTGAAGAAAAGAGTAAAACCCACCGAGAGCAGCGCTGCATCAAGAATATTTCGCACTTCGTCTTCAGTCAAACCCGCCACGAGGCATGGACGCATCGCCCTTACGGCCGTCACAGTCCCGGTGTTAACAGCGCGAAGCAATTCTACTTCGGCGGGGCTTTTTAGCTGCCTCACCAATTCGACTTCTGCGCTCAATCCGAACGTCTCGAATCCAGCATTTGCAAGTCCGCGAGCAATAAAATCCCGCAACTCCTCATCTATCATGAGTCTAGGTTTCCTCCCATGCCCATGCATGCCAGTATCAGCAAATAAGTGAGACTGCCGAAGAGTACCGTAAGGATCCCAGTGTTCCTCCCAAATTACGATGTCCAATTCAGGCTCTCGGGAGGGTATCCCGAGCATGCGGACTCGGCCTTCCTCAAAATGTGGAGCTAGAAAAGCCGTCTTGGCAGAAACGGCCCCGGACTCGGAGCTTACGGGTAAGATTATCATCAAGAACGGCCTTTCTTCGGGCTCCCAGGGCTCCCAATCGCCCTGTGAAGTGTTCCCATAGTATCTAGTAGGCCGTTAATGCTAGGTCGGGTTAAAACATGTGAATAGGTAACTGTGGGTAAGATGTCTTTTTAGGATTCGCAAAGTCTCACTGGAAAGTATAACCTGGCTCGAGAACAAAAGCACCGACATTAGATGCGACTAGAGCTCGTGCGAGACGATCTCGTCTTTCTATGAACTCGAGTTTGCTGATTGGGGATGCTCCGTCGAGAAAAGATAAGTCGGCTTGGAGATTATCGATGGCGCATCTTTGCACCTGAGCTATATCCGGTCCGGATTTCAAGCTTTGGAATGTCCATAGGCGTAATAGACATGCCGCATTGAAGAATAAAACAGCCGCGATAATAGCTCTACGGCTCCTGGAGGATCCAATGCCGTGGCTCAAGCTCAAGCTCGGAAGGGCCTTTCGACTTGTTTGTTTCATGGCCGCGTATAACTGGGATGTGAGTGAGGGGCACAAAGTTACCACTGGATGCCAACGTCTTGGAGACGTTAGTTACAGGTTAGGTAATATCCATTGGGATTCCTTTCAACGGCGATCAGAGCCTTGATTGGTCAGATCTCTCCGTAAGTAAATCCTTCTCTTTGCTCAAAGCAGGATGTCTTCACAGGACCTCTGACGAACCCAATCAGCCGGGTGATAACACGTCTGGGCCGAAACCCCCCTTTACGGATGATTTATTCGGAGAAGGATTTGATATGTTCTATGCTGATCTCTTACCCGACATTAATCAGCCCTGGGGTGGTGATTTAATGACATTGGAGCCCTCATTTAGTGACACTGAATTCCAAATGAATTTATGCATAAGATACGCATAATATTGACGTATACCGTCGTACAATACACCCACTATAACTTGATTAAACCGAGATCTTGTCCTTGGCGGGTATGGTACTTTAACCAGTATACCAGTACGAATATAAATACGAAATTTACAGCTATAGTACTACCCAGAGCTAGCTACACATGCAAGGCGCCATAGAGAGCTACCTAATAAGGAAATTTCTAGCGGAAAAAAGATCATTAGCACGTTGATCCCAACCGCCTTGCTGAGCTCAGATGCGTTTCTATGAAAGTGGGACAGCTTAGCAGGCAGCCCAGCTGTGCAGCGGATCGACAAGGGCTGTGGTACTAATTCAAACTACCAATTGGTGGATTGACGTAGGTACATAGCTCATAACTATCATACATAATAGGCGATTGACCATGGATCATCGTCTAGGACTTATACGGCGTATTAGAAGTCAAGAAATTATTAGCTGTCCTGCCACCTTACTAAGGATATAAAAGCTTGTATACCTCCAATGGACGTATTTTATGATAATAGTCTAAAATTCCAACCCTTCTTAGATTCATCTTCTTTGTTCTCGATCCGGGCCTAGCCAGTCTATTCCAATCCCATCAACTCGAACTTCATCATCAACTTTCCAACCAAACTTAGAATGGGAAACCCACCGCAACTACCTCCCTTTCCTCGACAGACAGGCATATTTCCGCAATTTTTTGCAAGGCAATCCGAAACCTTAGTTCTGAAAGAAAAATGCCTGTCGCTGTCGGGGAATAGCTTCGACATCAGCCTCCCTAACGGTCAGCCCATCTTCAAAGTAAATGGCGAATCCCTTTCGTTGTCCAGCCGCATGAATGTCACAGACATAAGCGGCAACTTTCTGTTCAGCATCCGCAAGAGGCACTTGAGCATACACACGACCTACTACGCCGAGAATTCTAATGGCGAGGAGATCTTCGAAGTGAAGAGTAAATTTAGGTGTAAGTTTGCCTTTCTGACGCCATCCCTGTCTAGTACTACATAGGATGACATTGGGCGACTAACACGAGAAATTATAGTGGCCGGTTCTAAGTTTATTGGTACATTCACTTCTGCGTCTGGTCAGCAGGAAGAACTAGTGATGAAGGGCGACTGGACTGATACGACGGCCGATATCACGGATGAGGCCACCGGCCAAACCGTCGCGTCCGTTTACCGTGATCGCTGGAATGCGCGGGAGTTCCTGGCCGATCAACAGACTTATAACGTCACTATCGCGCCGAACGTCGACATGGCTATCGTTGTCGCAATGTGCATCTGCCTAGATATGAAGAGAAACGAAGCTCCGTAGGGAGGATGTATATGCGATAAATTTTTGTACATTGGTTTGGAATTTGGTTACCTTAAATATAAGCGATGATAATACCTTGGAGCGTTGTACTTGTGTGCTTTTGGAGGAATATCGCGAGTGGGAGTTTTATTCCTTTTAACTAGGGGAAGCTAATAGTTTTGGAGATTGTTCCTTGTTATATGAATAGCGCCTATTTATCGTAATACACAAATCTGGTGTGACAAAGCCGTATTGGCGTTTAAGATAATTATCAAAGCCTTCTTAGGAATCTATAAAAAGAGTTGCGAGTGTAAAACCACCGCGTAAAACTCACTTTGCGACCTCATAACTAACATAAGAATCCAGGACCATGAAAGCAATAAATATATTGAGCTCGGGTATGTCGGAGATTAGGTACCTCGATACATCAAAGATTTGCGCAGAGAGGCACGTTACTGGCCAATCAGATTATCGGCATTCAACTTAGGCGTCGTGGGGAGATGCGGCACTTACCGATAGATTACCCGCATTACGCAGCCAATCTTGTACTGCACATGTATATGCGTGCATTCCAGCAGCAATGGTTACGCAAGACTCATACAAGGCCAATACATACCTGGCAAGCTCTAGGCTTGTGGATCCGTCACCACTGGGCACGGACCACTATTCGTAAAGACCCATAGGTCCACAAGTAAAGAATGTATATAAAATTATAAATAATTTCTTAAATAAATTCCTTTCTTTTTATTTAATAAATTAATTAATATTATAAAATTTATCCCGATATATATTATTATAATAATAATATATTATAAATTTTTATATTAAAATATTAAAAAATATAAATAATTATTTTTATAAATAAATTATTAATAATAAAAATAATAAATAAAATAACGTAATATTTTAATATATTAATTAAAATAATTATAATATTAAATCTTAAAAAATTTAATAATAAATAAAATGTTAAAAGTAATAATTTTTAAATAAATAATTAAATCGATTATAAATTAAATATAAATAACGTTTATTAAAAAATAAATAAAATTAATAATAAATTATATAATATAATTAATATAATTAAAATATAAATAATTTAATAAAATAAATTATTTAATAATAAAATAAATATATTAATAAATGTAATAAATATTATATAATAATTTATAAAAAATATAAAAATTTAAATTAACGGATTTAAAAATAATTTAATAATATTGGTAATAAAATTATCGTTAATAATACTTTTAATAATAATATTATTATTATTATCGTAAAAATTTATAAAATAAACTTTTAATATAAATTAATTTAAATAAAAATTTATTAATGTTAATAATAAAAGTTAATTAATAAATAATAAATTTAATTTATATTGTTTAATAAATATAAATTATATTATATATATATTTTAAAAAGAAAAAATAAAATTAATATAATTTAAAATAATATTAAACGATTAAAATAATAATTACGTAAAATATAAAAATAAAAATAAAATTGTTTTATTTTTTATTTTTAAACTTATTTAAATAAATAATAAAATATTTAATAAATTTAAAAAAATATAAAATAAATTAATAATAATATTTATATTATATAATTTATAATCGATAAAAATAATAATAAAATTATTAAGAAATTTTTAATAAATATTAATATAAATATATATATAATTATTTATTTAAATTAAATTTATAAAAATTATATTATAAATATTAATAAATTATTACGTATTATATAATT